CGAAAAGCGAAGAGACAAAAAAAAAATGGAAAAGGAAAAGAGAAATTTCCTTTCCCTGAGTACACGAAATTTGTTCAAAGTTAAAAGTTAAGCAGAATTTTTCAGTTCCTTTCATAAATTGAGTGGGCAGGAAAAGGGAGTCCCGGCCGGTGGATGGCGGGGAATCCCCATCTCCGTCTTTATCAGTGCCTGGCTTGCAGCATGCCCCGTGTAATTATACAAAGCGAAAAGCGAAAGGGGACTCGGAGCCGGATCCACGGGAAAGGAGCACGGCGGCCAGCCAGTGTGATGGTTCGCCGCCCGAGAACCCACGCACAGGACACAATGCTCATGTAAGCGTGAGGTATGTCCTGCCCGCACACACACACACACATATATACTGCCCACGCATCCGCACAAGGGTAAAGGATGCCAGGAACGCACAGACACACTGACACGCATTCAATTTTGCGCTCAATCACGCCGCTTAAACGGCAGCAAGAACAACAAAAGCGAAAGCAGAAGCAACAACATCTCCAGCAGACAGAATCGCCAGACAATAGTTTCCTGATTGTGAGGACAGCTTTAAGGAAATGACGAGCCAGAAGGATACAAGCACAGCTTAGGGCAAGATAATAGAAAAAGAATATACTTTGAGCTTGAGCTTCCTTATAAATATAATATAATATATATAAATAAATATGTACATTAAATTAAATGCCAATAAATAGATCAGAAAATATGTGTTATTCTTAAGAAATATATAAGCAAAAAGGAATAATATTTTTACAGTTTATAGAAAGAAAAGAGATTAAAAAATCAATGAAAACTACAAAATATGAGATTAATTATTCTTATCCTTAAAAATACATATTTTTAGTACATATATGTATTTTAATATTATTCTGAACAAAAGTTCTTTAAAGTTTTGCTTAAGTATTAGCAACAATCTTCTTCATTTATTGCATATTTTCATTACAACAGTTATAAAGTTTAAATAACTCAACAATTTAATTGTATATTTTTAGCTTCAATATTTAGTGAGGAATTAAAACCACTGCAGTCACTGTAAAAAACATAACTAACTAAACATAATATTCTAACCGCATCTGTAGCACCTCCCACACACAAGCCCCGTGTGATGTGAAGATTTTGAAGGGAAACTTGAAATTGATGAGAGAGCCAATTGACAGGACAAAGGGGAAACGCTTACGCGCAAAGCGTTTCCATAAAAAACTTTCAAGGCAGCCGCAGAACGCTTTACAGCTTACCGCCAGTGGTGGTGCATCTTTGGGGAAAGCATGTGAAAATGAAAAGAAAAGTCTTGGGGAGGACGGGCTTCCCAGGAGATTTGTGCTGGTAATCGGCTTAAATGACGATTCAAGTGACTTCCACCCCGAGGGATGGTCCCGTGGATGTTTCGAAACAACAAGAAACAGGACACCTGTGGCAGAGAACTTTCCAGTGCCCTCCTGCCCCACCTTTTGAAGTTTGGGAAATCACAGACGGGGGGGACCAAAACCGATTTTAATTGCAAAAATCGATGGCTCGTTTATCTGCCAGAAACCTTGAAAACCACAAGCGGCTTAAAAAGAATTTTCTGAAATTGCAGCCCGATGCGAAATAATATACTGCCTGCCATCTAGAAATTTGATGTGAGAACCATTCGGGGGAGTGGTGCTGGGGGAGATACTAACCACGACCTTGGAGCAGTTTACATTCATGCGCAAATATTGGCTCTCGCATAATTAATGCGCATTTGAAAGAAACCCGAGTCCAAGTAAACAACAATAGAACTCTGGCGAAGACAACCCAGAGAAATCAGGCACGAAGTCAAATTGGATTACCTTCAATTGCACTGATCAAATTCCCATTGAGCGCTGACAAAAGAACTGCAGCCAGCCAAGAACCCAAGGAAATGATCTTTTGGTTCAACTCAATTCGATTATTAAGTCATATTAAAAGGGTTTTTAGATATTTCCCTGCTCAAAGAGTCATGGTTTAACCCGAATAACTGCATGTAAATAATTTTTTAAATGGCTTTAAATTAGTCTGCACTATAACAAATACTTGATTCTGTCTCTTGGGTTGCACTTAATAACCTGGACTAGATAGCCCAAATAACTACTGGGTAAATATTGAGATCTGCGAGCAAATGTAGAGCTGATACTACCCAAGGCAAGGTCCAAAAAAATATCTATAAATGTTTTTATTTATTTTGTTTAAATCAATCCTTCAACAGTTATCTAAAGTTAGAAATCTTTTTCATTTTGCAGATTTAAAATAAAGTTTAGATAAATCAAATCAAAACTAAACAAAAGTAAAATAATTAAATAGTTATTTGTTAAATCAAGTTGTAAATGTAAATACATTATATCAAATATCATTAAACACTTTTAAATAGCTTGAAAATGATTTGGAAATATTCCACCAACGTGTTTTGTCATAAATTATTCAATTATATTAATAGATTTTCTGAATAATACATTTCACCACAAAAATCATCTAGTTTAATTAGAATTTACACATCATTCCCCGGGGCCTTTCAGGTCAAGCATCAAACAGATTATCAAATTAGAAGTCAACCGGAATTCCCAAATCCGCTCAACGCCACGGAAACCAAAGAGTTTTTCGCCAAAACATTTTCCGCTGCATTTAAATTATTAAAACAGAAAGAGAGAGAGAGCGCGGACATAATTGTTTTCATTTATTTTTAAACTCGCGCAGGACCTTGTCAATTTACACACACACACACACACACAGGAATATATAGCGCCAAAAAAAGCAAATAAAAAATGCAGCACTTTCGAAAGCAAGGTTTTAAAGAATTAAAGAATTCGCCAGAAATATGGAAACTGAAAGACGACGACAAGCCACTTCACATTACGTTACGTTTCTATTTCTGTTTCTGCCTTATCGGCTGGAGTCTGTGGCAACTGGAGCAGCTGGAAAATTCGAAAAGGCGACCAAGGATGCGCGCGCGATGCTATTGTAGCGTCAGCGTTCAGACCCACAGATAGACTGGCTGCCTGGCTGGCTCGAGGACCCAGGAGGACTCGCATCACTCAGCTGCCGAGACCTTCGGCTTCGCTTCGATTTGAGTTCGAGTTCGAGTTGCCAGCTCGTGGGGCTTCGGTTTTTTTGGCTTTGGCTTTGGCTTTGAATAACCAGCAGCAGCAGCCCTGGCCTAGAAACGTGGAAGCTGGCCAGCCGGGGACGGGGACAGAGGGTCTCGGGGCTCAGGTGGGTGCTCAGCAGGGTGAGTCCTTTTTTTTTTTAATAATTATTCCAGTGCATTTATTAGGGTAAATTCATTCTTTAAATTATTCTTAAGAGTTTAGAGATTTTGTTTTAGTAAAATAATGTGAACTAAGTTTTCAATTAAAGATTCCGTTACTTTTTTAACTTTAACAGATGAAAACATTTGTGTATAATATTGAAAAGTGTCTTATATTACCCAGTGCCAGTCAAAGATAGCAAAAGCATTTATATGTGGCTACAATTTTCAATATAATTTTTTAATAATATAAAAAATATTGGCACACCCTAGTGTATGTGTGTATATGTTTCCAAAGTCGAGCACGCGCCAAGCTATGCAATTGGGGCAAAGGGGAAAGGGGGGAGGAGGCAGCAGGCAGGGGGCGGGCAGCATTCAAGGCAACTGTAAACCGTTGCACTTGAACTTCATTGGCGGCCATTGCGGTGGAAGTCTGTGTCTGTCTTTGTGTCTGCGGGTGCTGTGTGGCTGTGCCTGTGTGTGGGAGCTGAGTGAAAGTGAAAGGCAGCAACAGGTCGCGTGTGTGTGTGGGTGTGTGTGCGAGCGAGTGTAGCCGCTGCAAGCACAACCACACACAGCAATCAATGTCAACAACGTGGAAAAGGTCGAACGCAGCCACGGTTTATATTTACCAACAGGGAGAAAAATCAATTTGGGGGATTTATTCCTGCCCGCCAAAAATAGAAAATCTCCGGCGATTACCCCAACAATATGTTGCCTATTTAGCGGGGTAAAAAATGCACAGCGCAAAAAGGAGGCTTTTTCAATTGGCTCTGATACTCGTTTTAGGGATTTTAAAGCGAGTTGCTTTCTTTATATTTAAAACATAACATAAAAGTAAGGAAAACCTTTTAGAATTTCAAGGGGTAATCTACAAAATTAAATATATTGACGATATAAAGTTATTTCCAATGCTGCGTAAAGGGAACCCATTATTTAATTTACATTATTTTACTTACTTGTTAATAATTAAATCGAGATTCAGGTTTTCAAATGCTAAATTACGTTCTTGAAAGCGAAAACAATTTTTAAATATTTCAAAAACTTGCGTTATATCAAAGCGAACTATAGGCGATTTAACCTCCACTATTTCTCTCCGTGTACAGGCGAATACTTGTATTACGAACGGCAAGTAAGCAGCTGTTCCCCAATTACACACGCACATACAGCAGGCAGGCACACACAGACACACTACATAAGCGAACCCATTTGAATGTGCGCTCACAAATACAATAGGAGGAGTCACAGGGACACTGCAGGGGCGGGGTCAGGCGGTGGTCCAGGGGCGAGCTACTGTGCGGGTTACATGCAGCAGGCAGCGCTACGGATTCACCCACAATCGCAGGACTCTCACCTACGCGAATTTCGGAATATATAGCCCTTACGGTTGAATCTCGCGTAACTCGAACAACCAAAAAATTGGGTATTTAAAAGATAAAAGGCGTGATTCGATGTACAACATATGTATTGTTGCAAAGTAGATTGGTTTTTTGTTAATAAATTATCTGAAGTAAAAGTCATTTATGTATATTTTTCATTATTTAATATTTAAAGCAGGGACATTTCTTCTTAATATAATTTGAAAAAACGGAAAGTTATTCCGTTTTTTCAAATAAACTCATTAGCAACATGAATTTAATGTTAGTCTAAATGTGATTCATAACCAGTTTGAGTTCGAGTTACAAAAGATTCAACGCGGCGGGCGATCAACTTATAAAGAATCTATCCTATTCATAAAACTTACCGTTAATGCGATGCCCACTGTGGCAGAGAAGGAGCCCAGCCGGAACTCTCCCGTGTTGTATTTGACCAGGAACGAGGTCTTGCCCACTCCGGAGTCGCCCAGAAGGATAGTCTTGTGGTTGATGGTGTCGTCGAAAGGTTGCTGGTGAGCGGCTGGCGGTGCCTGGTGCATGTCCACCTCGTCATAGCGATACGATCGCCAGCCATCGTCATAGTCGTCGTAGTCCTCATTGCCGTAAGCGTACATCTGCAGGGCTTCACGTGACGGCCGATAGCCCGGATATCCGGTGGCCGTGCGTTGAACAGGCGCCATGATAGACTCGTCATGGTAGTGATGGCTTCCGGTCAGACTCTGTTGGCTGTGGTGATGGTGATGTGGATTGTGGTGGTGTTGCGTCGTTGTCGATACGGAGGCAGGGGCTGCCGGCGGGTTGTAACAGCCATCGCCGAAGGGGCGTCGGCGCAACTCCTCGATCCTGGCCTGCGTCGTCTCAGCATCCTCAAAGACGTCGTCGCTCATGCTGCTGGCGTCATCGGGATGCGCCGCTCCCGCTGCTGCTCCAGTCGTTACCGTTCCCGCCGCTGTGGTGGCCATTCTTCCGACAAGGCGTGTGTCTTGGCCAAAAGCCCTGGGTCGAGCTTTTATCCTGAGCTTTTGTGGTTTCAGACTATCCTTAAGGCGTTTACATTTGTCTACTGTCTAAGAGACTGGATGAGCTCTAACCTTATAGTTTCCTCTTTGGTTGGCAGGCTCTTGTCTTTTTATATTCCTTCTTGAAACTCAAAAATCTTGTACGAAATACAGTCCAGTTCTTTTTCTTTATATTTTTATCGAAAGCAGGGCTCTAAGTTGTATCCTGCTGTTTTTATACTAAGAGAGTATTTAGAGCTTTAATATAGTTTTTTGTTTTTTATAGTTTTTGTAGTTTCGAAACGATTTCTTGACTCTTTTTGTTTACTATGGAATTTTGAAATCTACCGCTCTGACGAAGCTTTTATCCTGCGGCTTTTCGTTGACAGTAGTCCTGAGCTTTAGCGAGCTTTCTCTCTCTTTATGACTTTGACATTTACCGTTGCCTTCACTGCCTCTGCCTCTGCCTGCGCTAGCGTCGCTGTCGTCCGGTTGTGTGGCACGTTTTCTGAATGAACTCGCTTTTCGGGGCTTTCGACGCGGTTTGGGGGCGGTTGCTATTATTATTTCCTATCCTCTATTCGCAATAAGCTTAATATTTGGCCAGCCTTATCAGTTGGCCTGCTTCCCTAATCGTTATTCGTTAGTTTCGCCTTTCAGCTCCAGTGCCGTCGAACTTGGTATTGGTTTTTCCCTTCTGGGCTGTTGTTTTCTTGGTGTTTTGTTTGAAGCCACTAATTAATCGTTATCTATGTAAATTGTAACTAGCTAAACATATTGACTAAGACTTTATAGGTTATGCGCTAATTGGTGCTGTTTTCACTATGAATTAAGGTTTTATTTATTTATAAATATGGCATGCAATGGGTTTGCTTGGTGTTTTTCCTTATTATTTTTGGTTATTTGGTTAAAGCTTTTTGTTAATTTCCCGTTCTCCTTCGCGTTAAATAAATTAACTTTCCACTTGTGGCTTGTGGGTAACTCGGCGAAAATACTTGGTTTGATTTCTTAGGTTTTTGAGTTTGTGTTCTTGGTGTCGTTTTTTGTGTTGTTGTTGGTATTTCACTATCACAGCATAAATTAAATAATGTCATCGTAGTTGCCGCCCCCGCCACGCGAACCCTCGGCCAACACACAACTGCAGGATGTCACTTTTTTCTGAGCAAAAAAGCTCGATAACCCAAAATAATCAGCTAAGAAAAAGCCAAGCGAAAAAAGCTAAGAGAAAAAGCTGATTTTTAAAAAATTATTATTTATTTTTATTGGCAGTTATGCTGCCAATTCCAGGGATCGTAAATAAGAGTTATGAGTGCAATAAAAACTGTTCAAAAAAGACAAATAACTATTATTTTCAAATTTGAATAATAACGATTAAAATAAAAGTTAAATTGCATATATGCATTTTATGCAAATGCAAATTTCAAATTCACAGCGATAACCCAAAAGTATTTATTTTGGTTTCAATTTTCAAGCTCAAGAACATTTAAAAATATTTAAAAACAAGAAAGGAAGCTAACTTCGGCACGCCGAAGTTTGTATACCCTTGCAGATTGGTTTCGATGTTTATATTATAGATATAAATGTTGAAAACACTCACAAAACAGAGTTTCATTACATTTTACCTATACTTATTATGTTTACAGTTTGACAGTTACAGTTTTACATTCACACCTTTACATTTTCGCTACACCTACCGATCGGTTTATATCAGCGATGGGCACGCAGTGGCTCAATTTGCTCACGCTGCTCAAACCGTTATCATTTTTCGGAGGCGCCAGCATGTCGCACAATTGCAGACGCACAAGTGCAGTGCTCGCGACCAGCGAACCGTGAAGATTTACAAAAACAACCACACTGACCTTTGGCGCAGGTAGCGAGCCCATCGCCGCGATCCCGAGTTTGCAACAACAAAACACAAGCGACCCGAACTCGCACATCGTCCCAAAAACAAGAACAATTTTAAAGGGACCTGCGCGGCTGGCGTTGACTTCTGCACTAAAGAAAAAAGATTGGATTTTTTTGCAGTCGTTTTTCTTAGGCGGACATAAATGCACGCAAAAATGGCTGAAGATATTGATCTACTCAAAAAGTTTTTGTCAGTGTATTTTCTCGGCTCGCACATTCTGTGTGTCGCGTGGGTGCGACGGTTCGCAACGCTGGGGGTTGTTGTTTTTTTTTTTTTTCAGCGAGCTGCTGCTCAAACCGTTAGATCTCGTGCCCATCGCTGGTTTATATGGCAGCTATATGATATAGTTGTCCGATTTTCATAAAATTTATACCAAAATTCTGAACTAATAAAATAAGCTTATATCTGAGAGTAGATAAAAATAGTTTGAAAAACAACGAAGTTATAATTTGTTTTCTATTAATTTCCTGATCGTTCTTATGGCAGCTATAAGATATAGTCGTCCGATTTTCATGAATTTTTTAAAGAAATTCTGAAATAATATAGAATGGTCATATCTAAAAAATGGTGCAAAAATGTTGATAAACAGCCAAGTTATAATTTTTTTTCTAAAAATTTATCGATCATTTGTATGGGAGCTATATGATATAGTCGTCCGATCCGGCCCGTTCCGACATATATAGCAGTGAGAGTATATAGAAGACTATATGCAAAGTTTCATTCAGATAGCTTTAAAACTGAGGGACTAGTTTGCGTAGAAACGGACAGACGGACAGACGGACGGACAGACGGACATGGCTAGATCGACTCGGCTGTTGATGCTGATCAAGAATATATATACTTTATAGGGTCGGAAAGGCCTCCTTCACTGCGTTGCAAACTTCTGACTGAAATTATAATACCCTGCTCCTATTCGATTTACACTTTATTGAGTAGAGTTTAAGATCTGGTTCGCGCACTATGAGACCAAAGCTGACCAAAGAGGGTTTTTTCACTTTTGTATATTTTTTATTCGAAAACCTTCAACAGACGGTTCCCAATTTAAGTGCCAAATCATTTTAAGCTTTTATTACAAAACCTAAAAAGATTTCTTTGTTTTTCTAGACGCACTCTAAATTTAAATATCTATTTTTTAAATGCTTCCTCGTTATTTTGGGGAAATCGGCAATGAAATACTATTCAATTTAATTTAAAAAAATCCAGTTTAACTTTCTTTAAATTCTTGAAATTTTGTGCGGCTTTAAAACTGTTTACTGAAGAGTATCATTATGCTTTCTCTTTATATTTGTGAACTTTGGTGTGGTAAAAAAAACCACAGAACTCAATTTCCCTTCTACTACCTGACAGAATAAGCATTTTTCCATTAGTGGTTTTTCCTTCAATGCATCCCAGATTTTCCCGCCTTTCATAAGCTTTCCAACCAATGAGGAAATGTATTTGCGTGTTCTCCAATAAAAACTGCCTATCTGCACTTTTTATACCCTTGCAGGGTATTATAATTTCAGTCAGAAGTTTGCAACGCAGTGAAGGAGACGTTTCCGACCCTATAAAGTATATATATTCTTGATCAGCATCAACAGCCGAGTCGCTCTAGCCATGTCCGTCTGTCCGTCCGTCTGTCCGTCTGTCCGTTTCTACGCAAACTAGTCCCTCAGTTTTAAAGCTATCTCAATGAAACTTTGCATATAGTCTTCTATATACTCTCACTGCTATATATGTCGGAACGGGCCGGATCGGACGACTATATCATATAGCTGCCATACAAATGTTCGATAAATTTTTAGAAAAAAAATTATAGCTTGGCTGTTTTTCAATATTTTTGCATCATTTTTGAGATATAGCCATTTTATATTATTCCAGAATTTTGGTAAAAATTTTATGAAAATCGGACGACTATATCTTATAGCTGCCATAGGAACGATCAGGAAATGGGAAAAAATTATAACTTCGTTGTTTTTCAACGTATTTAAATCTACTCTGAGATATAAGCTTTTTTTATTATTTTAGAATTTTGGTAAAAATTTTATGAAAATCGGACCACTATATCTTATAGCTGCCAAAGGAACAACCGGGAAATTAATCGAAAAAATTATAACTTCGTTGTTTTTCAACGTATTTTCATCTTCTTTGAGACATGAGCTTTTGGTATTATTTTAGAATTTTGGTAACAATATTATGGAAATCGGACAACTATATCATATAGCTGCCATAGAAGCGATCCGTAGATGTAGAGAAAATGTAAGGCTGGGAATGTAAAACTGTAACTGTCAAACTGTAAACATAATAAATATAGAAAAAATGTTATGAAACTCTGTTTAGTGTCTGTTTTCGGCATTATAATTTACAATATAAATATCAAAACCAATCTGCAAGGGTATACAAACTTCGGCGTGCCGAAGTTAGCTTCCTTTCTTGTTTCTAGGTGAAATAATTGCATAAACTTACCAATCTGACGGACAGAAATCGAGAAACACGCCCGTCTGCAGCTGTGCCCGTGAATGTCAAGGCCTTGAATTCTTTGCCCACTACATTAAAATGTAGCTCATCGTAGATGACAAAATATGGCTTTGTGCCAAAATAGGTTAGGTTGCTGTAAATAGCCAAGAACCCGGCATCAAGATCTGTTTTTTTTTTCCTGCCTATTAAGTCTCTTAAGGACATAGCCTCCATCCTTCAGGTCTTTGAAAACGGAGGTTATTATTAGAAGCTGGTCCTTTTGCGTTATATTTTCCTGTTGGAAATAAAAAAATAAAATATAATAATATATGTAAGGGAACGAATAATCTCCTCAGCCATCGTTGAGCTAGTTAGTTCCGTTCGTCTTCGCCTTCTCCAAGAGATTTTACCCTTTCACGTTACATGCTCATTGCGCCTGCGCTCCGGCGACACCTGTTAAGCTTACAGGACTCAAATACCAGAGATGACAAAAAGTTTTCACTTATACTGGCATGACACTGTCTCTAATTAATGCGGCTGTGTCATATCAGCATAATTAATGCGGCAGTGTCATGCCAGTATTAGAGACTTCATTAAAGATTTGACAGCGCTATATCGTTTTACACAAGTGCGAGCAAGACGACTATATGGCGCTCTAATGCATTAGAATAATGCATTAGCTACTTCATTGGAGCGATAATCGATAGATCTACATATTATATACATATAATATAAAACACAAATTTAAAGGATTCTGCATTTATTTATGCAAGAATACTTCGACGAGGAATTTAGAAATTCATAGTAATACGCCGCGAATGGTGGCCGTTTTTTTTGTTTACCTTTTACGGTCGGTGTGACCGTAGTCGTATTACCAAAATAATCCAAGCAAAATCGAAGCCAAATTACACAAAATTACACATATAGTGGTCTCTTTCAAGGTTCTAATGAAGTAGCTAATTAATGAAAACTGCATTAGTGTATCATATGGGCATAAACACCCAAATCCTCACACCGCCCCAGTTGGAGTACCATAACAGCATGTATTCCCTGGCTAAAAACGGATCGTGGCGTATGGACAATAAGCAGTTTCTTGAGACCCAGCCAAAGGAGCACAAGTGGGCGATTGTGTACTTTCAAGGTCCCAAGATGACATACAACCAGGTGGCCGACTTTGAACAGAAAGTGCTTATCCAAAGCCAGAATGTGAACGTGAACTTGGATAAAAAGGCTGAGATACGCCCCTTTAAGGATGAAACGAGTCTAGACAAGTGCTTCGTAAATCTTCAAAACCATTGCTATCTGGCCTTTGTGATCATGCCGCCGTTTGGAGTTACTTACGGTGCGATTAAGCAAAAAGCCGAACTGCAGCACGGCATTTTGACGCAGTGCATCAAACAGGATACTGTGATTTACAAGCTTAACAATAGCCAAACAATATCCAACATCCTGCTAAAGGTGAACTTTAAGCTAAACGGCATTAATCACAAGCTTAAAGACGTTTCTGGCGTGCCAATACTCGATAATGTTATGTTCCTGGGCGCTGATGTTACTCATCCGTCGCCAGATCAACGTAATATACCCAGTATAGTGGGCGTGGTCGCTTCTCATGATCCCGACGGTGCTGCCTATAATTACAGTTATCGAATGCAGCGCTCCACTTTGGAGGTAATCGAGGATATGGAGTCAATAACGGTGGAACATTTGCGTGTATACCGGGAGTATCGTAACTCATATCCTGATCACATTATCTACTATAGGGATGGAGTGGACGATGGCCAGTTGGAGAAAATCAAATGCGAAGAGCTCGGAGGAATAAATAAGGCATGTCGAAAGGTATGATTTTATTTGAAATTTATACTGCTAAAATCTAGTTTTCTCCTGCCATATATTTATTCTATCGTTTGCCTACTTAAAGATCGGCATTGAACCGAAGATTTGCTGCATAATAGTGGTGAAGCGTCACCATACTCGCTTCTTTCCGAAGCCAACGCAGATCAATAATTCCAGAAAAGACTATAACAACGTGGAGCCCGCAACAGTGGGCGATAGCTCCATCGTCAATCCGAAAGAAGTGCAGTTCTATATGGTGAGCCACCAGTCCACCTAGCCGTGCCGGCTAGGTCGACGCGTTACAGCGTAATTGAGAATACCGGCAAACTGGATTATAATTTGATCCAGCAGTTGACCTACAACATTTGTCATATGTTTCCACGCTGCAATCGCTTGGTCTCGTATCCGACACCGGCTTATTTGGCTCATCATGCGGCGAAACGTGCTCGTGTTTATCTCCCCAGGTAAGACAATGCCATTGTTCTGTGATGTTTACTAAGTTTTCCCCATATTACAGCACTCATTCGTCCCGGGACCCAAAGGAGGTGTATAACAAGTGGCAGACTGTTCCAAAATTTAAGAAAATATACCCAATGCACTTTATTTAATAATTGCAGTCTTTAAACTTAACTCATTAGTGTAATGTAAACGTAACCTATTATAAAAAAAAAAAATAATAAAATTATAAGGCGATCGAAACGCCCTAAGTTAACGCCTGGTTAAGTTATTATTTCGAACAGTTTAGTTATAAAAAAAAAGACCAAATAAATGTTTAAAACATTTAATGAAAATAATGGAGTGATTTAAACTTTGCATTAAAAATTGCTTTAATAGTTCTGACATTCATATAAAAAAACAAGAAAGAAAGCTAGCTTTGGCCAGCCAAAGTTTGTATACCCTTGCAGGTAACAATTAAAATATATCATAACTAAGCCAAAAATGCATTAATTTCGATTCGGAAAGCAGTTTTGTGTTAGTTTTTATTAATTTAAAAAAACTGCATACCAAATTTAAAATATTAAGAAATCAAAATTTTTGGCCGTTTTTGCTAATTTTAATGATGTAACCCCTTATCAAATTTCGCAAAAATGGCCAAAAAATCGATTTCTTCCGGACATGTCTAGAAAGATTCGCAAGTTAAAGCTGATCAAGAATATATATGGTTTATGGGGTCGGAAATGATTCCTTGACTTAGAAAAATATTATTTTGTATTACAAAATCGGGTTTTTTATATTAAAAAACTTCTTGATTATTTTAAAATTAACAAGAAAGGAAGCTAACTTCGGCACGCCGAAGTTTGTATACCCTTGCAGATTGGTTTTGATATTTATATTCAGGCCTGCTCCGGAAATCGAAAACGGCAAGATTTTTTCGTTTTCGTTTTTGAAAACGAGAAATTGGTGCTCCGGTAATCGAAAACGAAAGATTTTTTCGATTTGAAAAACGGGCACCTTTTTCTGGCCGGAATGAAAAGTAAATGGCTTTTTTATATGAAATCAGATCTTATTTACAAAAGGAAAAAAATAGTTTACTCAGTGGTCTAATGATGTTTATTCCACACCACCATAAGATCATTCTGGCAGGTAGTTATTTTATAAAAAATTTATTTCTGATCCCACCTTAAGCCTAGTACTCTGACGAGAAAAAACCGCTGTATAAATTTAGACAGCGGCTAAACTCCATATAAAAAAAAACGGTGTCGAAAAAAAAGAAGAAGAACTTTTAGACACGTCGTTTTTTTCGGTACTCTTACGACGAAAATGAAGCCTGCGAAAATTGAATGGCGTTGCCAGATCAAGATAGTAAACAGCTGATATCGCGCTGTCTAAATAATTCATTTGATTTATTTAGACACCCCTAATGGAGGGAAAAGTTGAAGGAAAAAGGTGGCATTGATAGGGGCTGTCAAGGGGAAGCCCATAATATGGAATTTAACCCACAAAGGACATTTTAATGCCATATTTATTAATATTTTTAATATTTTTTTTGAATATTTGTTTACAAACAGCTGTCCAGTGTGACCAAAGAAAATAATTAAACGCCATAAAAAGTACATTTTCATGGCATTTCAGGATTTTCCTTAATTTTTTTTGGTCACATTAGCTCGGTAGCGAAATAAACAGCGATTCCGCTGTCTAATTTAGACAACGGGTTTTTCTCGTCAGAGTACTAGGCTTTACCTTTTACGGTCGGTGTGACCGTAGTCGTATTACCAAAATAATCCAAGCAAAATTCAAGCAAAATTACACATATAGTTGACTCTTTCAAGGTTCCAATGAAGTAGCTAATTAATGAAAACTGCATTACAGTATCATATGGGCATTAGCAACTTACTTGCCGACATATACAAAATTTATTTAATCATTTTTTATTATTCTAATAAAATAATTTTTTTATTAAAAATCGCTTACGAAGCAGCCGGAGTAGCGATAATTCCGCTTTGGCAGGTCCATAATATGGCGCAACTGCTGCCGAGTTATTTCTCTTTGCTCCCAAAAAACTTTGCTTTTCAGGAATGTTATTTTAAAGTCGATGGTGGCCCCGGTACTACGGGCATGACACTGCCGCATTAATTAGAGACTTTTTTGAAGATTTGACAGCGCTATAGCGTTTTACACAAGTGCGAGCAAGACGACTATATGGCGCTCTAATGCATTAGAATAATGCATTAGCTACTTCATTGCCGCGATAATCGATAGAAATACATAAAATATACCAGATACTCGATACGAAATACTTAAATAAAACAAACTCGAAAAGAGGGAAAAGGAAAGACGCACTCGACTTTGAATCAAAAGCACGCGCGCGCGCACGGCCTACGAACGGTCGCACTGGCTGCACGACGGCAGGGCACACTATCGGAGGCAAAAAACCGGCCAGTGAGCTGGCCACACTAGGGCCTCGCCGAGCCCTATATAAAGCGGGCCACGACACTGGAGAAGTCACTCAGCCGCTGATTGCGATCGTAATCACCCAAGCAGCCAAGTCATTTTTTTCTGGAACCAGGTAAATCCAGGTTTCAACCAAAACATTGTAGTTAGTCGTAGTCTTCCCCGCTAACCCCCCTCTTCCCCGCTAAGACCCTGGACGTCCCGCTGACTACCATGGACGACAGGACGTTACAACTTATTAAATAGTTGAAATCTTCTTGTAAACTCTCTATGTTCTTTGTTTCTGCTGTTGCTATGATTGCTTCTGTTTTTGATTTGTTTTCTACAAACGATGTCTTCATGCGTTTCGGTGCAATCATTTCTTCTTCAAAGTTACTTTCGTCTAACAAAATGTCTTTAGTTATGATTTGCATTCTTTTAGTACTTTTCGTTCCTGATTCTGCTGATGCGCTCTTGCTTCAGCTATTTCAGATTGTACTGAAGCTGCTAATGATTGTTCTGCAGCTAATACTGCTATGTTTGCTGCTATTGCTGCTTTTTTTGATGCTGCTGCTGCTTTATTTGCTATGTATTTTTTATCGGTTCGAGTCATATTTTCAGCTTTCTTCTTCGAATGGAATGAGTTGACATGACAGGTAATTTTTTGTTTAGTGTCTGCTACATATTTGCACATACTTTCTGTACAATAGAATTTTTCCGAGGATGATTTTTTAGTTTCTATCAATTTCAATGCCTTTTCTAATGGCATTTTACCTACGAGGCCGTGCTTTTCAAGCAAATGATCAATAAATGTAGAAATATTTATTGATGGAACATCACAATGTGGACATATTGTTAAACATTCAATCGTACTATTTGCTGGATGCCTATGTTTAATGTGATTTGTTAAGTAGCATTTCTGTGTAAATACCATTGGGCAATGTGGGCATTTTACTTTTCCAATTTTCTTTAATGTTATTTGGCGAAGCAATTGTAGTCTGCGTTTTTGTGTTCTAATATCATGTGCGACATTCTGGTGGTTTAAAAATTCAAATTCATTGTTTGTACTGAATGTGCACGAATCGCATGGATATTTAGCTGTACTACGTTTATCTGTTGTGTCATTTCTTTCGCTATTAATTTCTATATTATTGCTGCTAGTACTAGCAGCAATAGTTATTTCTTCTATATCATTTCCGATATAAATAGGACTAGTACTTTCAGTACTATGAATGCTTTCGTTATTAAATTCTATATTATTGCTGCTAGTACTAGCAGCAATAATAATTTCTTCGTTATCATTTCCGATATTAATAGGGCTAGTACTTTCAGTACTACGATTGCTTCCGTTATTAAATTCTATATTATTGCTGCTAGTACTAGCAGCAATAATATCTTCGTTATCATTTTCGGTATTAATAGGACTGTCATTGATTTCATTATTAATTTCTGTATTATTGCTGCTAGTACTAGCAGCAATAGTAATTTCTTCTAAAACATTATGGAAATTAATAGGACTAGTACTTGCAAATTGAGAGGAATGTTGGGCATTGGTGGCTAACTGGACGGAAGGTAGGGCATTTGTGCATAGTTTGGCGGTAAGCGTTACAGGCTGTGTGGTGGGAAGGAAATAATAATGGTAGAAAAGAAATTATTATATAAGAATGTAGAACGTAGCATGTGTCTAATAAAATATTCGAAAATATTGCAGTATGATGCTGTGCATAGAAAGTTTTATAAATTCAAATTTGAATTTCGTGTTTGCGCACTAGTAATGAACGCAAAGTAACAGGAACAGAATAGACCCAGCAAGCAAAGTTAGGAGGGTTATGAATTGTGTGCCCCAGGAGAAGCGTATTTTAAGAGTGTTTTCTGAGCTATCACATAAGGAAGAGCATTTCATAAGCAATTGTGGGTGTTGTTCCGCATAGACTTAAAAAAAGGTCACATGTGTTTTTATTTTATTCTTAAAAGGTGTCTCCAATGTAAAATTTGCGGTGGATGAAAAAAGAATTTCATTAGTATAATAAAAAAAATACGTTTCCCATATTGTATGTAATAATTAATTGGTTAAAATTAAAGAATTTCACATTATCTATTTAAGATTGGTGAAAAGATTTTCATAGTATGTATATATTTAAATTTGGTTAAAAAATAAGATTTAGTTGATAAGATTTCCATATTTTGTATGTTATAATCCAATTATGAAAAGAATTTAAGATTTGATTTTTAAGATTTGTACAATGTTCCCTATACTTTTTGGAAAAAATAATTAAAAGTATATAGAATCTAAGTTTAAATTTTTGAAACTATTTAAAAATAAAGGTTTCAATTAAGTGTGTAAAAGGAGCCTTTTTCGTGGTTTCATTTTTTGAGCTTTCATGAGCAATTGCCGTGCATTTTCAGTTATTGGTTTTTTTTTTTTTGGAGTTTTAATAAGTAATTAAAGTTAGCGGTGAAAATACCGCGCTGCCATGCGGTTCTCATACCGGTTTGGGAAAAGTGCTTACCATATTTTCTTGAAAAGAGAAACACGTGAATTTCTTAAAATCTGTCGTTAGGATCTAGTCAAAATTAATAAATAAAATCCTAATTAATTTTCCCTTTCGTTTGATATACCGTGCATGTTGGTACATCCTCTGTGAGAGTTGTAATAATTAATTAAAAGTTAGCGTCGAAAAGTGCTTATACTGGCATGACACTGCCGCATTAATTAGAGACTTCATTAAAGATTTTACAGCGCTATAGAGTTTTACACAAGTGCGAGCAAGACGACTATATGGCGCTCTAATGCATTAGAATAATGCATTAGCTACTTCATTGCCGCGGTAATCGATAGATCTACATACTATATACTAGATACTCGATAACAAAATACGGGTTTAATGAAGAAAATTGTAATTGAAAAATGTATTAGCCAGCTCATTGACAGTATGGTCTCACAATGAGAATTTTATTTTTATATCATTTCGCTTGTTTTTTGAACTGAAAATATATTAGAAAATTAGCAAAAATAATATGTTTTGCGGTAGCAAGGTTCTTGCGCTGTAAAATTAATTAAAATGATTTTTTTTGTAATAATTAAAAAAATTTTAAGCATTATAGGTTAAAAACATACATTTAAAGGATTCTGCATTTATTTATGCAATAATACTTCGACGAGGAATTCAGAAATTCATAATAATACGCCGCGAAAGGCGGCCGTTTTTTTTTGTTTACCTTTTACGGTCGGTGTGACCGTAGTCGTATTACCAAAATAATCCAAGCAAAATTACACAAAAGTACACATATAGTTGACTCTTTCAAGGTTCTAATGAAGTAGCTAATTAATGAAAACTGCATTACTGTATCATATGGGCATTACCATTTTCCTGCAGAAGAGAAACACTGGAATTTCTCTAAATCTGTCGTTAGGATCTCGTTCAAATTTATATAGAAAATCATAATTAATGTTTGCATTCGTTTGATGTACCGTGCATGTTGGTACATCCTCTGTGAGAGTTGTAATAATTAATTAAAATTTAGCGTCGAAAACCTGGTTGGCGCATTCAATTGGTGAGAAACATGGGTTGTGTGACGTCACACGTTTGCGATCGGTGGTTTACTTTGCTTACATAAAAGTAAATAAATGAAAAATTGACGTTTTCTCCTGAACGACTGAACGGAATTTGATAAAACACCTACCAAATTGCTTAGAATGACAATGTCGTTTATTGGGCATTCATAATTAATACAATTGTTTAAATTGTCAATGGAAATATTTTTTGGCGGGGATTAATCGATTTATTAAAAGTTAGTTCGGTTCTGTGGCGCGCTGAACCACTGGCTCACGACCGGTTCCAGTTCCGGAGTTCGCGCCTTCCTAACAGCCATTTTGAATGGAAAACTGTAAAGCGATTTTCTCAAAAGCTGTCGTTTTGTTTTTATTAAATTTTTCTCCAAATATTCTATTTTCGCTCCCCAATATGCCCATATACCAGTTATAGTGGTACATCCTCTGAGAGCTAAGCTTGGCGACCTTAAACTTTTGCTGCCGGTTTTTGTATGGAGGGGAACCATAGGTTTGGCCACTGTTGAACGATTTGCTAAAAAACTGTCGTTAGGATTTTAATGAAACTTTCTGGGATTATACTTGAATATGTGCCCCAAAACCTGGCTTACCGTGCTTAGCGGTACATCCTCTGTGGGGGTGCGAAATCTTAAAAAAGGTGGGGACACGATTTTTCCAATGGAAAATTTAGATACCAGCGTTGCTCAAAACTGCCCAAACCCAAAATAAATCAATAGTAAATTTAATTCTCAACATGTAGGTACTTTATTTTGTTCGAATTAGTGCCTTAATAACGAAATAATTAAAAAATAAAAAACCTCCTCCGTGTTCCATTTCCCACCGTTCCATTTCGACGCTAACTCACCGACGCTAATTTGACGGACATTCATTGTCATCGTCAGAGTACCGAAAAAAACGACGTGACTAAAAGTTCTTCTTTTTTTTCGACACAGTTTTTTTTTATATGGAGTTTGGCCGCTGTCTAAATTTATACAGCGGTTTTTTCTCGTCAGAGTTCTAGGCTTAAGGAACGCAAAGAAATGTAAAACAAAAGAAACTGAAGTAGCCACAAGAATGGAATAAAAGAACCCAAAAAGTATGAAGCACAAAAGAACTGAAATACGAAATACTTAAATAAAACAAACTCGAAAAGAGGGAAAAGAGGGAAAAGACGCACTCGACTTTGAATCAAAAGCACGCGCGCGCGCACGGCCTACGAACGGTCGCACTGGCTGCACGACGGCAGGGCACACTATCGGAGGCAAAAAACCGGCCAGTGAGCTGGCCACACTAGGGCCTCGCCGAGCCCTATATAAAGCGGGCCACGACACTGGAGAAGTCACTCAGCCGCTGATTGCGATCGTAATCACCCAAGCAGCCAAGTCATTTTTTTCTGGAACCAGGTAAATCCAGGTTCCAACCAAAACATTGTAGTTAGTCGTAGTCTTCCCCGCTAACCCCCCCCTTCCCCGCTAAGACCCTGGACGTCCCGCTGTAGAGCTGTAAAAACATCGATAGTGCCCCTACTCGATGTTTTCGATAGTGATAGTCCAAACCATCGATATTTTCGATAGTATCAATCGAATTATTATTTAATTTTTTATTTTGTATTTTAAGCGTATTTGCTTTCAATTTTTTTAATTGCGAGGTATGAATACAGCTGCGACAAAAACCATACAATGTATTAAACTATTAAACACACATAAAAACAAAAAGGTTAAAAATTTAAAAGAAAATCTTTTAAATTTTTAACCTTTTTGTTTTTATGAAAATCTTTTAAATTTTTAACCTTTTTGTTTTTATGAAAATCTTTTAAATTTTTAACCTTTTTGTTTTTATGTGTGTTTAATAGTTTAATACATTGTATGGTTTTTGTCGCAGCTGTATTCATACCTCGCAATTAAAAAAATTGAAAGCAAATACGCTTAAAATACAAAATAAAACATTAAATAATAATTCGATTGATACTATCGAAAATGACTATAATAATAACTTATATATTTTTTTTTATTCATTAGTTAGAAAACTTAAAAATTCTCGTATGTCGTTATAAGCCATCGTTTGCTTTCTGATGCTAAAATCGAGAACATTAAAACTATTAATAAAATACCAAGCAATGAAATGAATAAATTTTATTTTTATTGATTATAATGTTAAACGAAAACATGATTAATGATAACATGATTAATTTATTAAACTTAAGAACTACTTGAGATTATAATGAATATGAGATTAACAAAAGAGATCATCCGTTCCACGGGAATTGTTGTTGAATTTGTAATCATAAAAATAAAGAAAAAGTTTGATAACAAAAAATAACAAATTTAGTTAATCCATTCTTTGGAAAACTGTGACTTTGTTTGTAACACAATAAATTTAATCCAGCAGCCACTGATTTTTGTTAAGCATAAGGAGCATGTTTACGCGTTTTGGCTTCAAACAGGTTCGTCGATCCGATATAATTTGACCGGCTTTACTGAACATCCTCTCCGATTCGGTAGATGAAGCCGGGATGCAGAGGTACCGCTTGCCGACTTCAGCCAAGGTTGGGTATTCCAAGAAATGAGTCTGTAGATAAGAAAACATATACATATATATAATTTATATTTTTTAAACATTTTATATAATTTAAAAAATATTGTTTTTTTTAATTACCTTCCAATACGTAAGAGGATCCAGAGACTGCATAGAGTTAGGCTTCTCTGTGTACTGCCTAAGTGCCAAGATTGAGTCCACCCTCTTGTTTCTGATTTTAGTTTGACATTTTTCTTGAACGTACCCAATTAGGGACAATCCGTCGACCTCTCTTGGTAATTGTTCTTCTGGCTCTATTTCGATTGCAGGAGAAATTGTTAGCTCATCCTCTAACGCCTTCATGGCCTCCGCGGCGTTGAAAGGACTTCTAAAGGCCTCCTTCTTAAATCTCGGATCCAACATAGTGGCAATCCTAGTTACAGTCCTTGTCTCGTACTGAAACAATCGAGTTTCAACCCCTTTCTTTAATAACTCACAGACTCCAAGTCCTTCTGTGGTTTGCAATTTGGTTGTAATTTTTTCTAGGTTTAAGTACAATCCGCACGCCACCGGTATTATTAAAGAAATTGTCACCTTTGTATCGCCAGACACATAATGCGTAGCATCGTCAAAAATTTTTAAAAGCTCGCAAATGTCAGTCAGCAGGTTTATTTCATCTGCATTTAACATCTGCTCCGACTTCGGAGTATTTAACAGAACTGAACTGATTTCATTTTTCAGTTGCAAAAATCTTTTCAGCATATCAAACGCGCTATTCCAGCGGGTTGGCACTTCTTGAACTAGGCTATATGCATTATCACCTTGAGCCGTCCTTAATTTAGCATAAGCAGTGGCGCTACTTTTAAAATACGTCACAATTGCTTTGCACTTACCAAGTGCCGACTTGACAAGCGATGAGGACAAAACATCTTGTACAACAAGATTTAGGGTATGAGCGAAACATCCCAAATTACGCTTCTTTAGAAGTTTGCACGCATTTAACATCGCAGGTGCGTTGTCCGTGACTATAGCAACCACTTTGTTGAAAATATGCCATTCATTCAACGCGAGCTCCAAAGTGTCTGCAATATTTTGCCCGGTGTGATTATGTTCATTGACAAGAGGCATGGTTGACAAAACCACCGACTTCAGTTCAAAATCACTAATGAAGTGGCAGGTTATTGTCAAATAATTAGTGTTCGCTTTTGATGTCCATCCGTCAGTCGTGATTGCACAATATTCTATCTTGCTTAAGATGTCTTGAAGTTTTGCGATCATACTTAAATGCATGTTTTTTAGATAGATATCGCGAATCTGGTACCGACTTGGTACTTTGTATTTTGGATCAAGAATGTTGAGGAGGTTGATAAAACCCTTGTTTTCAACTATTGAAATGGGTTGAACATCCGTGGCGATCATTTTTGCCACTGCCATATCGATGCTTTGTTTACGTTTTGATCCGTCCTCATACGTATTGGCGCTCTCAAAGTACGTAGTTATTTTCGGTACGGAAATTCCTGAAGATTTGTGCTCCGGGTGCTTCCTTGTCAGATGGTCTTTTAAATTGGACGTATTTCCGCTGGTGCGATATGACTTCGAACAAATATTGCACCTAGCAGTCCCATCCTTACCACGTGTGAAGAACGTCCACACCTCGGACACCAATGGTTTTTTTGGCTTGGTCGTTGTACTGACCTCGTTGTTGTTGTCATCTATTAAACAAAACATACAAGATATAGATACATATACGTACACTAATGAATTATAATGATTTACCTGCTTTTGTTGCCAAAAACTTGTCCATTTTTCACTTTTCATAGATTTGTTTTTTCTGGAACGACGCTTCTGCAACTAGTGATGTTAAAAAAACGCGATACATCGATGGTGGAAAAAAAAAATCGATGTATCGCGCAGCCCAGCCACTATCGATAATATCGATAGTACCATCGATGTTTTTACAGCTCTATCCCGCTGACTACCATGGACGACAGGACGTTACAACTTATTAAATAGTTGAAATCTTCTTGTAAACTCTCTATGTTCTTTGTTTCTGCTGTTGCTATGATTGCTTCTGTTTTTGATTTGTTTTCTACAAACGATGTCTTCATGCGTTTCGGTGCAATCATTTCTTCTTCAAAGTTACTTTCGTCTAACAAAATGTCTTTAGTTATGATTTGCATTCTTTTAGTACTTTTCGTTCCTGATTCTGCTGATGCGCTCTTGCTTCAGCTATTTCAGATTGTACTGAAGCTGCTAATGATTGTTCTGCAGCTAATACTGCTATGTTTGCTGCTATTGCTGCTTTTTTTGATGCTGCTGCTGCTTTATTTGCTATGTATTTTTTATCGGTTCGAGTCATATTTTCAGCTTTCTTCTTCGAATGGAATGAGTTGACATGACAGGTAATTTTTTGTTTAGTGTCTGCTACATATTTGCACATACTTTCTGTACAATAGAATTTTTCCGAGGATGATTTTTTAGTTTCTATCAATTTCAATGCCTTTTCTAATGGCATTTTACCTACGAGGCCGTGCTTTTCAAGCAAATGATCAATAAATGTAGAAATATTTATTGATGGAACATCACAATGTGGACATATTGTTAAACATTCAATCGTACTATTTGCTGGATGCCTATGTTTAATGTGATTTGTTAAGTAGCATTTCTGTGTAAATACCATTGGGCAATGTGGGCATTTTACTTTTCCAATTTTCTTTAATGTTATTTGGCGAAGCAATTGTAGTCTGCGTTTTTGTGTTCTAATATCATGTGCGACATTCTGGTGGTTTAAAAATTCAAATTCATTGTTTGTACTGAATGTGCACGAATCGCATGGATATTTAGCTGTACTACGTTTATCTGTTGTGTCATTTCTTTCGCTATTAATTTCTATATTATTGCTGCTAGTACTAGCAGCAATAGTTATTTCTTCTATATCATTTCCGATATAAATAGGACTAGTACTTTCAGTACTACGATTGCTTCCGTTATTAAATTCTATATTATTGCTGCTAGTACTAGCAGCAATAATATCTTCGTTATCATTTTCGGTATTAATAGGACTGTCATTGATTTCATTATTAATTTCTGTATTATTGCTGCTAGTACTAGCAGCAATAGTAATTTCTTCTAAAACATTATGGAAATTAATAGGACTAGTACTTGCAAATTGAGAGGAATGTTGGGCATTGGTGGCTAACTGGACGGAAGGTAGGGCATTTGTGCATAGTTTGGCGGTAAGCGTTACAGGCTGTGTGGTGGGAAGGAAATAATAATGGTAGAAAAGAAATTATTATATAAGAATGTAGAACGTAGCATGTGTCTAATAAAATATTCGAAAATATTGCAGTATGATGCTGTGCATAGAAAGTTTTATAAATTCAAATTTGAATTTCGTGTTTGCGCACTAGTAATGAACGCAAAGTAACAGGAACAGAATAGACCCAGCAAGCAAAGTTAGGAGGGTTATGAATTGTGTGCCCCAGGAGAAGCGTATTTTAAGAGTGTTTTCTGAGCTATCACATAAGGAAGAGCATTTCATAAGCAAATGTGGGTGTTGTTCCGCATAGACTTAAAAAAAGGTCACATGTGTTTTTTGATTTTTAAGATTTGTATTATGTTCCCTATACTTTTTGAAAAAAATAATTAAAAGTATATAGAATCTAAGTTTAAATTTTTGAAACTATTTAAAAATAAAGGTTTCAATAAAGTGTGTAAAAGGAGCCTTTTTAAACGCGTTTAAAGTTTTAAAGTCGTATATGATTACATGTGAGGCATCGCCGCAGAATGGAAAATTTCGACACTTAAAAACTTTTGCCGGACTCTATCTTTTGATATGTTATTTTTTAGATCCTAAAGAATTATTTAAGGAAAAAAAAATTAATGATTTTTTAGAAAAATTACTCAGATGTCTGCCCTTAAGAGGTATTCATACTTACTTGAGGATTCGGTGGCTGCATTATCAGCGAATGTTGGTTGCTGAGCGCCTCCGTTGGATCAATAGAGGACGGCTGCTGCAGTGGTTGCCAAGCCACTTGATGGTGAAGGTGTATGGGCTGGCGATGCGGTACCTCCTGATGCGGTACCTCCTGCTGTTGTTGTTGTTGCTGCTGCTGAAAGTACATATGGAAGTCCATATGTAATAAGACACCATTTTGTGTGTGTGTATGTGTGTGTGCATCTTTACACTTTTTTGGACTAACCAAATACATGGCGGCTATCGTATTTATGCGCGGCATTCAAGCTATCTAAGAAAAGTGCTGCCTGAAAAGGTAAGAAATGGAAAATTAGATAATTTAAATTAAATTTAAATTAAGTACTACTTACATTTCTGTTATCCATTTTTCAGCTTTCTTCTGTATTGTATCCTTCCGCGTGGTCAGCGTTGCCAGATGAAAATTTGGCTCTCTTCAGCTTTCTTCTTTATTCTTTCCTTCCGCGTGGTCAGCGTTGCCAGATGAAAATTTGGCTCTCCCCCTAAGAAATCGCAAGAAGTTTAAATTTTCCCCATAAAAAATCCAGTTTTCACCCCAAATTTAAAAAATCAGTTAATTTCATAAATATAAGGAAGAAACATATATATATATATGCATCGATAACATTTTCTGAAAACTCGACATGGAAACCTTTTTGTATTGTAAATCATTATAAACAGGCCTGCTCCGGTAATCGAAAACGGGAAGATTTTTTCGTTTTCGTTTTTGAAAACGAGAAATTGGTGCTCCGGTAATCGAAAACGAAAGATTTTTTCGATTCGAAAAACGGGCACCTTTTTCTGGCCGGAATGAAAAGTAAATGGCTTTTTTTTATATGAAATCCTATCTTATTTTCAAAAAGATAAAAATAAAATACTCAGGGGTCTATTGATGTTTATTCCACACCACCACAAGATCATTCCAGCAGGTAGTTATTTTATAAAAAATTTATTTCTGACCCCACCTCAGATTTGACAACAAAATTTTTGCCGTGTTCAACCAGTTTTCTCGTTTTGGCGATAGGTCGATAAGTTCACTGCAAAAAGTTATCGCCAAGGTTGCCATATTGTTGGTGGAACGAAACAGCCAGTTAAAAATACTTATAAAATATAAATGAATACATTAATAACTTTAAAGGACCGCCAAAATTGTTGTTTATAATTAATGCTATTTAATGTGATTACTTAAATGGTCCAAATTAACCAAATAATTATTTGAGACCACCGGAATTAAAACTGTGAAAAGTGTGGCAGCTTCTTAGGTGCCTAGATTTGCTTAACTCTACCATTTTTTGCCTTTTTCTGGCTTAGAAAAAGGGCAATTGTAAATATAATAGGCAGTACTTTACGTTGTTTGCTTATTACCAACAACACAAGTTAGCTGCTTGAGCAGTAAGAAACGATGAAAAAACAAAACATTTCGATAGCAGAAATTTGCCGAAAACCGGAGCAGCTAAAAACTAAAACGGTTCGTTTTCGCCCAAAACGAAATCGACGAAATTTTACGATTACCGGAGCAGGCCTGAATAAAAATAACGTTTCAATAAATGACTTTTTATAAATAAATTACGCACACTGTACAACGCAGCATGCCCGAATATTTATATAATAATTTATTATTTCATAGGGCTGCCTATTATTATTATTGGAAAAATAAATAAAAAATTTATAAACTGATCGGTGGTTGTTAATAGATACAGTTCTGGAAGTGCGAATAATATTTTATAAATTATGTTTGATATTCCACATGTTATTTTATTCATAAACCAACCAATTCAAATAATATAAAATACATTACGTAAATATTTAAACAAAACTAATAAATATAAAGAAATCGACTAACAAAAGTTAAAATATTACGTTCCAACTAACCATCCATACAATTTACAAAAGCTATCGATACATTGATATATTTGAATAAATGCTCGATAACTGATTGGTGTCATCCCTGGTTTTTACCGCTTTAAGTTATCGACTTGGCGACAAAAGTCTTCTTCTTTGTGACCACGGAAACCAACGAATCTGGCGTCGAAACCGAGATGGACTATTATAAGAAGTACAGGTTTAATCTTAACCGCGACAAAACCTTGTCGATCTACGCCAAGCGCGATGAGATCTTGGCGGCAATCAAAGGTAATCCGGTCGTAATTTTGAAGGGCGAGACGGGCTGCGGCAAGACGACGCAGGTAAGTCAAGCTCATTTCTATTACATATCCATTTAAATTAAAGATCAATGTGATTTAAATTAGTGAAGGAGTCATTTCCTATTACATTTTCCATATATAGTGGCTTATTTCAACTCAATTCTGATTTCAGGTCCCGCAATACATTCTTGACGAGGGCTTCATGACCGGCCAGTATTGCAACATTGTGGTGGCCCAGCCGCGTCGCATAGCCGCCATCTCCATTGCAAACAGGGTTTGTGAGGAGCGCCATTGGCAACTGGGCACTGTGTGCGGCTACCAGGTGGGCTTGCACCGTGAGACTGGAGACGACACCCGTTTGCTCTACTGCACCACCGGAGTGCTGCTGAACATGCTCATACACAATAAGACATTGACTCACTATACGCACATCGTGCTCGATGAGGTGCACGAGCGCGATCAGGATATGGATTTCCTGCTCATTGTGGTGCGTCGCCTGCTGGCAACCAACTCGTGCCACGTAAAGGTCATCCTGATGTCGGCTACAATCGATCCTCGCGGCTTTGCCGACTACTTTGCCACCAGGAACTCGATGCCACCAGTGATCAGCACCAGTCATGGACGGAAACACTCGATTGAGAAGTTTTACCGCGATCAGTTGACCAGCATCAAGTGGAAAGACGATGTGGAGGGTCAGAACGAACCGCGAATCCTGGAGGATGGCTACAAGGCGGCGTTGAAGATTATTCTGATCATTAACAACATGGAAAGGCAGGCGGAGAGGCATTCGGGAGTGAGCTACCACGAGGCCATGCGCCAAGGGGCCGTGCTCATCTTTTTGCCCGGTATCTATGAAATTGAGTGCATGGCGGATAGTATTACCAATTTGTTGATGCAAGAGTAAGCAAAGTTGGCACATTTTTGTCACATTTTTATTTTATTTTGTATTGTTTTTCCCCACAGTAACTCCATGAAGATTAATATTGTGAGATACTGCTCCCTTATATCTACCGAAGATCAGCGGGGTGTGCTTTGAATCCCCGCCGTCCGGATACCGGAAGGTCATTCTCGCAACCAACATTGCTGAGAGCTCCATAACGGTACCGGATGTGTCGTACGTCATTGATTTCTGCCTTACGAACTGATGTGTAACCACGTTCGGGCGGCGTTGATCCCTCCTTCTCACCACTGAGTGCACCATCTGACTTGGCACCGCCGTTTGGCGGCAGCGGCAACTGGGCATCATCATAGCTGGGCGTCACAGATTCCGCGCACATGCACTCCAGCAGACTGAAGATAATCTGCCAGTCCTGTTCGGAGTGTATATTCTGGGCCGAGGTCTTCAGCAGCTCGTAGATGCCAATCGAAATCTGCTTCGAGATGTGCTGCAGCAGTGCCGGGTTCAGCTCGGCGACGGATGAGTAACATCGGCGCCCAGGTATATTATTATTTCTTTCCTGCCACCCAGTCTGTAACGCTTGCCGCCCAACTAGCCACCAATGCCCAACCTTCCGCTCAATTTGCCAATGCTCTGCCTGCCGCCCAGCTTGGGCAATGTTTTATTGTGTATCAATTTGTTCAGCAGCACTCCGGTGGTGCAGTAAAGCAAACGGGTGTCGTCTCCAGTGGCACGGTGCAGGCCCACCTGGTAGCTGCACACGGTGCGCGGTTGCCATTGGCGCTCCTCGCAAACCCTATTTGCAATGGAGATGGCGGCTATGCGACGCGGCTGGGTCACCACAATGTTGCAGTACTGGCCGGTCCTGAAGCCCTCGTCAAGAATGTATTGCGGGACCTAAAGTCAGTGTTGGTGGCCTTATCGGTGACCAGCACCTTCGTAAGGCAGAAATCAATGACGTACGACACATCCGGTACCGTTATGGAGCTCTCAGCAATGTTGGTTGCGAGAATGACCTTCCGGTATCCGGACGGCGGGGATTCAAAGACCACCCCGCTGATCTTCGGTAGATATAAGGGAGCAGTATCTCACAATATTAATCTTCATGGAGTTACTGTGGGGAAAAACAATACAAAATAAAATAAAAATGTGACAAAAATGTGCCAACTTTGCTTACTCTTGCATCAACAAATTGGTAATACTATCCGCCATGCACTCAATTTCATAGATACCGGGCAAAAAGATGAGCACGGCCCCTTGGCGCATGGCCTCGTGGTAGCTCACTCCCGAATGCCTCTCCGCCTGCCTTTCCATGTTGTTAATGATCAGAATAATCTTCAACGCCGCCTTGTAGCCATCCTCCAGGATTCGCGGTTCGTTCTGACCCTCCACATCGTCTTTCCACTTGATGCTGGTCAACTGATCGCGGTAAAACTTCTCATCGAGTGTTTCCGTCCATGACTGGTGCTGATCACTGGTGGCATCGAGTTCCTGGTGGCAAAGTAGTCGGCAAAGCCGCGAGGATCGATTGTAGCCGACATCAGGATGACCTTTACGTGGCACGAGTTGGTTGCCAGCAGGCGACGCACCACAATGAGCAGGAAATCCATATCCTGATCGCGCTCGTGCACCTCATCGAGCACGATGTGCGTATAGTGAGTCAATGTCTTATTGTGTATGAGCATGTTCAGCAGCACTCCGGTGGTGCAGTAGAGCAAACGGGTGTCGTCTCCAGTCTCACGGTGCAAGCCCACCTGGTAGCCGCACACAGTGCCCAGTTGCCAATGGCGCTCCTCACAAACCCTGTTTGCAATGGAGATGGCGGCTATGCGACGCGGCTGGGCCACCACAATGTTGCAATACTGGCCGGTCATGAAGCCCTCGTCAAGAATGTATTGCGGGACCTGAAATCAGAATTGAGTTGAAATAAGCCACTATATATGGAAAATGTAATAGGAAATGACTCCTTCACTAATTTAAATCACATTGATCTTTAATTTAAATGGATATGTAATAGAAATGAGCTTGACTTACCTGCGTCGTCTTGCCGCAGCCCGTCTCGCCCTTCAAAATTACGACCGGATTACCTTTGATTGCCGCCAAGATCTCATCGCGCTTGGCGTAGATCGACAAGGTTTTGTCGCGGTTAAGATTAAACCTGTACTTCTTATAATAGTCCATCTCGGTTTCGACGCCAGATTCGTTGGTTTCCGTGGTCACAAAGAAGAAGACTTTTGTCGCCAAGTCGATAACTTAAAGCGGTAAAAACCAGGGATGACACCAATCAGTTATCGAGCATTTATTCAAATATATCAATGTATCGATAGCTTTTGTAAATTGTATGGATGGTTAGTTGGAACGTAATATTTTAACTTTTGTTAGTCGATTTCTTTATATTTATTAGTTTTGTTTAAATATTTACGTAATGTATTTTATATTATTTGAATTGGTTGGTTTATGAATAAAATAACATGTGGAATATCAAACATAATTTATAAAATATTATTCGCACTTCCAGAACTGTATCTATTAAAAACCACCGATCAGTTTATAAATTTTTTATTTATTTTTCCAATAATAATAATAGGCAGCCCTATGAAATAATAAATTATTATATAAATATTCGGGCATGCTGCGTTGTACAGTGTGCGTAATTTATTTATAAAAAGTCATTTATTGAAACGTTATTTTTATTCAGGCCTGCTCCGGTAATCGTAAAATTTCGTCGATTTCGTTTTGGGCGAAAACGAACCGTTTTAGTTTTTAGCTGCTCCGGTTTTCGGCAAATTTCTGCTATCGAAATGTTTCGTTTTTTCATCGTTTCTTACTGCTCAAGCAGCTAACTTGTGTTGTTGGTAATAAGCAAACAACGTAAAGTACTGCCTATTATATTTACAATAGCCCTTTTTCTAAGCCAGAAAAAGGCAAAAAATGGTAGAGTTAAGCAAATCTAGGCACCTAAGAAGCTGCCACACTTTTCACAGTTTTAATTCCGGTGGTCTCAAATAATTATTTGGTTAATTTGGACCATTTAAGTAATCACATTAAATAGCATTAATTATAAACAACAATTTTGGCGGTCCTTTAAAGTTATTAATGTATTCATTTATATTTTATAAGTATTTTTAACTGGCTGTTTCGTTCCACCAACAATATGGCAACCTTGGCGATAACTTTTTGCAGTGAACTTATCGACCTATCGCCAAAACGAGAAAACTGGTTGAACACGGCAAAAATTTTGTTGTCAAATCTGAGGTGGGGTCAGAAATAAATTTTTTATAAAATAACTACCTGCTGGAATGATCTTGTGGTGGTGTGGAATAAACATCAATAGACCCCTGAGTATTTTATTTTTATCTTTTTGAAAATAAGATAGGATTTCATATAAAAAAAAGCCATTTACTTTTCATTCCGGCCAAAAAAAGGTGCCCGTTTTTCGAATCGAAAAAATCTTTCGTTTTCGATTACCGGAGCACCAATTTCTCGTTTTCAAAAACGAAAACGAAAAAATCTTCCCGTTTTCGATTACCGGAGCAGGCCTGTTTATAATGATTTACAATACAAAAAGGTTTCCATGTCGAGTTTTCAGAAAATGTTATCGATGCATATATATATATGTTTCTTCCTTATATTTATGAAATTAACTGATTTTTTAAATTTGGGGTGAAAACTGGATTTTTTATGGGGAAAATTTAAACTTCTTGCGATTTCTTAGGGGGAGAGCCAAATTTTCATCTGGCAACGCTGACCACGCGGAAGGATACAATACAGAAGAAAGCTGAAAAATGGATAACAGAAATGTAAGTAGTACTTAATTTAAATTTAATTTAAATTATCTAATTTTCCATTTCTTACCTTTTCAGGCAGCACTTTTCTTAGATAGCTTGAATGCCGCGCATAAATACGATAGCCGCCATGTATTTGGTTAGTCCAAAAAGTGTAAAGATGCACGCACACATACACACACACAAAATGGTGTCTTATTACATATGGACTTCCATATGTACTTTCAGCAGCAGCAACAACAACAACAGCAGGAGGTACCGCATCGCCAGCCCATACACCTTCACCATCAAGTGGCTTGGCAACCACTGCAGCAGCCGTCCTCTATTGATCCAACGGAGGCGCTCAGCAACCAACATTCGCTGATAATGCAGCCACCGAATCCTCAAGTAAGTATGAATACCTCTTAAGGGCAGACATCTGAGTAATTTTTTTTAAAAATCATTAATTTTTTTTTTCCTTAAATAATTCTTTAGGATCTAAAAAATAACATATCAAAAGATAGAGTCCGGCAAAAGTTTTTAAGTGTCGAAATTTTCCATTCTGCGGCGATGCCTCACATGTAATCATATACGATTTTAAAACTTTAAACGCGTTTATCTCAAAACCACTTTTTTTGAGTTGGCCGGAAACCTAACTCGAACAAATCTTAACCGATCGATCTGAAATTTTGACAGTATATCCAAAATATCTATGGCTATCGACACACGTAGGATTTTTTTTATTTTTTTGCTTTTACTTTTTTTTTATCAACAATTTTGTGACGTTTTTTTTCATGAAAATTGAACTTTTTATTTAATCACTCACCATTTTGCTAAAAATCAAAATATCTAAAAAATCCTACGTGTGTCGATAGCGGTTGATATAAAGAAACTTACAAAATTTGATTTTTTGTTATACATCAAAAATTTAGGACGTTAGGTTTTCGGTCATGGACCCCTTTCAAAAAAATAGGGCCTACAAAGACATGCTCTAATATAATAATAACTTTCTATGTCTACTTTTAGCTACTACAGCAACAGCAACTGCTGCAAATGCTGCAACAGCAGCAGCAGATAATGGCACTGCAGCAGCAGCAGATAATGGCACAGCAGCAACTGATTATGCCTCAGCAGCAGCAGATAATGGCACTGCAGCAGCAGCAGATAATGGCACAGCAGCAACTGATTATGCCTCAGCAGCAGCAGATAATGGCACTGCAGCAGCAGCAGATAATGGCACAGCAGCAGCAGCAGATAATGCCACAGCAGCAACTGATTATGCCTCAGCAGCAGCAGATAATGCCACAGCAGCAGCAGCAGATAATGCCGCAGCAACTGATTATGCCTCAGCAGCAGCAGATAATGCCACAGCAGCAGCAGCAGATAATGCCACAGCAGCAGCAGCAGATAATGCCGCAGCAACTGATTATGCCTCAGCAGCAGCAGATAATGGCACTGCAGCAGCAGCAGATAATGGCACAGCAGCAACTGATTATGCCTCAGCAGCAGCAGATAATGGCACTGCAGCAGCAGCAGATAATGGCACAGCAGCAGCAGCAGATAATGCCACAGCAGCTGCTTATGCAAATGCAGCAGCAGCCGCAGCAGCAGCATATTATGCCACAGCAAGTGTTGATAACGCATCAACAATTGCCTCAACGCACGCCTTCTCCGCAACAGCAGCAGCAAATGCCGGAGCATTGCTCCCCACAAAGTCCGGCATCAAGTCAGATAGCGCCCACCACTCCGGGAACTCCCACCAGCAGTGTGGGAAAGCAATTGCCGCTACCCACAACGCCTCAGCAGCAGCCGCAGCAACCGCAACAGTTTATGCCGCGCGGCCTGCCACCGCAGACCTCGTTGCCCGGTAAGCAGCAGCAACCACAAGCTCCACAGCTGCAGATCGTGTTGCCACCACCATTCCAACAGCAACAACCTCAGCAGGTGCCACAGCAGCAGCAGCAGCCACCGCAGACGCACGCGCACTTTATGTCCTTGGATGCGCACAAGACAGCCGAGTGCATTGCCAAGGTGAATCAGCAGAATAAGCCGCGGGTACGCCAGCAGGTTCCTTACCAACCGCCAACTGGAGCACCGGGCAGCATAGTTGCAACACAGCCGGCATGGAGTTCTGTTGTACCGCCGGGCCACATTATTGTCAAGATGCAGAAGCCACCGGGATTTACGCAGCAGCAGCAGATGCTCTGGCTGCAGCAACAGGGCAAGCTACAGGTGGTCGTCGGAGCCGGCGGCACTCCTGGTCTCACCCCGATACATCAGCAGCAGCAACCGGAAGTGGGAGTGGGTCATGCGACACAGCAACAGCAACAGGTGCCGCAGCAGCCGCTAGGCAAGGAAGCAGTGCAGCTCATCACTGGACCCAAAGGACAGCACATAGAGCAGCAGACGATTGTCCAACAGCCTTCAACGCCGGGAACACCCACCCCTCCGGGGGCAATGCCGGGTTCTGTAACAGGCGGTGCCAACACTTCGGTCACGACTTCAACAAGTGAGTACATTTTTTCTGAAATTGTTTTGTATTTTGGTAATTCCACAAAAATTATGAATTACGAATTCTTCAAATTTCATTTACACTGCTCAAAGTATTTCCTTGACAACCCTTACATCTTTTCTCACTCACCCAGCTCCCGATGGACAGCCCCAAGTAACCAAGGAACAAGTGGTAACCGAAGCTACACCGCAGCAGCAACAACAACAGCAGCAGCAGCAACACCATTCGCCAATGAGGCCGGCCATGCCTCCGGTAAGTTTAAAAATTAAAAAAGATACAACCACGCATTGCTGTGCTGTGTGCAGGGTATTATAATTTCAGTCCGAAATTTGCGAAGCAGTGAAAGAGACGTATCCGACCCTATAACGTATATATATTCTTAATCAGCATCATCAGCCTAGTCCATCTAGCCCTGTCTGTCTGTCCGTCCGACTGATCAAACTAGTCCCTCCATTTTAAATATTTCACAATAACAATTTACTTATAGTCCTCTATATATGTCTCAGCGGTCCGGATCGGACGAATCAGTTGATGTGAACAAAATGTCAAGCTGGGAATGTAAAGCTGTAACTGTCAAACTGTAAACATAATAGGTATAGGTGAAATGTAATGAAACTCTGTTCAGTGCCTGTTTTCGGCATTATAATTTATAATATAAATATGAAAATCAATCTGCAAGGGTATACAAACTTCGGCATGCCGAAGATAGCTTCCTTTCTTGCTTAATAACAAATTTTTAATTTCTTAAATGTCTTCATACAGGCCACCACACTGGATTCGGTTACCGCACAAGCCACGACACCGGCCATGCTTGCGGTAAGTTCAGAAACAAACATAAAGTATATATATTTGTGATCAGCTTCAACAGCCGAGTCGATCTAGCCATGTCTGTCTGTCTGTCTGTCCGTCTGTCCGTCTGTCTGTCTGTCCGTCTGTCCGACTGTCTGTCTGTCCGTTTCTACGCAAACTAGTACTTCAGTTTTAAAGTTATCTGAATGAAACTTTGCATATATTGTTGTAGAATTTTGGTATAAATTTCATAAAAATCGGACAAATATATCATATAGCTGCCATAGAAGCGATCGGTAATTGTATCAAATATGTAAAGCTGGGAAGCTGTCAAACTGTAAATATAATAAAATGTAATGAAACTCTGTGCTTGTGAGTGTTTTCAGCATTTAAATCTATTATTTAACCATCAAAACAAATCTGCAAGGATATACTAACTTCGGCGTGCCGAAGTTAGTTTCCTTTCTTGTTTTACATTGATTTCTTGTCGTAAATTGCATAGAAAATCAGTCGACAGTATAATTTGTTACACATATTTCCTTAATTTTAAAACAGCAGAATAAATGTCTGTCTTCGTTAAAAAACCAAAGAAAGTTAAATTTAAATTTTTATTTCTTATTTAAATTACATTATATTTGCTATTTGTGTCTACTTAAGCTATTAAAGTTAATGTTTACTTATATTTGATGGAACAGATTAGTAATTTTAATGAATTGTATGATATTTAATATGTCGTTGGGGCTTGATAGGAACTCCATTGGGTTATACTGGCATGACACTGCCGCATTAAATAGAGACTTCATTAAAGATTTGACAGCGCTATAGCGTTTTACACAAGTGCGAGCAAGACGACTATATGGCGCTCTAATGCATTAGAATAATGCATTAGCTACTTCATTGCCGCGATAATCGATAGATCTACATAAAATATACCAGATACTCGATAACAAAATACGGGTTTAATGAAGAAAATTGTAATTGAAAAATATATTAGCCAGTTCATTGACAGTATGGTCTCACAATGAGAATTTTATTTCTATAGCATTTCTCTGGTTTTTTGAACTCAAAAAATATTAGAAAATTAGGAAAAATAATATGTTTTGCAAGGTTCTTGCTCTGCAAAATTAATTAAACATTTTTTTTTTGTAATAATTAAAAAAATTGGAAGCATCATTGGTTAAAAACACAAATTTAAAGGATTCTGCATTTATTTATGCAAGAATACTTCGACGAGGAATTTAGAAATTCATAGTAATACGCCGCGAATGGCGGCCGTTTTTTTTGTTTACCTTTTACGGTCGGTGATGATTCACATGGGAGACATCAATATCCGCCGCCGGGTCGGCCTTTTCCTCATCACCGGTTGTTGTCAACACCGGACCTGCCGGGCGGGCAGGAACCTGAGGTTCTTGTTGTCCTGCCGGCCCGGCAGGAACGGGAGGGTCGCGTTCCTCTGCCGGCCCGGCAGGAACAGGCGCCCTGTTTGGCAATGCCAACATCCTTCCTCGCATCTCAGGATGGCCCATTTGGCATGCTAGCTGGGCCAAGGCCCAGCGTTGCTTCCAGTTGAGACCTTGGGGGGCGGGAGCAGTCCCGCCGCTGCTCATCCCGCCGCTGCTTACGCAGTGCTCTTCGACCTGCTCCTCGACCTGCTCCTTCTGCTGCTGATCCAGCTGCGGAGGTGCTTCTTCTTTCTTCGCCTTTTTTGCAGGTGGCTCTTTAATTGAAAAGAAGTCCGCTCAGATCGCTTATCAGCAGCAAAATACTCGAAATCAAAGCGGCTATACGTACTGGTGATGCCCTCGAGGAATTCTTTTAAATTGCCTGTGAAATTCTCGCAATACACGAATTTTGAAAACGACGAAGACATATTTGCATATTATATATTATATATTATAACAACAAAAACCAAACCAACACAAATGAACAGTAAAAAAATCAAAAATTGCACTTACGGGCAGATCGGCCATTGTTTTCTTGTAGTTTTCTTGCACTTGCACCGAAAAAATTTTACGCTTTTCGAAACGAGACCATGACAAGTTGCACAGGAATGGGAAAAATAGCAATAGTTTCGTAAACTATCGTATTTCAGGTATTGAAGGTGAGTTGTTTGTGAGTTTTTCAAGCGATTCCCACTTACACTTATCTGTGTCGCAGCGCAAAGATGGAGTCGCTCAGGTGGCCAAGATGATTCGATTTGCCGCCACATCTACCCAGGAGCGTAAGGCAAAGATTATGAAACTGCTAGAGTTCTTTCAGCACAACCTGGACCCAACTATCAGCCGTTTTGGCATCCGTATCGCCAATGATTTTATTGTAGTAATACTGGCATGACACTGCCGCATTAATTATGCCCATATGATACACTAATGCAGTTTTCATTAATTAGCTACTTCATTAGAACCTTGAAAGAGACCACTATATGTGTAATTTTGTGTAATTTGGCTTCGATTTTGCTTGGATTATTTTGGTAATACGACTACGGTCACACCGACCGTAAAAGGTAAACAAAAAAACGGCCGTCATTCGCGGCGTATTATTATGAATTTCTGAATTCCTCGTCGAAGTATTCTTGCAAAAATAAATGCAGAATCCTTTAAATTTGTGTTTTTAACCTATAATGCTTAAAATTTTTTTAATTATTACAAAAAAAATAATTTAAATTAATTTTACAGCGCAGGAACCTTGCTACCGCAAAACATATTATTTTTGCTAATTTTCTAATAATTTTTCAGTTCAAAAAACCAGCGAAATTATATAAAAATAAAATTCTCATTGTGAGACCATACTGTCAATGAGCTGGCTAATACATTTTTCAATTACAATTTTCTTCATTAAACCCGAATTTTGTTATCGAGTATCTAGTATTTTTATGTAGATCTATCGATTATCGCGCCAATGAAGTAGCTAATGCATTATTCTAATGCATTAGAGCGCCATATAGTCGTCTTGCTCGCACTTGTGTAAACCGCTATAGCGCTGTCAAATCTTTAATGAAGTCTCTAATGCCCATATGATACACTAATGCAGTTTTCATTAATAAGCTACTTCATTAGAACCTTGAAAGAGACCACTATATGTGTAATTTTGTGTAATTTGGCTTGAATTTTGCTTGGATTATTTTGGTAATACGACTACGGTCACATCGTCCGTAAAAGGTAAACAAAAAAACGGCCGCCATTCGCGGCGTATTACTATGAATTTCTGAATTCCTCGTCGAAGTATTCTTGCATAAATAAATGCAGAATCCTTTAAATTTATGTTTTTAACCTATGATGCTTAAAATTTTTTTAATTATTACCAAAAAAAAATTTTAAATTAAATTTACAGCGCAAGAACCTTGCCACCGCAAAACATATTATTTTTCCTAATTTTCTAATATTTTTTCAGTTAAAAAAACCAGCGAAATTATATAAAAATAAATATCTCATTGTGAGACCATACTGTCAATGAGCTGGCTAATACATTTTTCAATTACAATTTTCTTCATTAAACCCGTATTTTGTTATCGAGTATCTAGTATATTTTATGTAGATCTATCGATTATCGCTCCAATGAAGTAGCTAATGCATTATTCTAATGCATTAGAGCGCCATATAGTCGTCTTGCTCGCACTTGTGTAAAACGCTATAGCGCTGTCAAATCTTTAATGAAGTCTCTAATTAATGCGGCTGTGTCATATCAGCATAATTAATGCGGCAGTGTCATGCCAGTATTAGAGACTTCATTAAAGATTTGACAGCGCTATAGCGTTTTACACAAGTGCGAGCAAGACGACTATATGGCGCTCTAATGCATTAGAATAATGCATTAGCTACTTCATTGGAGCGATAATCGATAGATCTACATATTATATACATATAATATAAAACACAAATTTAAAGGATTCTGCATTTATTTATGCAAGAATACTTCGACGAGGAATTTGAAATTCATAGTAATACGTCGCGAATGGTGGCCTTTTTTTTTGTTTACCTTTTACGGTCGGTGTGACCGTAGTCGTATTACCAAAATAATCCAAGCAAAATCGAAGCCAAATTACACAAAATTACACATATAGTGGTCTCTTTCAAGGTTCTAATGAAGTAGCTAATTAATGAAAACTGCATTAGTGTATCATATGGGCATAAACACCCAAATCCTCACACCGCCCCAGTTGGAGTACCATAACAGCATGTATTCCCTGGCTAAAAACGGATCGTGGCGTATGGACAATAAGCAGTTTCTTGAGACCCAGCCAAAGGAGCACAAGTGGGCGATTGTGTACTTTCAAGGTCCCAAGATGACATACAACCAGGTGGCCGACTTTGAACAGAAAGTGCTTATCCAAAGCCAGAATGTGAACGTGAACTTGGATAAAAAGGCTGAGATACGCCCCTTTAAGGATGAAACGAGTCTAGACAAGTGCTTCGTAAATCTTCAAAACCATTGCTATCTGGCCTTTGTGATCATGCCGCCGTTTGGAGTTACTTACGGTGCGATTAAGCAAAAAGCCGAACTGCAGCACGGCATTTTGACGCAGTGCATCAAACAGGATACTGTGATTTACAAGCTTAACAATAGCCAAACAATATCCAACATCCTGCTAAAGGTGAACTTTAAGCTAAACGGCATTAATCACAAGCTTAAAGACGTTTCTGGCGTGCCAATACTCGATAATGTTATGTTCCTGGGCGCTGATGTTACTCATCCGTCGCCAGATCAACGTAATATACCCAGTATAGTGGGCGTGGTCGCTTCTCATGATCCCGACGGTGCTGCCTATAATTACAGTTATCGAATGCAGCGCTCCACTTTGGAGGTAATCGAGGATATGGAGTCAATAACGGTGGAACATTTGCGTGTATACCGGGAGTATCGTAACTCATATCCTGATCACATTATCTACTATAGGGATGGAGTGGACGATGGCCAGTTGGAGAAAATCAAATGCGAAGAGCTCGGAGGAATAAATAAGGCATGTCGAAAGGTATGATTTTATTTGAAATTTATACTGCTAAAATCTAGTTTTCTCCTGCCATATATTTATTCTATCGTTTGCCTACTTAAAGATCGGCATTGAACCGGTTTGCTGCATAATAGTGGTGAAGCGTCACCATACTCGCTTCTTTCCGAAGCCAACGCAGATCAATAATTCCAGAAAAGACTATAACAACGTGGAGCCCGCAACAGTGGGCGATAGCTCCATCGTCCATCCGAAAGAAGTGCAGTTCTATATGATGAGCCACCAGTCCACCTAGCCGTGCCGGCTAGGTCGACGCGTTACAGCGTAATTGAGAATACCGGCAAACTGGATTATAATTTGATCCAGCAGTTGACCTACAACATTTGTCATATGTTTCCACGCTGCAATCGCTTGGTCTCGTATCCGACACCGGCTTATTTGGCTCATCATGCGGCGAAACGTGCTCGTGTTTATCTCCCCAGGTAAGACAATGCCATTGTTCTGTGATGTTTACTAAGTTTTCCCCATATTACAGCACTCATTCGTCCCGGGACCCAAAGGAGGTGTATAACAAGTGGCAGACTGTTCCAAAATTTAAGAAAATATACCCAATGCACTTTATTTAATAATTGCAGTCTTTAAACTTAACTCATTAGTGTAATGTAAACGTAACCTATTATAAAAAAAAAAAATAATAAAATTATAAGGCGATAGAAACGCCCTAAGTTAACGCCTGGTTAAGTTATTATTTCGAACAGTTTAGTTATAAAAAAAAAGACCAAATAAATGTTTAAAACATTTAATGAAAATTAATGGAGTGATTTAAACTTTGCATTAAAAATTGCTTTAATAGTTCTGACATTCATATAAAAAAACAAGAAAGAAAGCTAGCTTTGGCCAGCCAAAGTTTGTATACCCTTGCAGGTAACAATTAAAATATATCATAACTAAGCCAAAAATGCATTAATTTCGATTCGGAAAGCAGTTTTGTGTTAGTTTTTATTAATTTAAAAAAACTGCATACCAAATTTAAAATATTAAGAAATCAAAATTTTTGGCCGTTTTTGCTAATTTTAATGATGTAACCCCTTATCAAATTTCGCAAAAATGGCCAAAAAATCGATTTCTTCCGGACATGTCTAGAAAGATTCGCAAGTTAAAGCTGATCAAGAATATATATGGTTTATGGGGTCGGAAATGATTCCTTGACTTAGAAAAATATTATTTTGTATTACAAAATCGGGTTTTTTATATTAAAAAACTTCTTGATTATTTTAAAATTAACAAGAAAGGAAGCTAACTTCGGCACGCCGAAGTTTGTATACCCTTGCAGATTGGTTTTGATATTTATATTCAGGCCTGCTCCGGAAATCGAAAACGGCAAGATTTTTTCGTTTTCGTTTTTGAAAACGAGAAATTGGTGCTCCGGTAATCGAAAACGAAAGATTTTTTCGATTTGAAAAACGGGCACCTTTTTCTGGCCGGAATGAAAAGTAAATGGCTTTTTTATATGAAATCAGATCTTATTTACAAAAGGAAAAAAATAGTTTACTCAGTGGTCTAATGATGTTTATTCCACACCACCATAAGATCATTCTGGCAGGTAGTTATTTTATAAAAAATTTATTTCTGATCCCACCTTAAGCCTAGTACTCTGACGAGAAAAAACCGCTGTATAAATTTAGACAGCGGCTAAACTCCATATAAAAAAAACGGTGTCGAAAAAAAAAGAAGAAGAACTTTTAGACACGTCGTTTTTTTCGGTACTCTTACGACGAAAATGAAGCCTGCGAAAATTGAATGGCGTTGCCAGATCAAGATAGTAAACAGCTGATATCGCGCTGTCTAAATAATTCATTTGATTTATTTAGACACCCCTAATGGAGGGAAAAGTTGAAGGAAAAAGGTGGCATTGATAGGGGCTGTCAAGGGGAAGCCCATAATATGGAATTTAACCCACAAAGGACATTTTAATGCCATATTTATTAATATTTTTAATATTTTTTTTGAATATTTGTTTACAAACAGCTGTCCAGTGTGACCAAAGAAAATAATTAAACGCCATAAAAAGTACATTTTCATGGCATTTCAGGATTTTCCTTAATTTTTTTTGGTCACATTAGCTCGGTAGCGAAATAAACAGCGATTCCGCTGTCTAATTTAGACAACGGGTTTTTCTCGTCAGAGTACTAGGCTTTACCTTTTACGGTCGGTGTGACCGTAGTCGTATTACCAAAATAATCCAAGCAAAATTCAAGCAAAATTACACATATAGTTGACTCTTTCAAGGTTCCAATGAAGTAGCTAATTAATGAAAACTGCATTACAGTATCATATGGGCATTAGCAACTTACTTGCCGACATATACAAAATTTATTTAATCATTTTTTATTATTCTAATAAAATAATTTTTTTATTAAAAATCGCTTACGAAGCAGCCGGAGTAGCGATAATTCCGCTTTGGCAGGTCCATAATATGGCGCAACTGCTGCCGAGTTATTTCTCTTTGCTCCCAAAAAACTTTGCTTTTCAGGAATGTTATTTCAAAGTCGATGGTGGCCCCGGTACTACGGGCATGACACTGCCGCATTAATTAGAGACTTTATTGAAGATTTGACAGCGCTATAGCGTTTTACACAAGTGCGAGCAAGACGACTATATGGCGCTCTAATGCATTAGAATAATGCATTAGCTACTTCATTGCCGCGATAATCGATAGAAATACATAAAATATACCAGATACTCGATACGAAATACTTAAATAAAACAAACTCGAAAAGAGGGAAAAGGAAAGACGCACTCGACTTTGAATCAAAAGCACGCGCGCGCGCACGGCCTACGAACGGTCGCACTGGCTGCACGACGGCAGGGCACACTATCGGAGGCAAAAAACCGGCCAGTGAGCTGGCCACACTAGGGCCTCGCCGAGCCCTATATAAAGCGGGCCACGACACTGGAGAAGTCACTCAGCCGCTGATTGCGATCGTAATCACCCAAGCAGCCAAGTCATTTTTTTCTGGAACCAGGTAAATCCAGGTTCCAACCAAAACATTGTAGTTAGTCGTAGTCTTCCCCGCTAACCCCCCCTTCCCCGCTAAGACCCTGGACGTCCCGCTGACTACCATGGACGACAGGACGTTACAACTTATTAAATAGTTGAAATCTTCTTGTAAACTCTCTATGTTCTTTGTTTCTGCTGTTGCTATGATTGCTTCTGTTTTTGATTTGTTTTCTACAAACGATGTCTTCATGCGTTTCGGTGCAATCATTTCTTCTTCAAAGTTACTTTCGTCTAACAAAATGTCTTTAGTTATGATTTGCATTCTTTTAGTACTTTTCGTTCCTGATTCTGCTGATGCGCTCTTGCTTCAGCTATTTCAGATTGTACTGAAGCTGCTAATGATTGTTCTGCAGCTAATACTGCTATGTTTGCTGCTATTGCTGCTTTTTTTGATGCTGCTGCTGCTTTATTTGCTATGTATTTTTTATCGGTTCGAGTCATATTTTCAGCTTTCTTCTTTGAATGGAATGAGTTGACATGACAGGTAATTTTTTGTTTAGTGTCTGCTACATATTTGCACATACTTTCTGTACAATAGAATTTTTCCGAGGATGATTTTTTAGTTTCTATCAATTTCAATGCCTTTTCTAATGGCATTTTACCTACGAGGCCGTGCTTTTCAAGCAAATGATCAATAAATGTAGAAATATTTATTGATGGAACATCACAATGTGGACATATTGTTAAACATTCAATCGTACTATTTGCTGGATGCCTATGTTTAATGTGATTTGTTAAGTAGCATTTCTGTGTAAATACCATTGGGCAATGTGGGCATTTTACTTTTCCAATTTTCTTTAATGTTATTTGGCGAAGCAATTGTAGTCTGCGTTTTTGTGTTCTAATATCATGTGCGACATTCTGGTGGTTTAAAAATTCAAATTCATTGTTTGTACTGAATGTGCACGAATCGCATGGATATTTAGCTGTACTACGTTTATCTGTTGTGTCATTTCTTTCGCTATTAACTTTCGCTAGTACTAGCAGCAATAATATAGAATTTAATAACGAAAGCAATCGTAGTACTGAAAGTACTAGCCCTATTAATATCGGAAATGATAACGAAGAAATTATTATTGCTGCTAGTACTAGCATTTCCGGCCCGGCAGGAACAGGCGCCCTGTTTGGCAATGCCAACATCCTTCCTCGCATCTCAGGATGGCCCATTTGGCTTGCTAGCTGGCCCAAGGCCCAGCGTTGCTTCCGGTTGAGGCCTTGGGGGGCGGGAGCAGTCCCGCCGCTGCTTCCGCAGTTGCAGGATCCATGGATGCTGCGTCCTAGTCCGCCGCCGCCTGTCCCACCACGTACTCCTCTGGCGCCGCCTGTGCCGCCACGTGCTCCTCTGGCGCCGCCTGCGCCGCCACGTGCTCCTCTCCAGCCGCCTGCACCACCGCGGCCTCCTCTGCCGCCGCCGCCTATTCCGCCGCCGACGCCGAAATTAAATGTGTAATTATTCATCTGGAACGGAAAGTTATTATGTATATTGATTAAAAAAATTTAGAAAATTCCAGACTTACTACCACGTTGCTTTGCTTTTCTTCCAGAAATGACTTTAGTGCCAGAGAATAAAACAACACAATTTATGTACGAAATTTTTCAATATATGTATATATATATATATATTTAAACTTTCTTTCATTTTACAATGATTCACATGGCCATTTGCTTATCACCGGCAGGAACGGGAGGGTCATTCTCCACTGCCGGCCCAGCGGGAACAGGCGCCCTGTTCGGCAATGCCAACATCATCTCCCTCATCTCCGGATGCCCCATTTGGCATGCAAGATGGGCCAAGGCCCAGCGTTGCTTCCTATTCAGGCCGTCGGGGTTGAGAACATTCCCTCCGCTGCTTCCGCAGTTGCAGGATCGGATGCTTCGTTCTATGCCGCCGCCGCCTCCACCACCGCGTGCTCCTCTGGCGCCGCCTCCACCACCGCGGCCTCCTCTGCCGCCGCCTCCACCACCGCGTGCTCCTCTCCAGCGCGTGCGGACCAAGATAGAATTATACAAGGTAGTCCAATCGGCTGCCATTTTGGTCCATTAATGTCAAAGCTTTAACCCTTAAGTGGCCAAGGAAAAAAATTACATTTACATACGTAGATGAGGTTTCGCATGGAGGTCTGATGAAACCATCATCGACATTTTAAAACAAAATAAAACAACTCGAATTTATATTCATTATTTTATTATATTCATTATTATTTATTATTTATTTTAAGATACGCATATACTTTGCAATTAAGAGCTTAAACAAGAGAATGGCTGTTAAACAACAAAAACAAAGAATTATGTCCAAGTCAAAACTTATAAAGATAAAATTACAATTACAATACAACTGATACGTCGCATCAGAAATGGCGCAGTAAATCTGACGACGAAAACTCACCTTTTCGACGAGATCGGCAAACCACTTGGTTAACGAGTCTGTAAGCTAAAGAAGGCCGGGTTTTCCAAAGATCCTTCTATATCGCTGTGGTATATATATAGCCCGATTTCTCCAGATTGGCAAAACTTCACATCTTCACTCTTCTGACACGATCAAGGCACTGTTGTGAAGGGCAAATTCGGGTTTTCCCCTAAAAAATCTAGGTAACCGATGATTCGCCGGAAATTCGCGATTTCGACCCATATCGGTATAATTCGCGATCAGCCATAGATAACTGATTTTTCGAAAATGCGCGCTGAAAAAACCGCCGCTCGGCGAGGCTGCCAACTTGCCGGCAGAACTGCTTCGTGTCCAGCCAGAAACTGCTTTGTTACTGCTTGCCTGCAACTAGCGTTGCCAGACTTTTCGTTCATGAGCGACCAAAGGTTGTAGTATTAGATATGGTTCAAATATCAGATGTGGATTTTTTCGGGGGAAATTTATACTTTTTGGAATTTTTTAGGGGGAAAGCCACATTTTCAGCTGGTAACACTGATATTATTTAATTACGGTCACACTACTGCTAACAAAAACGCGAAAAACAGAATTGTAAAAATTGGAAATTGCGAATAATATAAATAATCGAAGCATACATTACGCGAATTAATTAAAAATGACTGGACGTGGCAAGGGCGGCAAGGGGAAGGTTGTGCGCGAGAATGTGCAGGACGATCGGGACGATTTCCTGGTGTACGCGGCGGAGAAAATAATCCAGAAGCGCGTTAGAAAGGTGAGCGCTCGTAAACAAATGAGTGGAAAGCAGCGAAAATGGAAATGCCCGAGTGCAGGACGCAGTTTGCGCAGCAAACAGGACATGCAATATATGTGGTCGAAGCGCCACAAGGTCACATGTCCTTCGACATTTTCGGGCAGAGGACATCTGCTGCAGCAACCACCATTTGCACGCTGCATGTTTGCGAGTGTGCGTGTGGTTGTGTGTGAGGAGTGCGTACGCTAATGTGTCTGTGTGTGTGTGTGTGGAGAGGCTTCGAGATGTTTTTGTTGCGCTTCGAAGATGGAAAATCAATTAATTGTTGTCTCCTTGCATTTGCATTCTCAATTTTCCCTTGCAGGGCACCGTGGAGTACCGCGTAAAGTGGAAGGGCTGGAACCAGCGCTACAACACCTGGGAGCCTGAAGTGAACATTCTGGACCGCCGCCTGATCGACATCTACGAGCAGAGTAACAAATCGGCGGGCACGCCCTCCAAACGCGGCTTGAAGAAGAAGGAGAAGGAGCCCGATCCGGAGCCGGAGCAGGAATCCGAGGAGGACGAGTATACGTTTACCGGCGATGATGTGGACACCAACCACGCCACCACATCGACTGCCGGCGGTCCGATACACGATCCGGAGGCGAAGAAGGAGAAGGAGAAGAAGCACCATCACCAGCATCATCACCACCATCACCACATCAAGTCCGAACGAGGCGGCGGTCGACGTTCCGAGTCGCCGCTGTCGCATCATCACCATCACCACCACCACGAGTCGAAAAGGCAGCGCATGGAGCACAGCTCCTCCTCGAACAGCAGCTCCACGCACAACTCCTTTGTCCCGGAGGCCGACACTAACTCGTCCAGCTCCGAGGATCAGCCGCTGATCGGCACCAAGCGCAAGGCGGAGGTGCTCAAGGAGTCGGGCAAGATTGGTGTGACAATCAAGACCTCGCCGGACGGACCCGTCGCCAAGCCTCAGCCGCCGCAGCAGCACCAGCCAGGCCCACTGGAGAAGCTCCAATCTGCGATTCCCGATCATCAGCAGGCAGAGAAAATAGCCAGCGAGGCAGTCACACCTCTGAAATCGGAACTACAGGCCACCACGCAACCGGCCAGTGAAGCCATCTCCACGCCCGCTGAGTCTGTCGCCGAAGAGGATGAGGCTGTGGCCGGCGAGAGTGCACAGCAACAACCGCCGCAGGAGAACAACAATATACCAAAAGCGTGCAACAACCAGCAGAACCTGACCATTAACCAGAAGCAGCCGCTGACACCTCTGTCGCCGCGCGCTCTGCCGCCGCGCTTCTGGCTGCCGGCCAAGTGCAACATATCCAACCGCGTGGTGATAACCGATGTCACCGTCAACCTGGAGACCGTCACCATACGCGAGTGCAAGACGGAGCGCGGATTCTTTCGCGAGCGCGACATGAAGGGCGACTCGTCGCCAGTGGCTTGAGCTCAAGCCCAACTGATGCGAAAGCCGAAAACAATTGTAAATAGAGAAACCAAAATGGAGATGAAGGAGGCGTTGGGAGAGGAGGCACTAACAAATCCGCACTAAACGTTGCTAAGCATTTTCTCCCTAGGACGTAATTATTTATTGTATTTATTTTTAGCGTAGTTTTTAGTATGTTTGATTAGCTATTAGTATTGTTTTATTACAATGTTTACCCGGCAATTGGTGTCTTGAGCAAGTGCAAAAGTTCATTTACCAAAAGACTGACATTTAACTGTGCAATTTACATTGAAATTTACCATTTACAAGTTTTAAATTCCCGTAAAAGATTTTTAACGTAGGCTTTTAGTATTCCCTAATGACAAGTGCAAATATTTCCTGCAATATCGCATAGAGCTGTGCTGTCTTTTTGTAAATGAACAGTGTTGCGGCTGCTCAACGTGCCAGTGTAATAGATTGTATATCCTGCGGCATAGAATAGGTACATATGTCCAAGGCCTTATAAAAACAAGTTCTGAGCAATTTTTCACCAAGATACAAATTTGCCTAATCGTACGGCGTTACTCATCTTGTTATTGTAAGGTCTTTGGATTATATATTTATTTACACACATATATTGTATGTATATTTTTCTACAACACTTTGAATCTGATTGAGGACAACACGAGACACTCATACGCTACAAAATCGAACTCTATGCGAAACCGAAGCAATTGTTGATTACGCTTGATATATACAATTATACACAAACCGAAACGGAAGCATATTTATATATATTATTCATATATTCTCGAGTATCCCAATGTATTTGTTTATTATTACATATATTTCCTCGCGCCGACTGATTTTACAAAAAACGAAACCCCAAAAAGATATATATTGTAGCTTGATAAATACTTCTAGAATTTAGCTAACCAAAATCTCCACTTAATATTTATTTTATACCTCAGGCAGTTATCCCGGACTGCCCAAGTGCTGGCTAGATGGGATTTGAGCGCGTGCAGTGCACGGATACGTAATTCGGAATTCATAACCCATCTATTCACCACTTAGTCCCATTTTAATTGTATTTTACGTACCGCCCAATCCCATGGAAATTACTTGGGAGCTTTGGGAAATTTACAAATTCTTGTTTATTTTGCAAAATCGGAATCCGTATTGGCTAGTTATTAGTTGCGGCGCTAATTCCACACGAAAACAACTCAAAAGGTACCTTTTGACGTTCTGTAATTAAGTCTATAACATTAATGTTATTGCCGGTATATCGATTGTAAATAATAAATTAAATAGAAGCAACCAAAGTCTATGTCTTCTTCCTACTGCTGGGACAATATCGAGGGAATATCTGCGTCAAGGGCGAACTAAAGATAAGAATTAGGGATAAGGGCTACCAATCAACTAGTTTGTACACTCTTTAGATGTCCAGATCCACGCCAGCCCGGTCTCATAAGGGTCGGTACTTGTTGATAAACGAGTTGATGATGGGCGCCACCTTCTCCGGCTCGTTGAGATGGACGTGATGAGTTCCCTCCACCTCGTGGTACTCGAAGAGGGGATTGTTCCGCAGTTCGGCCAACGTGGCATCGAAGTACTCCTTGCGTTCGTAGTACGGCGCCTGGAGGGCCTTGATGAACAGATGTGGGCACTTGATCCGCCGCGCCATCTCCATCGGCACCTCGTGGTGCAGCGTGTAGAAGAGCGAGGACTTGAGTCGGTTGTCGCGGGAGAAGTAATACTTGTGCGGCTCGTGGGTCGAAGGCCTGCAGTTTCGCTGCAGCAGGTACTTGCAGGACTCCAGCGACACGGATTTGTTGGAGCCCTCGTGAAGTCGGTTCACCAACTCGTCCCACTCGTAAGCCGGCGGCTCTGAACCGCTCTTTAGCCTCCGTTCCAGCTTCAAGGTGGCCTCCACTCGATCGGCCAGCCCATCCACAGTTTGGCGCGCACTCCTGATCGGCGGCTTCAGCACATCAATGCCCACGAATAGATCCACTTTGTCCGGAAACAGGGCGCTGAACACGAATCCGTTGATGGAACTCATCGAGTGGCCCAGTATGGATATCTTGTCCCAGTTGTAGTCGTCCATCAGCCGACGCACGATCAGCACCAGGTCGATGGAGTGATAGGAAGTGCCGGCCGGCAGCCAGGACGACAGGCCGTGACCCGGAGCATCGATGCTCAGGAAGGAGAGATGCGAGGGCAGCAGGGGAGCCAGGGTGTCGAAGGTTCCGGCGTTATCCTGCCATCCGTGCATGCCCACAATGGGCCGCACATGCTTGGGTCCGTACCACTTGCCAGCGATCTTTCCCCAGGGCACTGGTATAGAGATTTCCTCATACTAAAAGTAAATGTCATCATGATTACAAGAATGGAACATACGAGAAATAACGTGACTACCTACGTGCTTGGTAAGGATCTTGAGAGGCTTGCTCGATCCACTGCTCGAGTGCCGGACACTCTGAATACTTGGAAGCTTTATCAGCAGACGTAGACTTCGGTGCACCTTCATTTTGCGGCAGCGACTATTTGTGTTGTTGAGTAATGCAATGGCACGTTGTTCTGTCGCCGAGGACAGTCGGTGATGTTCTGACCGTGATTTCACCAAGCATGGATTGGGATGAGAGCAGCGCTGTGCTTTGCCAGATGAACTTTGATCACCTTGGCCTTGGTCAGTTTCTTTGGTTTACTTTTTGATAGAATTAATCACCCGTTCGAACTTCGAAGTCGCACTGTAGAGTAGAGATGGCAATAAGTCGATGAACAAATCGATTAATATGATTTATTTGCTTTTATATTTTTATTTTAGATGAGAGTTAAAATATATTGTTGATTCTTAAATGATTAATTTCTGTATTCCCAAAACTACTTAATACTTAATATATTCTATATTATATTTTAATACGATTACATTGGAGCTTTGCCATAGGCACCCTGTATAAAACGCCCATCCGCAGGTTCCATAAACAGCTGTTGATAAGTGTTTATAATTTTATAGGTGCTCGCTGTTTGTACCTGTCAGGTGAATAATTAAATTAAGCTTTGTGGGGAAATCACAGCAACCTCCCAGTCGGGACACAACCATTTCATCGCCACAGTTGCCGATCGAAACCATGGAGACCAGGAAACGTGAGTTACGATTCGCCATAGCCGCCAAGGAGGCCAGGCCAGGCCACCTTGACCTTTAAACTTTCAATGTGACGCCGGCTTTGGATTCGATTTAGCCGATTTTAAGTTTTTAGCTATTTCTTTTCTTTGTTTACTTTCCGATTTTCTCGCCGTTTGCATTTTGTTAACTAATCGCACGGCTAATCTCGGCGCTCACAGCTCTCAGTGCCACTGATAAGCCCCGAAATGGTGTAAACTTTGGAATGGAAGCTCATTCTGTTTTTGGACATTCATTTCAGCGGGCGGCAGCATGGACTCGGACGACAACTCAAGTGGGAACACTGGCAGCGATCTCGGCCAGCGTTATCGTCATGCGGGCGACTTGTCCGGAGAGCCGCCAACCAGGCCAGTAAGTGAACTTTGAACCGCTTCGTTGCACATTTTTTACCCCTTTGCAGGGGCTAATTCCCTTGTTTCTGAACAAGTTTTCAAAGCACTTACAGGTCAACCTATCCATATGGAACCACTTAAAATCCTAAAACAAAACAAATAGAAAGGAATGCAGATAGTTTCTACTAGAATCGCATAGAATTTCGGAATAGCAATCTGTTTTTAATGTCTAGGCACAACAAAGTATCTGCGAAGCTTCTTGGCAACCTAAAGTCATAAAAGCGCGTTCCGGTTTTCACTTTCAAACAATTTGCTCAAATTCGTTATGCAAAAAATAATAAAATTAAGCCACTTAAATTCACCTTTCGTAAAAGGAGAAGTCGTAAAATTAATCAAATTTACATACGCTTGAGTGAAATATAATATTAGAAACCTCATATTGGTATCTTAGGTTGTCCCGAATTACCCACAGCCCCCCTTAACCGCCAGCTTGACTTACCAGCACTTTTATCTCGACTTCAGTTCGCCGAGATCAGCATCACTGTTCCATGGGGACATATATCGGGCAAATGGTACGGACCACAGAATGTCCAGCCCATTCTGGGCCTGCACGGTTGGCAAGACAACGCCGGCACCTTCGATCGTCTGATGCCGCTGCTCTCGCCGGAGGTGGCCTTCCTATCGATCGATCTACCCGGCCATGGGTTATCCTCTCGTTTGCCCGACGGCTGCTACTATAACTCGGTGGACAATCTGTACGTTATCCGACTCATCATGAAGCAGTACAAGTGGGAGAAGGTGTCCTTGGTGGGCCATTCCATGTCGTCCATCATTTGCTTTGTGTTCGCCGCCGTTTTTCCGGACAAGGTGGACATGATCATTGGGATAGACGCCCTGAAGCCGCATCAGCGCCCATATCCCTCTGTCATACGGACCATGGAGACGCGGTTGGATGAGTTCCTCCGCGAGGACGAGCGGAACCGGAGCAAAAACGAGCCGCCGAGCTACACCTACGATGAGCTGATCGAACGGGTGTACATCGGCACCTTCCACTCAGTGAACAAGGAGCACTGCAAGCATTTGATGGCCCGCAACATCGGCAAGTCGGAGAAGTATCCGGACAAGTACTTCTTCTGCCGCGACCGGCGCCTCAAGTTCTACAACTATGCCATTGGCTCCCAGGAGCTGTGCGTGGAGATGGCCAATCGGATCACATGCCCCTACTTGTTCATCAAGGCCGCCCAGTCCTCGTATTTCGAGGACAAGAAGTACTACGACGAGGTGCTGGACGTGCTGGTGAAGAAGCCCAACTTTGAGTATCTGGAGGTTAATGGCTCGCACCATGTGCACATGAACGACCCGGAGGCCATTATCGGACCGGTCAACAACTTCATTCAGCGCTTCGGGCCGGCAGCAGCGGCTGCCTTACGCCAGAAGGCCAAGGAGGCGAAGGAGAGCAAGCTCTAGAGGCTCCAAAAATACGACCATGCGGGTAAAATGGGGCTTATTTATTATTGCACAGGTTTTTATACTTAATTGTTGATTATGTGATCGTCGCAGAGGACTCGTCTCTGCTATAAATACAAACTGTACATATGCCGAATGGTGGCTCGATTCATGGGGAGGTCTTGAAGGATACGGGGAAACAGGTTATGCGTAAAGAGCTTAACCCTCTCGGTTTCCTGATGTAAAGTTTTGGAAATTGTTTGCACCTTGAAAAATATCAGAATTTAAAAAGAAAGCTGCACTTTGATGCAGGTACACATTTTGCAATGCTTTAATATGGATAGCTCTTCCTTTGAACCTCTAAATATTTGTAAATATAAATGAAACGCAGAATCTATAATATATTTTGCAGCTTACAGTTAATTTTATAAAATTTCAGCACCCAGAGTGCTGATCAGTTGGTAATAAAGTAGCTTACCTTATCACCTATGGACCCCATAAGATGTCTTAAAGTTCAATGGAATTAAGCTCGACTGTAAAAGAGTTGTAAGTTTTCGGCAAAAGTCATTTGTTTTGCAGCCGCCGGCAGAAGCAGTTGACCTACATCTTGGCCAAGTAGAATCCCATGCAGCGAAAGTGTTAATAACCCGCAAACCAGTTTTCCCAAATCCCAGCCGGCGCGGCTGCTGTTGCATCATTTTCTAGACGCTTTCTTGGCAACAGCCGACAAGCCGTGGAGGTCAGCCTCTGTTGTCGGATTTACATGGAAATGGTGCCTTAAACTATATATATTTTTAAAAATAACTGATCTGAGGCAACGTCGAAAGAGAAGCCAAGTAAGTTGATGGCCCTGTGGCCTCTACATTTGTGTGTGCATACATGGTTCGCTTCATCTTCTTCTCTTCTGCCTGATAAACGATCTTGGACAGCCTCTTAATTTGTTTTAAATTGGTTACCGATTTAATATGCGAGAAGTATTGATTTAATTTAGAAAAAACACACCTTTAAATATGTGTTTTTAGTTCCTGAATGAGATATCGTTTTAGTGAATGAACCGAAACTAGAGGCATGTTTTTTGGCACGTCAACCATGGGAAAATTTACCTTTGACTTGGAATCATATTGTTAAAAAACTCTAGTTCACAGCTCGTATGTGGGACACGTTTAAATAAATAATAATATATTAAATTATAACACAATTTATATGCAATTGGGGACTGCAAATTATGAATTCGAATGAGGCGGCTGAGCTTTCAAGTTTTTGGCTTATCTAGTACACCGATTTCCATAATGAAGACAACATTAGCTCGGTTCATATGATCAGCATGGCTGTGGATATATTTGATGGAATTTTTCGAAATATTTTTTGACTTTTTGTAGTGGGTTTATGTACAGACTTGTTAAAACTAGATATAACTCATTTTTAGCCACTAGAGCACTGACTAGGCCTTAAATGGGGTATCCAATCCGGGCTTACTGCTGCTGCTGGGGGTGGGCTGCAATGTACTCCAGGGCGCGGAGGATGGCCTCCGGGATTGGGGGAGGAGTGGGCAGATGATCGCCTTGCGGCTGGAATCCATTCTCGTCGGCGACGTAGGTCAGCGAGATGGGGATGCCTTCGGGAGACACGTAGCTCGAGCTGCCAGTAGCTCCATTCGCATTTCCAGCCTCCTGGGCCTGGATGCCATTGCTCGTTTCAAAGGCGTATTTGTAGTTGCCCTCGGGATCAGCTGGGTCGGAATCCTCGCGGGTGATCACGGCATCTCTGTTGATGTTATCCGCATAGACGGTGGCCAGCATCAAGGCGGCGAGCAGGCAGAGCGACTGAAATGGGCACTCGATCATGACCTGGATCCTTCCGACCACCAAAGGTGCATCATACTCACAAGCTTGAACATCTTGCTGGTTTCTGGGGTTGTATAATCCACACTGGTTGGGTGATCTTCGGAGGCGGTGGCTTTTATAGCCAGCATCCGATCTCCGGCGGCGCTGCCAGCGCCTGCGCCAGCGTTGGCGTTGGCGTCTCCATAGCCACCGCCGCCGCTGACGTCTCTAATCTGGCTCTGAACTCCAAACTAAATATCAAACTTAATATGTTTGTGTGATTTTTATTTATTTTTTTTTCGGCAAGAGCAGCATACCGATCGAATTAAATAAAATTCAGCGCAAATGCAGTAAAAAACAAAGCTAGAAAGGAGGTCTAGATGGAGGGACTGGAACTTGGAAATACCCTTGCTAGATAATAAGCAAAGGTGCAATTTTGGAGCCCGGAACTTGCCAGATGATATTATATGATGATGGATTATAAAGAACAGTACAAATCGAAAGCAAGGTCTAGTTTTGGGGAATTCCCTTGCCAGATAATACATTATAATGATCGAATATATGTGTATACCTATTTAGGACATTTTATTTCATATTTTAAGATATTTTGTTATAAAAAGAAATATCTTATACAGGGTGGAACAGATGTTATTAAGTTTTGAATACTATATTAAAATGGATCATTCTTTTTTAAGATCAACTGGGTTTAAAATTAAAATATCTCAATATAAGTCTTGAAGTTTTTTAAAATGGTGCAATATATATTGGTTATAGAAGAAAACCTTTTAAGAACTTTTCGAAACATTTTAAAATCCATATAATTGTATTTAACATGTAGAGCATTTTGCCAACTCCAAGTAAAAGTTAAAATAACCACATAAAGGGTATAATGGGGCACCTGAACCCATTCCGAGTGGCTGCCGCTGATGGATCCACATCTGCCTCGGTGGCGGTAATCACCGAGCCGACTTTTGCACTTATTGGCTAATAGTTTCGAATAGCTTTTTGGGTGTTTGGGTTTCTCGATGATGGTAATGGCACATGTGACATTCAAGGGGTTACTTCGGAGACGGGCCTGGATTTGGAAGGGGCCAGCCACTCGTGCCGAATAAATTTAAATCAGTCCAATTTATCATCCGTTTTCAATTTCGATTTCATTTGGTCGTTTGCTGGGGATGAACGCGCAGGCGGAGAACCTGTTTGCGCATCAAGGAATTCTTGATTCCCTCTCAAAGATCTCAGCAAGCTCACCACATTAGCATACAAATTTGTTGGCCAATGGCCAGTAATAAATTACAGGTCGCTGGGCCTAAACGCACTTAGCACTCCGGCTAATAAAATGCCCATTAATCGCCGCCCCACCTGATCTGGCAAACTAGTTCAGCCCGCCAAGAGCCTATCTCTGTCTCCGGCATCCGATCCCTAACCATATTCTGTGACGTCTCCGACAGATGGCAGCAACATTCACAAAAAAATTTGAATTGTTAAATTAGCAAAACACAAAAAACAGAGTCGAACTTCACAGATAATTTCGGCGGCGTCTGCTTATGATTATAGTAGGTAGATGCATTCCCGAAATATAACGTCCAATTATTCAGACATTCTATAACGGTGTGCGAACCACTTTTTAATTAATATTTGCATATGGTTTTATTTCTTTTTAAAACTGCAAATACCCGTTGAAATCAGCTACAACGTGTTTCCATTTACGGCTGCAGCTCGGCCTGCATGGACAGTAGACTCAACTTAAGTTGGACTCAAGGTTTCCGGATAGAAATCCAATCGAAAGATGACCCGTATACCATTGCCATTGTCCAGGATGATGACAAAGTATAAGGGCTCGGGCTGTGCTTCGTTCGCTTGAAAATCCTGATTAGCAGAACACGCGAGGCTCTACAGAATGGGAGACAAAGAGGCATCCTAGAAGGAAAAACCAGGGAAGAAAAACCATCCTACCTTCCTCGGCATTCTGACATACGATTCCTAGAAATAATTTCTGTTTAACAGCCAAAGAACTGTAACATAAATAATGCCTACTGGCCAAGGTGTGAACCACATTTAATTGCTAGCCGGGGCAAGTCAGGCTTTTGGGGCTAAACAAACACTTCCTTGTTGACCAAAATGATTCTCGGCTATTAACACCGATTTCGGAAGATGTTTGCTACGCTAATTTCGCAACAAAATAGCTAAATAAATAAATTTGTTCAATCTTATCGCTTGGTCCGTGGCAATTAATCAATTCGCCGGACTTCAAAGTAAACAATTAATTAAAGTCATAAATGTAGGGTATCAGAAGATCACACATTGCACTGGTTTCTCGGACGATCTTCGGCGGCGCTCCGGGTGACATGCTGCCAGGTGAATTGACCTTGCGATATGATTTCAACAACCTTCCAGGGGCAATGTGCACCTGCCAGCTCCACTCCACACTCAACACTCCATGGAAGCCCAGGGCGCATCTCCAATTGAAAGTTGTAACAAGAAATCTCACGGGGGAATTTCCAGCGGTTTGTGAATGAGCCGAAGCCAAAGGCGAGAAGGCATTAAAGACCAATTTTTATTTGTACGCAATTTAGCATTTACTTTTAGTGGAATCCAAAATCGAAACCGAAACTGAAACCGAATTAAAGCATACAATATAAATTGTTGGCAAATGACTCATGTCTTTTGGCTATAGTTCGGCTAAGCATTGTTGTTATTGTTCCCATTATTGGCGGTATGATAATACAAGTTTTTGGCAATTATTGCCGCCCGAAGTGCGGGGTCCTCGGTTCCGAAAACCCGTTCGAGTGCCGCCTGTAACTGAAGACACAAGGGTCTCTCTCGGTCTCATCCATATAAAAGACGCACTTGAGCTGATCGAATTAAACAGTTGCACTGCAAGCAGCGCCATCACAGCACCATCTTCTCAATCAAAACTCTCCAACCCAACTGCCGAGATGTACAAATATGTGAGTATTGCAGCCGAGATGGCCCCGGATATCCTCTGACCACGGTCTCCCTATCGAATATTAAAGCTGTTCTGCCTGGCTCTGATCGGATGCGCCTGCGCCGACAATATCAACAAGGACGCCCAGATCCGAAGCTTCCAGAACGAGGCCAGCGACGCGGAGGGCAATTACCAGTTCGCCTATGAGACCAGCAATGGCATCCAATACCAGGAGGCAGGCAATCCCAATGGTGCGCGCGGTGCCCTTGCCTATGTGTCGCCCGAGGGCGAGCACATCTCGCTGAGCTACACCGCCGACGAGGAGGGCTTCCACCCGGTGGGTGATCACCTTCCCACACCGCCTCCAGTGCCAGCCTACATCCTGCGCGCCCTGGAGTACATTCGCACCCATCCTCCATCGCCCGCACAAAAGGATCAGCAGTAAGCGGGAGTAGCAGCAGCAGCACCACCACCACCACAAGTCCCTAACCAGTCATTGTTATTTAGAGATCTACATCGCAGGTCGCACTAGGAGTTTATCGTTAATAAAGAGCAAGATAAAGGTAGAGAAGTTTACCAGGGTATATAATCTTCGGCTTCTTATCTGAGGTATCTATGGGCTGGCGAAGACGGGGGAGAAGGGCGATGAAGCGGTTCCAGGAATCAGCGAAACTCTAGTGTCATAGAAATTCAGTCTTATCTTGAATAAATCAAACTCTCTTTTAATGGAACTCTCGTATTTTATTGATTTAAGCTTGGATGGATGTCCAACTAAGGCTGCGTTTTCTTAAAATTTAAAGGTTTGTATTTTCGCAACTGGCAGTGCAGAAATTGTTCCCGAAGAAAATTGTGGTTATGAGTAGTTATAATTGTGTTGTTAGTATTTAATTACTCCATGCCGAAAACTGCCTTGAGCTCCGACATTTTAACTGAACCCGCTTGCTTGAATTTCCACAATTTTGCGCAAGCAAACACCAAGGGTCCGAAATTTTTTAATAACGGAATAAATTTAGTCATGACCTGGAAAATATAAGTATGAACATTATAAGGAAAAGGAATATTTACGAATATCAAAGCTACCATATCTCACCTCGAGCAAGATCTCTTCTAATTTGTCTTCTTGTAATTTCAATATCACGTGTCCTACTATGCAATGCATGTCATCGACTGTTAAGGATGAATCCAAATCGAGTTGTAGCAACAATACATTAATCTTGTTTACCATTTCTGAAATTTTCGTTGGCAATTCTATAATAATCGATTTTTCAGTTTGTTGAAAGTGATCATGGAAGAAAAGGTAAGAAGGAGATTCCTGCGAGAAAGTGAAACTTATTGAAAAATTATACAATATTGAGGGCGCTTGCTGCTCTTCATATTCCTTGATAACTATTTGAAAACGATCAGGCTCGATGAACTCTGTGTGTAGGGAGTTGTACGTCCTGCCACTTTTGCAATTGATCTTGCCCAGTTTTTGGATGGCTTGGCTTATATCCCAGTAAAACAGTTTGGTTAGCTTGAGGAAATTGACATATCCGTTCTCGACTACTGGATGGTAAGCAGACGTCTTGAGCCTATAGACTCTTAATGGATGGCCCCCAACTAAGCGAGGCTCTATCTTGAATGGCATGTTGATGCAAATATGAGGTATCCATATTTTGTAAATATCCTTTAGAAGATAGGTGCCTGTAAAATATATTATAACATGTAAAATTTGTTATGTTATTTAGAATTTTATAAGCGATAAAATTTTTGGTTTTAAATATCTGCTGATTTCAAAGAATTGCGACTTACATGTGTCTAACCAGCCACTCACTGTTCCCTTGAAAATGGAATTCATATTAATTAGTTCCTGATTTATCTTCACGGATATTTCGATTGCATCTTGAGTGTATAGTTTACTCTCAGGATTCGAGGGTTTAGGTAGACCTTCTAAGAGAATTTTCAGTGCTTCGTTAAATTTAAGCGACATATTTTCTTCTGATTTTTTTTCGGAAATTCCCAGGAATCGATTCCCAGGATCGTCTAATCCTTCGAGATGGACTTTTGTTTGACTATCAAAGTAAAGTTATCGATATTAAGACTTGTAATTTGTGGAAATGTAACCAAAATATGCTGTTTACACTTCTCCATGCGATTCAATTTCTAATAAAATCAAGTAAATTCCTGAATTTAATGTATATAGTAATATACTTAGCCGTTTAAGAAAATACCCAAAATAGCAAAAAAAAAAAAAAACTGGCTGTTTAGCTGTTTTTACCAACTGTTTTTTTTTTTTTTGTGGAAATTAAATTGTTGTAACTGTATGTAGCAGGCAAATTGATTCCCGGCCCAAAAATAGTATATTCTCTGTAAAAATATATTCTTAAATAATAGTTTTATATCGATTGGGTAACGATAGTAGCTAGGTACTAAAAATGCTATTTCGAGGAAAGGCTTTAAAACGGCTTTCTCCATGTGGATGCAAATGTTCCCCAAGGATGGCAGGGTCTAATTCCATGTTTACATTACTATTTTTTCGTTATTGAACTTTAAGTTTTATATCATTAAACATTTTAAATATGGTTCTACAATTATACTTTTCCTTCAGTTTCCCCTCCATCTTTTGGGTGTATGAATAAATCCAATGAATTCTTTATACAGCACGATATCAGCTGTTTAGTCTCTTGATCTGGCAACGCCATTTAATTTTCGCAGGTATCATTTTCGTTGTCAGAGTACAGTACACCGTTTTTTTTTATATGGAGTTTGGCCGCTGTAACACGTGTTATTTAGAAATCTGCATCGCAGGTCGCACTAGGAGTTATCGTTAATAAAGAGCAAGATAAAGGAAGATAAGTTTACAAGGGTATATAGTCTTCGGCATCTTATCTGAAGAATCTATGGGCTGGCGAAGACCGTGGAGAAGGGCGATGAAGCGGGCCCAGGAATCAGCGAAACTCTAGAAGCGTGCCATAGAAATTCAGTCTTATCTTAAATAAATCAAACTCTCTCTAAATGGAACTCGTATTTTATTTAGGATGAGAAGTCTATTCTATATCTAGTCAAGCCTTGATTTAAGCTTGGATGGGGTTAGTTGCCCTTCAATTCTGTCCAGTTTAGGCTGCGTTTCCTTACATATAATTTACAGGTTCGTATTTTCGCAACTGGCAGTGCAGAAATTGTCCGGAGTCCCGAAGAAAATTGTAATTCAGAGTAGTTATAATTGTGTTGTTAGTATTTAATTACTCCATGCCGAAAACTGCCTTGAGCTCCGACATTTTAACTGAATCCGCTTGCTTAAATTGCCACAATTTTCCGCAAGCACACTTCAAGGGCCCGGAATTTTTTAAGAACGGAATAAATTTAGTCATGGCCTGGAAAATATAAGTATGGACATTATTAAGAAAAGGAATATTTACGAATATCAAAGCTATCTCACCTCGAGCAAGATCTCTTCAAATTTTCCTTCTGGTGATTGGGAGATCGCGTATGTTACTATGTTATGCATTTTTTCGACTGTTAAGGATGAATCCAAATGGAGCTGTAGCAACAATACATTAATCTTGTTTACCATTTCCGAAACATTTGTTGACATTGACTTAAAAAGCGATTTTTGAGTTTGGTGAAAGAAATCATGATGGAAATGGTAAGCAGGAGATTCCTTCGAGAAAGTAAAACTTAATGTGAATTGATACAATATTGAGGGCGCTTCCTGCTCTTCATATTCCTTGATAACAATATCAAAATATTGACTTCCGTCACGCTCGAACAATTCTGTGTGTAGGGAGTTGTATGTCCTGCCACTTTTACAATTGATCTTGCCCATTCTTAGGATAGTTTGGCTTATATCCCAGTAAAACAGTTTGGTTAGCTTGAGGCCATTGACATATCCATTCTCGACTGCTGGATGGTATGCAGACGTCATGAGCCTATAGACTCTGAATGGGTGGCCCCCAACTAAGCGAGGCTTTATCTTGAATGGCATGTTGATGCAAAGAAGGGGTATCCATATTTTGTAAATATCCTTTTGAAGGTAGGTGCCTGTAAAATATGTATATTTGAGTATGTAAATGTTTTGTTACAAATAGGTTGTTTAGGGGCAAGTCACTTTTAAAGAATTTGATAGGCGATGAAAATTTTTGGTTTAAAATAACCAACCACATTTAACCAGCCACTCACTGTTCCCTTGAAAATGGAATTCATATTAATTAGTTCCTGATTTATCTTCACGGATATTTCGACTGCATCTTGAGTGTATAGTTTATTCTCAGGCTTCGAGGGTTTAGGTAGACCTTCTGAAAGAATTTTCAGTGCTTCGTTAAATTTAAGCGACATATTTTCTTCTGATTTTTTATTCGGAAATCCCCAGAAATAAACTTTCGGTCGTAAAATCCTTCGAGATGGACTTTTGTTTGACTATCGAAGTGACATTATCGATAATAAGCTTTGTAATTTATTGAAATGTAACCAAAATATGTTTTTTTCACTTCTCCCTGCGATTTTCTTATAAAAACAATTTAATTCCAGAATATAATATATATATAGTTATATACTTTGCCGTATAAGGAAATGTATGTATTTAGCTGGCAAGAGGAGAAATGCCCGACCCCAAGAAGAATATTCTCTGTAAATATAAATTCTTAGGTAATAGTTTTATCATTGGGTAACGAACCTAAGGGTGTAGGCAGGCAGGCAAATGTTCTTCAAGGAACGAAGGGTCTAAATCCAAGTTTTTTTTTACTTTAAGTTTGGTTTAATTAAAGCATTTTAAATATAATTTCAAGCCGAAAATTACTTTCCCAATTAAAATGTACTTCTAAAATTCAAAATAATATAAATCTCTTGTCTGTTTTAAATCCATAGTTCAGTAAACTCAAGTTTCTATCACCTATTCACATTTAAATTAGACCATTAAGGAAGAAAAAGAAAACAATCCGAATACCGGTCATTTATTAGTCGGGAATTCGTGTCTATTTTCAGCCAAGTTGTTAGCGACTAAACCGGCATCCTCCGACTAACAGTGAGTCTCAATCGATTAATACGTTAATTAATGAAGTGGGTCACTTTGGGTTTTGTTAGCTTGCTGAAAAAAATAAACACATGTTTAACAAACTATGTATACTTTTAGGCTACCGGAGAAGTAAAACACACCTCGGTTGAACAAATGTTTTCGCAAATTTGCATGGTTTAATTGGTGGTTCGCTTAAAAAATATGTGTGAGTCGCATTTAAAGTCGAGCCAGCCGAACTTTTTTTTTCGAAACTTTGCAAATGCTCCCCGGCGCTCTTGTTTTGGAGATAGAAATTTCCGTATTTATTATTAAGTCATCGAATCGCGGATCATTTCCATCCAGTTTTCAATCGTTTTCAAATTTCCATATCTGAGAATAGACGTAAATATTAATCAGACGACAGGCAGAGACGCAGACAAATAAAGCTGTTTGCAGTTAATGGGATAACAAGCTAGAATTCGTTGGGGTCAATCGCGCGGAGTCTGTGTTTGGGCGTGCCTTTGTTTGCTCTCTATGGTCGCAGATACCATAAATTCACGCCGCGGAAGAATCGACGGATGGGTTGATTTATGGCCCAGGCAGAACCGCCCCAAGGTCCCGAGCGCTCCAAGAACAATGGGGGAAAACATTTGCGCAGTTTTGGATCTTACAACAACTAGCAACGATCTTGGCTTAGCTTAGATTGGGGGTAATGTCTTAGTTAGTTGGCGATTAGTACGTGCTATGGGTATGGTCAGCCTTCTTCTTGGACACTTGCATCCAATTCGATGAGGATATGCGGATTGAAGTTGCTCTCGCGCCGCCAGGAACTTCAGAACACGTGCGGCTTCAGCTTGCCGTCCTCCGTGTGGGTGCGAATGTACTCCAAGGATCGCAGGATGTAGTCCGGCGTGGGCGGGGGCTGCGGCAGATGGCGGCCTACCACATGGAAGCCCAGCTCGTCGGCTATGTAGCGCGTCTCGATGGGTACGCCCTCGGGCGAGGTGTAGCTGTAGATGCCAATTGTCTCCAGGGCATTTCCCGCCGCCTGGACATCGATGCCGTTGCTTGTCTTGAAAGCGTACTTAAACACACCCTCGTCGTCCTGTGGCGACACCCGGAAGTCCGTGATCTGGGCATCTCGCTCGTCCCCGCCCACCAGTCTCCGGATGCGGCGTATCCTCACCAGGCGGGCGTCCAACTCCACCACCATGATCAGGGCCAAGACCACCAGCCATCCCACGAGCTGAAACCCAAAGAGAGGTCTTATCAGCCACCGAGATCACAGAGATATCAGATCGGGAACACAGATGGGCTCATGGCCACAAATGCTTACAAAATATCGCATATTTCTCTCGGATTTGAATTTCCTCGTTTATAATTTCGCACACACAAAGATGACACCACACACTCTCGGCGGAGGGCGTTGGGAAACGAATTTGATTTACGATTATCTACGAATATATTCCTTGATTCGATTCCGATAACGAATTGTAAAAGGGTCGATCCGCTGCGGAGCGACGTCTGCGAGGTTCAAAGTTAGCCACCGGACTGCCAATCCGGCCAGCTGCTGTTTTCAGATTTATACGAGGAAAACATCGCGGGGCAAAAAGCGTAAGCGTCGAAAATCTAATAAGCATAACCAAATGCCAATATCGCGCTGGCTTCATCTTTTGTATTTAGCCACCGAAATGGGCTCTGCTCTGCGGCGATGCTATGTATATGCCATAGCTATATAGCCACCATATCTATCTAGCAGACCCTGCCCAGTGGATTCTAGATATCGACGGCAGGTCACGTCGGTTAAGAGATTCATTTCCGTTTATCCGGCGCCCCCTGTTTGCCTATTCATATTTTTTATGACACCATACGTCAGAAGCTAATGAAAAAGAGACCATAAAGTGCTAAGTAGCTCGAGTTCTTCAAGATCCGCTGCTAATTTCGTTTTGAATTTATGATGGCAGGAGGTTCCGATCTGTGCAGCGGAAGGCAATAAACTCGGATAGATTGGATGGAATTAAAAATACAAGTTTTTGTCGCCGTTGCTTATTGCATTTCTTCCAGTTTGTTGTTTATTTAGTCACAAATTAATCACAGAACTTGTTTAGCTCATTGAAATGGAAATAGATTAATGTTTAGTGTGTAGCCGCTAAGTAAAAGTGTGTAAATACACTTTTTTACACAAAAGCAGCGATGATAGAACGTACAATGTACCACCTGGGGTCCCAACACGGAAGCATTCGTCTCCCGCCCAGCGTGTTCTGAGAGGCAGCAACATAAAAAATTATTAATATAACTTTTTAAAGCCTTTTCATGTTGTGAAGCGAATGCAAATTATGGCTATTAAAATCACAGTGAATGCGATAAAATCACAGAAAATAGGCCATCAAAAATATAAGAAGCTGGCTAGCTGGCTCTCTGGCTAGGAATTTGGATTAACAGAAGTATATTTAACGATCTTTGATTTGTTAATCAGGCTGAACGGAAACAGTTCCGTGTGTCGCTGTTCTACAGCTTTACAGGTTCCAAGACAGACTGATTCTGACTCTCGGTCGCATCGAGTTCGTTGCCTCAGTCTTTTGTTTCTGCTCCACTTGAGTGGGGGCTGCAAAGGCATACATTATGTTTATGGTAATGCCGTAGGAACATTCAGCATAAGCAGCAGTTGTTTATGCCCAAATAACCATATGCCTTAATTAATGTTCTCAACAGCAAAGTGTCAGAAGCGCCCCAGGGGGAGCCGAGGAGGATGACTCTTCGGCCAGCAGCAGCAACTATCTCTAATAGTTCACACACGCATCTCGGACGGAGAAGATGGCAGAAGGAGAACTGGATAAGGCAGTTGTTGGCTTTCAGTTTGGTCTCCGGTTTTCTAGTTTTTCGTGTTTGCGTGTTTCGCAAGCGATTCTAAGGCTAAACTATTTGGCGTCGATTTGTGTTACTTAATTAATGTTGTCCGCGAAAAGGTCTCGTCGTTGACTCGTTTGACTTGAAGATTTATGTCTGAAAATTAGCCGAAGATTATTTTCGCCTCATGCTTTCATCTCCGGCGAGTGCCCCCTTTGCTATGTAAATCTCCGGCAACACAGAGGCGTTGTTTCTTAATTAACAAATAGTTAGAGAGGCAAACAAACACAAAGCAAGTGTCATTAGGCAGCAGGCGGCTATCATGGATTCTGATTGATGGACTGATTGATTCTGCAGATCGGCACCTTGACGTGCCGGCGGCGACTTGTAAAGCCCCGGGGCTATGCAAATCAACTCGTGCAAGGTCTAGGTCTGCATAGCTCCATATTCCGCACACTGGTGCAAAGAGGTCTTAAAAATGGAAGACCCTTTCCCCATGGGAAGAACAGAAGTTTTTTGTCTCAGTTCAAAACCCAAATCATTGAACATTTCGCATTTCCAGTGGGATAATCAAAATTGACTTATTATATGCATATTTAGCACGCCTCATTAAATCAAATTAATATATTTGGTATTGGCTTTTTAGTTAAGGCTCGAGTTCAACCGTGACCTTTTACAGCAGCCGAAAATAGAATTTGATTATAATAAATTAATGGCTAAATGCAACGATTTGTCAGTCGCCGCGGAATCTCCGAAAGCTGGTCGCCTGTGATTCATGAACGCGAACCACTGTGCATAGCTTTCGATTTCATTTGGGCCTGCTATGCAGGCACACCTACAAATGGACCCCGAAAAATCCAAAATCCGATTCCAAAACAACTTCATTGTCAGGCGATAATGGCCTGCATTAGCACAAAATCAATATAAATCAATTCCCGGGCTCTTCAAACTTGTCTTTTTGAAGCTGGGCGATGGTGATATGTAGATGCTGCGGCTGCAGTGATCCCGGCAGCTATGCTGTGGAGCAGCTTCGCTTCCTCGTCTGGCATTCCGAGAATTGTTCCCAGAGAGCTCGGCATTCGGCACGAGCTTCCCCTCTTCAAATCAAAAGCTTCCTCCTTTTGGACCAACCCAAATGTTTTTTTGGCCAGTTTCAAATGAACTTTCAAGCGCAGCAGATCGCGTCGCAGTTGCTGCTGATTATAACGGACTCAGCTCGGATACGGATTTCGATTCAGGTTCGCTTTCGGTTTCAGGTTCAAGATTCTCCGACGGACCGTAAAAACAAACAGTTGGAATAATTTTAATTAGGAGAAGATGATGTCGTTCGGCAAGGTTTGTGCGATGTCTTGTTGTGTGAGTTGCCTCCATTAATCCATCCCCGAACCGCCCGAGCAGCTTGTTGTGTTCCTGGCCCTTTCCCACCTGCATTACTGCCTGGCCGGCACCGCCACAACCACGGCCAGAACCATCTACTACCGCAATAACCCGCCCAGTCTGGCCGGTCACTACAGCTTCGAGTTTCAAACCACGAATGGGATTACCACGAAGGGGGCTGGCAACGAGAATGGAGCCGTGGGTGTGGTTCAGTACGTGTCCCTCGAGGGCATTCCGGTGACCTTCTCGTACGTGGCCGATGCCAATGGCTACCAGCCCACCGGAGACCATATCCCGGCCATTCCGCTGCATGTTATCCGCCAGTTGGAGTACATCGCCACGCATCCGCCGGTGGACGAGCGCAAGTCGCGACGCTGGTAGGAGAAGGAATCGTGCATGAGCGCAACAATTATACTTCGAAGCGTAAAAAGCCGTCGATTACAGTTGGGGTATATTTAAATTTCGTATTTATGTTTATCGTTTCCCCATGCAAATGGAACCAGCGAAACAACAGCAACAAAATCATGCCAAAATATATAGCAAGCCAATAAATATTCTAGAAATATAAATAAAGTACTAGGTTTAATTGAGCAGCGTTCTGGACGTCCGGAATGTTTATCTATAGGAAGGAAGTTCAAATAATAAATAACAATTAAAAGTCGTACAAAAATATACGGAACCTGGTGAAGCAACACGCTGGAAGTCTTTAGTAAATGTTTTTAAGGTAAAATTAAACTCAGAAGATAGCCCAGAGATAGGTGAATGCTCTAAAAGAAGGTTTTGAGAACTCAAGGACTGTAAGTAATGCAAAATTTATATATTTTTTTAAATTTCGAAATGCTTTTAATATTATAGAGAATCTTCTATTCTGGCACTATAAACCACTACAAATTCTTTAGTGCTTTTTCCACAGTGTAGAAACCGAGAACGTTGCTTAAAAAATATTTTAAAAATTCCCTGCAAAATAATCTAAGATTTATGCACTGCATAAGTAGTCGAAACCATGTTTTCTATGCTAATGATCCGCCAAATGTCACCTTTCATCAGCAGTTCACTTTTGGCCTGGCTTCTTTTTGTTTAAGAAAATGTCATGCTATTCCAAAGCAATCTCCGCCTCAGATCGACGCGACCTTGTCTTTAAGAACGGCTTTCGCTTTTCGAGCAATAATCCCAGAGAAGATTGCCGCCTGTCGCCGTTTCATTTGCATGTGGTCGCCTAATTAAGGCCGTTGCATAATATTGACCGCGTCGGAGTCTCCGCCAAGAGCGACTTTATGTAACCAGACTAATAAACCAAATTGAGTTGACACCGTTTAATGTCACCGAAACAAGTTGCTGATTGATGCGCGCCTCAAATTAATCCCCCAATTTGGTTCCGGCCTTGGGAAGCCTATGCATATATCACCAAGAGATTAGTTCGAGTTCACACCGTGTAAACGAACTGCTACCGCTGCATGTGATCCGCCAGTAGGTTGCCAGAATATCCCCCATTCCCGCATGCTTAGCATAAATATGAATTATTCACATCGGGGTTCGACTATCTGATCTGGCGCTCTCAACAGCGCCATTAAGCATGCTCTCGAGCGTTTGATGAATGGGCAACAACAGGCAGGCGAAGACTGGCAATTTGTCTCCGTATCCGTGCGAGATTCCCAGATCCCCGAAACTATCAAAGAAACATTAGTGGTGCGTTCTATCTGATAATTATGTGGAATCTCATCCACGTGCCAAGCCGGTTCAGGTTGCAGTGAGCCTCGGTCTCGAAATATCAACGGTGTCGCTGATTTATGGATCGGAACGAGCATTCATAAGGCTTTAACGACAGGCTAAACTGCTTTAATGCCACCGCTGGGAGTTTAGCTTCTAAGAAAGTATTAAATCTTATTAATCAACTACCTACTGAATTAAAATGCACATCAATAGTCGGCCAACAGGTGTCGGGTAATTAAGAACGAGTCGAAAGTTTGACTATAATGAAAAATATGCATTTTTAGAAACCCTCTCGGACTGGACAACTCACTAATCTACTTTTAGAGGTCGATGCCCCCACGCTAGAGGCGGCAAACAAACGAATGATCGAATTGATGGTGACATTATGTAAACTCTGGGGTTACTGTCTGACTTATGAGCCATCTATATTCACCGTCGCCGTGTTTAGTTATCTTATCTGAATTGATTTACATGCATGCCGAATTCCAAAGATCACAACACACAAAGTAAACAGAGACATGAAATTGATGTTAGCTCGGTTTCGCATTTGCTTATTTTTACAATCATATATTTCAAGTTGCTCGACGTATTTATATATCTAGTTATATATTTCTGGGTGTGTGTGCTGTGTACTGTCTGGGGGTTACGAGAGGCCTTCACCTAACACGACAAGATCAGGGGTTCACAAGAGGCATTATTGTTTTTCAATCGATTTTATTAGGTGTAATTGTGTATTTGTGTATTGTGGTGTTTGTATTTTTAAACATCTTCATCATCGTATTCCAAGTATCTCACATAAAACTATGTTGCCTTCATCTCTGCAGCCCACATCTAAAACCTGCAACAAATTACACCGATTACACAAATTTCTTTAAGGGGATGATTCAGCGCACACTCACCAGTCCTCATCGCTTGCCAGGATGGTATAATGGTCACGGCCCCTCTCCTAGGGCCAGTCCTAGTCTGCCTTCGCCTCCGCAAACTCCTCCAGAGCGAAATAGGTGCCCCCGGAGGCTGCGCCACTGCTACTAGCTGTGCTGGTGGCAACTACGGTGGTTGATGCCGTGGCGCTGGATGCCTCCGATACCTGGACTTCTTCGCCGGCCGTTGCGGATGCCGAGTCCTTTTCGTCGGCGCTGCCGGATCCGCTGGCTGCCGCTGCCGCCGCCTGTTGCGCCGCCTCCAGGACTTGCTGCTGGACCTGAACGATGGGTTGGCCATCTTCCGTGTATGACACGGACACCGGTATGCGGGTGCCATCCTCGCTGATAACATGGGCGCCCTCCTCGCCATCCTGGCCCTGCTGAATGATCAGCTGCCCCTCGGAGTTGAGCAGCGAGGCATCGATTAGCTGCTGCTCGTTGTTGTCGCCATGCACGAGCACCATCTGGCCACTGCCGTCGGTCATCATCTGTAGGGTTTCGCCTTCTAGTCCCTCACCGGACTGCAGGACTCCCACGCTCTGCAGCAGCTGCTGGATCTGCTCGGGATCCTGCACAATGATCTGGTTGCCCTCAGCGTCGGTCAGGATGTGATTGTCCAGCTGGAGCAAATGACCGTTCTCATTGACAATGAACTTGATCTGTCCGCCATCTACTTGTGCCTGCATGGCCTCATCCAGCTCCATTGCCACTTGCTGCTCGCCACCGGCAGCTTCGCCAGCTTCTCCCTCGCCACCGTTGCCGGCAGTCACCTCGCCCTCGACGGATTCAGCACCTTCCGTGGTCGCGGCAGCGGCCTCCGACTCGGTTGTGGGCGTATCCGTAGCTTCACGTTTTGATTCGGCTTCCACGCCAGCTGGCTCCGATTCTTCGGCAGCAGCGGCGGCGGTGGCGGCCTCCTTCTCCTTGCCCGATTTCTCTTCAGGCTTGGCCTTGGACTTCTCCTGACCGGCCTTACCGGCCGGCTTGGTTTCCTCTGTGGCCTCAGCTTCGGCAGCGGCCGCCTCGTTGTCATCGTCGAGACTGGGCATGGAAACGGGAGCTGCATTGGACTTGCTGTCGGCGGAGGCGTTGTCTTCGCTCTCGCCGCGTTTGACATCGGTGCTGCCCTGCGATTGGGACTCGTCTTCGGCTTGATCCAGATTCGGCATGTCAATGCTAACCGAGACTGGAGCTGTGGCACTGGGTGAATCCTTCTGCGACTGGTCGCCGTCCGGTTGCGGTATGGTTATGTTGAAGGTAATGCCACCGCTGCCCTCTTGCGAGGTAATGACCATTTCGCCGCCCTTGCTACCCGCTTTGCTCGCCTCGCCGCTCTCATTCTTGTCCGAATGCAGTTTCTCGAACAGGCTCTCAATGTCTGCCTCGGCGCTCTGCTCGCCGCCCTCCTCGGCGGCCTTGCCGGTTGCCTCGCCGGGTTCGTCACTCAGTAGAGCCGCGGCAGCCGAATTCAAACCTCCAGATCCTCCTGCCGAAGCACCCTTCTTGTCACGCCTATGGGTCTCCATATGATGGTTGTAGTATGTCTCCTGGATGAAGGTCAGCGAACAGATGCTGCACGAGAAGAACCGGATGTTGTTCTCCGCCTCGCCGGCAGCCACAACAGCGCCTCCGGCTGCGGAAGCCGGCACGGTATCGCTCAGTGCCTCGTCAATGGTCTCCTGGAGCAGCTTCTGGGTGTTCAAGTTCTGGCTAACAGCCGGCTTGGGAGAGACCGCCGCCCCGGACGGATTCTGATGGACCTCGAAGTGCTTGACGAGCAGCTCACGCTTGGGGAAGGTCATCGAGCAAGTTCCGCACTTGAAAAAGTTTGTCTGATGCTGCTTGGCGTGCACAGTGGCTGCCTCGCGCGTCTCGAATCGCTGCGAGCACAGACGGCACTTGAATGGCTTTGGCTTGCCGGCGACATGCTTGCGCATATGCTCGTCCAGAACGCCCTTGTCCGTAGACTTGAACTGGCAATGGTTGCACGAATACAGCGAGGCGGCAGACACGTTCAGGTTCTCTGAAGCAGCGGCAGCAGCTGCAGCTGCTGCGGCAGCCACCGGAGCAGCGGCCGCCGGTATGGTGGTGGTGCTGGTCACCAGAACATTGGTGGCATGGTTGGTCTCCATGTGTTTTCGCAAGCTGGCCTCGTTCACGAAGTTGATGTGGCACATGGCGCATGTGTTGTCCATGGCGGTGTTGTGATCGCGCACCATGTGCTGCTTCATGGCCCCAAAGTGCGGGAAGATCTTGCGGCAGGTCTTGCACTGGAACGTCTGCTGTTTGCAGGTCTCGTAATGCGTGTTGAACAACCGCATGTCCGAGGTTTTGTAGTCGCACGATGTGCACTTGTAAATTTTGGTGGCCTTCCTCTGCACTGTCTGTGTGCCCTGTGCGCTGCTCTGGGGCGTTCCGGGAGCGATCTTGGCTGCGCCCACTGCGAAACAATGAGAATTAGCTTGGAATAACATTGGTAACGGCCTAAGGCGTGCACTTACCTGGAGTGCCAGGCACGACCTTGCGTGTCCGTAATGCATCCGGGCTCTCTTCAAGCGACCGATTGGCGGCGCCCGTGGCCATCTTCTGCATTTTCAGCGGCGGACTTGCCTCTAGGCCGCCCACATCTTCGTTAATGGCATACTTCTTGTTCAGCAGACTGATCAGGTTCGTCTTTACGCGCTCCACGTCATTCTCCAGGCGGTCATAGTAGTTGACCAGGTTGGTGCAGCGCGAGCACACGTAATCCTCGCCGCAGACAATCACGAAGAAGCCCTCGCCCACTAGCTGGGCCAGTTTGTTGGGGAACTTGGTGGCGGTGTGGGTGGTGGTCATCTCGGTAAGCGACGTCTGCGGCTCGCAGCGCTCGTCGCATATGTAGCATCGCGTGACCAGGCCGCCGACGCCTATGCCCGCGTCCGCATCACTGCCCGCTTGCTGCTGCTGGGCCAGGGATCCGCCGGCGGAGGCACTGGCGACGCCGCCTCCGCCCCCGCCGGGCACTACGAGACGCGTCGTCTTGAGGATGCGCGGCTGACTGGGACCGGTAACGGTGACTGCTCCGCTATTGAGCAGATTGTTGAACTTGCGGTAGGTGGCCGGGGTCAATTGGTTGTTCATTGTGCGGGGAGCACGCCGTGGCCGTGGTGGGGCTGCCGGAGTCTTCGCTGTTGTCTGCGGAAGGGAATCTTTTGGGCGCAACACGCGCAACTGCAAGCCGCTCTTTTCTGTTTTTCGGTGATTACGACGAACGACGCTTTTGCGGGGCACTGGGCTGGGCTCCTTCGATGGCGTTACTCGCGCTGGCTATTTTTTCGGACAGCCACACAACTATTGTGCACCAGAAACAACAATCTCTATCGGTTTTCAATTCTCTTCTCGCTTCGTTCTGGGTTGTCGCGGCGTCACTTTGACTGTACTAAAGTCTCGGTGCTGTATTTTTTAGGGTTAAAAATGCGTATGTTTTGCTGCCGTGCTCGGCGTCAGCAGCTAGTCGTCTCGCTCGCTAGCACGCTCGCTGCCCTGGCATCGCGGCGATGCGCCAGCTAGTCGTCTCGCTCGCACGCTACGGAAATGGCGGCTACTCAGGCGGCCAGCCACGTTCAGACGGAGAAAAAGTATGACAGCATTGCAGTTTTGCTTGATGGTACAGAAGGTGTATAAAATTAAAGGGAAACGTGTAATTAAGCAACCCTGTTTTAACGAATAGATTTTATTGTATGATTGCCTGATTTAAATAAACTTCTATATTGGCTTGATTTGGCCTGATGGCCTGTGACGTGTCCGGTCTGACATGCCGTTATGGTTCCTTCAGCAGCCACCAGAGGCCGCCTTTGGGCGCGCTCTTTTAAAAATTCCTACTGCAATTAATTGAAATGTTTGGGAAATGAGGTAAGCGGCGGAATACAACTATTTACGCAAAGATAAGGGGCGACATCACTAATGTGCTAATACAGAAGCCCGATAAGATTGCAGTCCGCTCCAATTATAGCCGTTCGATTTAGCTCACATTCTCCCACACAATTCAGCCAAGCGAAAACGCTTGTCAATGCCGTGGCTCCTATTTTCTGCGGGGTGAGGTAAGGGGCCGCCTTATCAGCAGCGATAATATAATATTTACCATCCGAACGCAGCCCACAAGTTAAGGCCCGATAAATGTTTCGGCCACAAACACAGCGTTCAGTTAACGAACGACACGAACAACGAACGGATACTGGCTCGAGAAATTGAGTAAAATCGAAGTGATATATAGGAATAAAAATAAAAGCCTTCGCGGACAATTGGCGCATTCCGAAAGCCGTAATTCAAAGCGAGCCATTATCGCCTGGTTATCGGGAAAATAAACGAGTTGCGAACGCGTCGCGAAAATAATTGGCGATCGTTCAGTTGGCCAACGGACCTCGACGTCGCGTACTGCAAAAGCGCACCCAACCCGAACGATCCAAGGTAGATTCCGGTCGGATCCGTGTGAATATTGAATATAGAACATAGCAGAAGCCATTGGAACAGTCACCGCAAAATGTATTCACCTCCGGCGCCGAGCATCAAGCACTTTGGCTCCCTCCGAACGGCCGTACTCTGGGCCGGAATTCTCGGAGTGGTAAGTAGCTTCATACGTGACCCCGACCGCATTCCCCATTCCTCGATAAGGGAGACAGGCATTGAAATTGACATTGGCACCACTCACCGGAATTGGATGTGGTGGAGGGTGCAAGTACTTCTCCACCTGACCAACCTAGTCGGCCATAATCAGCATTGAGTCATTTGGTGCGATTCCCCGTTTCAAGAGGAACAGATATGCAGATAATCAGTTGCTGGGATTGACGTGTGTAAACAAAATGAATAAAAAGAACACCTAGATAGGGAATATCGTCTAAAAATTGTGTCTGAATTAGAAGCAAACATTAATTAAAAACCCGAAAGGTTAGACTTTTTAAAAGAAGAGAACATTAAAAAACGTAGTTGCTTTATTTTTCTTAAAAGACCATAAAATTGTGGACATTAAGACCGATTTGCTACGGAAAAATGGTTTATTGAGAGGTTTCTGTCCGATAACTCCAATAACAGGCTAGCATCCTGGCAGCAGATAGACAGCCAAGGCTAGATCTTCTTGGCTGGCAAAACTAATTCATACATATGTACATATATGGTTAAAGATGACAAAACCTATTACTTTTTAATTTGTTAAATTTTATTTTGGTTTATTAAGTTAATTATTTTTCCTACAGGTTCAGGCTTGCATCTGGATTGGACTGACCATCACAGCGATATGTGCCTACAGCTGTGTGCTTTACATAACGGATAGTTTGACCTACGGGAGCATGGTCAAGGCGGTGTTCTTCTATGTGTACTTCAAGGGCGGCTGCAGCATGAGCCCCAACGACTTTCAGCAATTCGATTATACACTTCTGAACTCAGTGGAGACAGTGTTCGATACGAATCAATTGTTGATCTGGAACTGCGTCTACCTGGGAGTCTCTGTCTGCTGGCTCATCGTTTCCATTGTGCTACTAGCCTGTGAGTATGATTATAAGAATTTAGGGAAGCGGAAATGAACTGCATATAAAAAAGATATGGCCGGGCTTTATGATTCACTTGTTAAAATCATGGAATTTCTTTTATCAGGCAGCCAGCCTTAACTTGAAGATAAAATGAAAAGCCCCTGCCATAAGGCCAAATAAACTAAACTAAATGCCATAAACAAATAACTAAACAAAGGTGGTTATTCCCCCGCAAATATTATTTCTTTGCTCAAACAAATTGGGTTTGATTCAATTTAAGTAACCTTTTACACAGTCAGGAAGATAATTCAAAACCTGCCGCCCTACCTTTATTAATAATATATAATATATCATTATAATTTAATGACTTAATTGTGCTTCTGATTGATATATCACCTGTAAACAAAGCCATTTTATAATCACATGTTTAAATGATATGGCACATATTATTGTTGTACCCATTAAACACCCCTGTGATGGATACCTTAATTAACACACCTTCTTTTACTCTGCTCTCCTTCCAAGGCGTGCGCAAGGATAATACCAAGAGTACCCTGGTCTCGATTTACACCTGGGCCTTCTTTATGGCCGCCATCTGCTGTATGGACGTGGCCTCCGGCGTGATCTTTGGCGTCGACTACGGACGCTTCAACGAGAAGGCTTTGACAGAGAATGCCAATACATTGAACGCCGGTCCAGTGAATCCGATGGCTGCCACCTTGATTGCCGGAGCCGTGTCCGCCATTTCGATGATGATCATCTCGTTCAAGGGCTTCGTTATGTGGCTAGTTAACCTTGGCCTGCTCGTCTACCTGCTGGTGCGAGCCACGCGCATTGCCACCGATAAGGATGGTGCGGTAAGTTGTCACCTGAGGTCAGCGGGTGACCTCATCGCGGTGTCTTCTCCGATTCCGATTCCGATTCGATTCATATTCCACTGATTTGTCTGTTAAAATATTCGAACAACGCAGAAAGTGAAATTCATACGGCCGGGCAACGACTACGACATGGCTAAACTTAGCACTTTGCCGCCATTAACTCACCCTAGTAGTGGTGCTGGTTGCTGGTAATGGTAACCACTGATAAGAAAGCCTCGTCGATAAATTGCCTCGGGCCGCCTGATAGCGGATTCCTGGGTTTTCGGGCTAAGTTCGCCGAAACGCTGGGGAAAATGATTGCTTGCTTTGGGTTCTGGGTGCGGGGGTACCGTCTTAGGGCAGCTCTCCCCAAACACGATTCAAGAAAAAAAGGAATTCTTTCCAATTATAGTAAGTCCACTTTTCTAATCAGTTGGCATTGAAGTGCCTTGAGATGTTCAAGGCGATTCCATTATCAGATTGTCTAAAAATAATATTATGAAAAACAGCGATGCGAGGGATTGCCTTGAAAAATCTATGAATTTAAAATAAGTCTACATTCTGCTGGTTTAAAATCCATTAAAAATTAGTCTAAATTAGTCCATTGGTTTAAGAATCATAAAAGCAATAGATCCCAGAAGAATAATCAAAAACGGATTTACCTACGCAGGATACTTTGTATAATCCCCGAAAGGATTCCAATGATATCCTGACCACCCGTCCGCCTATTCGTGCCTACGAAGAAGAGAAGTGAGTAGAAATGTGTATCCTTCTGAGTCTTAACCTAATTCCCGTTCCATGTCTTAGGGTGGAGATCCAGGCGTACAACAACGCAGCGTACAGCAACGCAGCCTACGTTCCCGACAATCGCTCCATGGCGGAGACCATTGAGGTGAACGAGGACGCTATCATCCGGGCGGCGCACATGTCGATGGACTCCAATCTAATGGACCGTCGCTTCCGGGACCTCAACGCCTTCAAGCAGTACCCAGCCCCCAATCCCCAGGCCAGTCGTCCGCTGCGCCAGACCGCCCAGACTCCGGTGCAGGAGACAATTGTGGTGGCCACGGCGGGATTCCCGGTGCCCGACTACTCGCCGGCACCGAGTCCCAATGGCATTCTGCGCCATCCCCAGTACTAAGACGGCTGGCGCCCCTGGCAAAGCCCCTCGTTCCATATTATAATTCTCAAATAATCCCCAAGTGACAGCTAAAGTTTAGTTCAAATTTTATCAGTATGACGACCGATGTTGTACATGTTATTTCTATTTATTTGCATGTTAATAACAAAATAAGTGTGTGCAGTTGTACATATATTAAACAGTCATAGTTGTTTGCACCGCCATTCGAATTATATTTGTTTTTTTACCAACTCATTATTTCATAATGCAGATAAGCCTCGGGTCGCCGATTAAGATGAAAAACGGACCCCCAGCAACGATTTAATTGGGAGGAGATTAGCCCGAGAGGAAGGAAAACAAAGACGTAATTTAAATTTTAGGAAATCTTAAAAAAAAAACTCAAGTGTTAAGGTTAATATACAATATATATATATATAATATATATTTTAGTTACACCGTTTTATTTTTTATATGGGTAACTCTCCACACCAATCGCGGCCTAATTAATATTTAAAGTTATCTAAGTTTTAAATTTTGTTAAATTTAAATAAAGTCTTGGCCTAGGTATTTTTTTAAGTTTGGATGCGTACAAATGTCGCGTTTGACATCAGAGAATTGCCCATATTTAGTTGACATTTTGCAAAATACATTTTAATTTTTATTTATTTATTACCGAGGAAAGTCAAACGTATTAATGGAAATTAAAAAAAAAATTAATTAGCCTAAAAAGACTTATTAATATTAAAAACTCGTAAAGTGTCGTTTAATGGTCACGCATTTTTATGCAATTTTAGGCCCACTGCAAGTCAATTTAGCTATTTTCCGACTAAGTCTAAATCAATTTAATTTGTTTTTTAAACTTACAAATAACTTAGTGTGATGATGCACAAATTTTTAAGACGTTCTAGGAAAACAGCTCGTTTGTTTACCTGACATGTCTTTTTATTTGCAAAATGGCTTAATTTTAACCTAGAAATTTCTGCTAAATTAAGTGGTTTCAGTTGTGGTTCTTGCAAAATAGCCGGATCTGGCCAGAAAATAGCTCAGTTGGCAGCACTGGCCTGAGTTGGTTGCACTGACCCGAGTTGGCAGCACTGGTCGGCGGGTCAAACAAAAGTTCACAAATAAATTGTTGGTTTCGTGATAAGCCGGGCGAGATTCGACTTTCGTCCCGAGAGCCGGGCATTAAACGTAACGCGTGTGTTTTGAGTCCGCTCACTTGTCACCGATACACCCCCGGGATTGGATCGTACATTCACTTGACCGGCACTCAGACGCCTCCGTCACTCACTTGTTTTTGACTGGAAAAGCATGGTTTTCATCACGAAATTGGCACGGATCGGGTTCCAGGCGGCTCGTCAGCTGCATGCCACGCCCCTCGCCACCGTCCAGGGGCGCAGCTTCCACCTGACCAGCCTGTTGGCCGCGGGTAAGCATGGTTTATGCAACACCGCAGGTTGCAGTTGTAAAAGCACTGACCCTCAAACTGTAATCGGTAATCTTCCCCAGAACGCCGCTACACAAACAACCATGAGTGGGTGGAGCTGGTATCTGGGAACAAGGCCGTCGTGGGCATCTCCAGCTACGCTCAGGAGTCGCTGGGCGACGTGGTCTTCGCCCAGCTACCGGAACCAAACACCGAGCTGAAGCAGAACGACGAGTGCGGAGCCCTGGAGAGCGTGAAGGCAGCCAGTGAGGTTTACTCGCCGGTCAGCGGCAAGGTGACGGAAAAGAATGCCCAGGTGGAGGATACGCCGGCCCTGGTCAACAGCAGCTGTTATGAAAAAGGTAAGAAAGACCCACACATCGCCTTTTTAGATTCCTGTAATCACATGTTATATCTCCTTGCAGGTTGGCTCTTCAAGGTTGACCTGAAGAATCCCCAGGAGCTAGATACCCTTATGACCGAGGAACAGTACAAAGACTTTGTGAAAGGCAGTGCCGATCACTAGACCAAGCCAGCAGCCAGCCAGCGATCAGCGACCAGAGACCCAGCATTTGTTATCTCCGCACAATCACTCAAAAACACACACCAAAACTCATCGCCATCCCACACGTTGTTGTAGCTCTGACATTTGTTACGAATAAGAATCGACAGTAAAGCCAAATATTATATTTAAATCGGGCGTCTTGACCTGCGGGTGGCAGTGTCCCAGACCGAGTCTGCTCCCCCATGGAAACCTTCTAGCCGATAAGCCAGACCGAAGAGCTCGAGACCGAAGAGAAACCTGCCCAGAATCGCTCAAAAGATAAGCGGAACACTCACTCAAATAGACCAAGAGAGTGTAGAGAGGGAGGTTAAGAAGCACTCAATTTCCTGGTGATAATACGGATCAGCTTGGAACGGCGTGTTTGGATTTGGAAAAATCTATTAAAAAAAAAAACTGTTGCCGGGACGGGCGATGGCACACGCCACGGGCATCGCCATCACCTGATTGATGATGGACACACCTACCTCTGGAAAGTTACGCCGCGCTTATACGGCGATAAGGACGCCGAAGTCGCGCCTAGAAATCTACACGGTTCTGTTGAATGATGATAATGATTGAACTTGAAGAGCGTGCCCGCCAAAGCTTTGCCTCCGAAAGCTGTGCCGACAGAGGCGAAAAGCTCTGGCACTGCTCGTACGAGTGGTCAGTGCTCAAAAAGAACTCATTCCGTGCGGTGCGAGAAGCGCGTGCTGCTCGAGAACCAACCCCAAAAACATAATAACAAAAACACACACACTAAGCTAAGGATAATTGCCAAGCAGGATAATTTCAAGACCCGACCAAAGGAAAACCTTTCAAAGAAATAACCAAGCAGTAAACAAAAACACACAGCCGACAAAATGCCAGCGGAAAAATCAATATACGATCCGAATCCGGCCATCAGCCAGAACGCCTACATATCCAGCTTCGAGGAGTACCAGAAGTTCTACCAGGAGTCACTGGACAATCCGGCGGAGTTCTGGTCGCGTGTGGCCAAGCAGTTCCATTGGGAGACGCCCGCCGATCCGGAGAAGTTCCTCAAGTACAACTTCAACATCTCCAAGGGGCCCATCTCGATCAAGTGGATGGAAGGCGCCTCGACCAATATCTGCTACAATCTCCTGGATCGCAATGTCCGCAACGGTCTGGGCGACCAAATAGCCTACTACTGGTGAGTCCTCCTCCTCGCCCACTCCCCTTGTGGGTATCGTAGGTCGCATGAAAACAAAAGTGGTTCGCTGGCAGGACAACACAGTATTGATTTTTCTTGTGGTTACGAAACTCTCGCCTCGTGACGTGCATAAGGTAGGTAGGTGGATTCGGATTCGAATTTGGGTTCGGCTTCTGGTTCGGGCTCCTCTTCTCGGCCAGGATTTACTGCGCAGGCACCGTCACAGCGAACAGATGATAGTACGTACGTGTATATTGCAAGGATGCGAACTCAAGGGCACATCTCACCTTACTGCCATCGATTTTCGGGAGGAGAAAGAGCTAGCTCTTTGTTTTCCTTTTCAGTCTGAAGTAATTGAAGTGATTACTTTTGTTTTGATTGTGCACCCACTTGACTTAATCGTCTGCATTCCAAATTAGACAGTGAGTCTCTAATGAGGCCGAATTAAGGCAAATTTCGGGGGTTTTCGCTGTGGCTTTCTAGCTGCAGTTTGGCTAAACGGTCTGGGTCAATGTCATGGTCATTTGCCACTCCGAGACCTCGCCGTAACAGGGTGACCCGGCCAAGTTTAAGCTTCGCATTGGTATTTCTTTGTTTGTCTATGCAGTTTATATCGATTAGCAATTAAACCGGTCGAGGCGTCTGAAAACAAAGCTGCTTTAATCTGTTATCTTTCCGTTTTTGGATATGAAATGTAATGTTTAATTTTATAAATAAATTTCAATAAATAGAAAGCATTCTTCCGATAATTATTTAAATTCAAAATTAGGCCTACTACGACTTGTAGAAATTAAAGAGCTCCCTTGCAGATGTAACAAATGTATTATAAAATATTGACCCAAGATTTCTGGAATTTATATAAACAATAAATAAAAAAGTACTATAACAAATTGGTAAAATTAATTTTTTACAGTTCCACCTAAAGTTCAATATCCCTTGTCCCATTATCTCAGTCTCCATATAGCCACTCTATTTGCATGCTTCTCCACGCGACTTGTTCGTTACTAAAACTTAACAAAATGCAAATATTAAATAATCGTCTCAGGTTCTTCCCACTTTGAAGTGCGTATTTAATTGTGTTTGCAATCAACATTTTCCTTCGACTACGATTAAACAACAGACACTCCCTTTCCCTGATTAGGTCTCCAGGAATCCAGCGCTATATAGCACTATATAAGATTCTCGAGTGCCCACTCAAAACGCAATTAAATTGAACGGCCTGGATGAAATAAGCACTTTGTTTTGGTTGGCGAGAAGATTTGCTTTATTTTGAGAACCAAAGTTCACCGTGCGTCAGGCTGGAAAAAAAAACAATGTTAAACAAATGTTAATGCTAATGAGCTTATCTTGGGGTTATCACCAAGGGGCGGTTCCCCGTGCCCGGGGGAAATGCAAATGAAAGTCAGGTAATTGAAAGGCAATTACAAGGTCATTCCTAGTAAGTTTCCAGCCAACTTGGGTTTCACGGTTCTAGGGCTCAAAGTTACGCGTAACCCATCACTATTCCGTGCTATTTCCCATTTTTTTTTTTTGTTTGTTGGAATTATTTAATCCCAGCGCACAATCTGTCCTCACTGTCCCTCCTCCGATAAGATAAAAACTATAACTGGGGGAAAAAAGACAGAAAAAATACGGTGCACGTAATGAGTAATAATTAACGCTTTTCGAACGGCCGTTCCAGATAATTTTATTGCAAACCAAAGCAAAGCAAAACAAAATCTTAAACTTTATTTGCACCGTGTTTTATATTGGACAGATAGCGAAAGCAAAAGTTGAAGAAAATTCGTACTGTTAGATCCTACAAAGTGTTCGGGGTTTAATATGGAACAGGTGCGAATACACGGTCTATAAAGTGGGTCAATTACAAAGAAGAATCCGAATGACTCAGATCTTCAGTACAAGAACATGAATGCCTCGAATCATTATTCACTTATAGATCGATTTATTGTTAGTTTCATGGGGGAAAGTGTGATTTATTTATTCAAATATTATTATTTAAATTTTTAAAATTTATGTAATGCTAGACCAGGGCTTAAGACTTTAGTTAGTTGTATGATTTATTTAACTTATTTATATCGTAGGATATTGAAGGTTTTCCTTATAGTTCAACCAGATTTCGAATATCCATTATTTTAATTATTTGAAGATCCTAAGTATGTATGCCCTTATCATCTGGAACAATCTTTAGAAACCTATGTAGATAGGACATCACGTTTAGAAGTTCGAATTAAAGATAATATTACACATGTATAGCTGAAATACAGAAATATTTTTACCAACAGGTACCTTGATTTAAGAAACCATTAGTTTTGACCTGCATTCACAGATATAGGGGCTCCAAAGATCAGTTTTAAATCTCAAATTTTATCTCTCTTCGATTTGTGTACCCAAACGGTTCCGAGCCCAACCGATTTACGCAAACGGTTTACGGATTTCGATACTAGCAACAAAATTAAATTTAATTTAAACACACACGAAAAGCCTGCACAGCGAAAGCCGAGCATTATTATGTAAGCGATTTGACAATGCGCGCAAATTGTTTATTCAAATTGATGGAAGCGCGTCTTTGCGTTAAACATTTTGCTATTTTCCGTCTCACCCTCTTTTCTTTCTGCTTTTGTTATTTTCCGTTTCTGTGTCAGAGCGTCTGGGCAAAAGGTGTAGGAAAAAGTATACGATAAATAAATGGAAGTAAGCGGGGAACAGGAACTAACGGAAAGAACGGAGAAAAGGGAACATAAAGAAGATTGGCTCTCAAACTAGGTAACATTTAACAGTTTGAGTTGCACTGGGCGAATAGAAAATCACGCGATCAGATCGTTCTGATTCACTCACAACCAATTAGAGAGCTCTTTCGCACCGCTCACGCACTGGCAGACAGACAGAGACAGGGAAAGAGAGCGACAAAAAGAATGGACTATCTGTGTATTTCTTACCTGCACTAAAAGAGAGAGCGCGTCGAAGAATCAGCATAGAATATTGCTGTCTGGGCATTTCTCAGTTTTTTTTTTGCCACTGTTATCAGTTTTGACGGAAAAAACGTGTTTTACCCATCCCTTTTCTGTTAATTATGTAAACCGCTGTCTTGGTTGTCAATCCAAAGATTTGCGAAATTTGGAGACGATCGAATGATCGTTAGACAAACTCTGCAGTTCAGCATCGTACGATAATGGCTCTCAAACTGTAGGGCACAGCCAGACAATAAGGCGCGTGTGAGTGAGAGCGAGCGAGAAGAGGTAGCAGAAAAAAAAAACTTGAAAAAAATTGCATGCTAATTTTTAATTTAAATTTTAGTTTACTTAATTTTGTTGAAAATTAATTATACATATTACGAATGTCATATAAATATAATTATTAATTTAATTGTAAACTACAAGTTCATAAAAAATATACGTAGGTATTTTTTAAATATTAAAAATTTGAAGTATTACAAAATTACATTACAAAATAAAAATCATCTAAATAATATTTCAATATTCCTTAAAAGAAACTATCCTAGGCAGCTTTTTTTTTTGCCGTGTAGGGGAAAAAAACATTCGATGCGATTTATACGACACGCGAATCAACAGCTGATGCTATTGTTATTAAGATAAGTCAGCGGTGTAGTTTTTTATTTTTAATTTTACCATTCCCCTCCATAATTGTTTCCGTCGTCACGCGTGTGGAGTGGAGAGAGTGGCTGTTTTTAGCATATTTTGTGATTTTTGATAAGGGGCGGCAGCCACGCGTCCCGCCGTGGTCAAGAGGTGAGCGGGATCGGGCCTCCGACTCTTCGATGTGAGGTGTTTCCAAGCGGCATGGAAAATTTCTTGTCTGGCGATCCGGCGACGAGATTAGGTGGCAAGTGGGCCGATTACCACGCCAAATTGCAAATTAATACACTCGCGTCGCGCCACTTTTTTCCCACAACTGTGGTTACTCATGCGTCGGAGGAGGAGAAGCCTCCGCCAAATCATGAGTGCTCGTTTCTGATAATAGGAGAGGACGTCCGTAAGCACTTGGCCTTGACTGTGAGTTGTTGTCCGCCGCTGATTACGAATTTCGGGCAAAGTTTGGGAGTCACCTTTTTGTTTTGGTACAGTTTGAAAAGGCCTGATAGGGTTACAATCCTTTTCCATCTTTCGAATTTGTAATGTACATTTAGTAAACGTCATAAATTAAATTAAATTAAATAACATATATGTATGTATATTTCGATTCTAAACTTGTGATTTTATGAAATAAATATTAGCTTTTGTTGAATATTAACCATAAGTGTAGTTCGTTTTTTAATACGAGTTATAAATAATGTGATAAAACGTGATTACCCTGTTATATTGCCCTTAATTTTCATCAAAGATCGAGTCATTGGACGGCATTTTCAGTGCGTATTACATTTATTTTTGTCGACTTACTAATTGACAAGTTCGATTATAAACAAGTATTTCGCTGAAGTGGAATAACATTTCGTGGCAGTTGGCCCAGTCACACCCGAAACAGTCTGAGACAGACCCACTCACCCACCAATAACACCAGAGTCACCCCCCAAAGGTGAACTTTGATCGGTGCAGACTAGTCAGCGGTTCCAAAATAACCCCGAAAACGTCACGGCAAGAGAGCTTTGTTCTGAATGCTTCCTGCTTTCTCTTTGGGAACCGAAATAATTGTGGTTTTATTGCCAGGCTAATTCTTATCGCCTGGCCACGATGATTTACACTCTCCAAACAGGCCCTGCTGATTGTCTATACATATACCTGTAGACGACACCTGTCGTTGGTTTTAGCCCAGTTTCTTTATTATTGTTTTTTTGCCGTCTAATCCGTCTTGACCTCCAAAAAGTCCCAAGGAAAGTTGCTTTCCCCATTTCAGTTTCGTGTCGCAAGTGTTTATATCCGTTTTGAGCGCTGAAATCATTCACGATTTAGCCCAGTCACGATTTTTGTTTACCAGAAAAGCTTTCAAAGCTCTTTGATCAGTTTTACATATCCACATTTCGTGCTAAATTCTAAATTCATTCATTTAATAGCAACAATTAGGGTAGCTCTGACAGTGACTGCGGTTTAAATGTGTACTGGGAGGTCATTAAAATGTTTAAAAAATTATTTAATTTACTTGGGGGCATGATGGCTTTAAATTAATTCACAAAATTTTAGGTTTTTGATTTTATTTCTTCTAGTAATAATTGCTTTTGCAAGGTACACATTTAATAGTGCCTAGTGTAGTTAGTCAAATACTATTAGATATTGAGTGCTCATTGTACATATATATATGTACATAAAACATTTTGTCGGTTTATGGCATTGTCTTTTGTTGCCAAGTTCTGAACAAAAAGGGAAAGGCACAAAAGCTGCATAAAGTTCTACAATGTTTCTACTTTTAAGAACAGTTGCGGTGAAAAGTATAGTATCATTAATATGCTATCAGTAAATCATATATTTATTATATTATAAGACTTATTTTAAAGTCTTCAAGACCCATTTTGTTTATCCATTTTTTTTAATCCCAATAATATGATCTTTTCCGCAATGGGTGTGTTCAAAAATTTATGTAAAAATATAATTTCCCAAAAACCAGATTACACATTAAATTTCCATAACTAAAGCTATTAAGTAATTGTGGAAATTGCAAAGCTATTATTTTTACCGTCGCGAGTCTAGGTATAGCTAACTTTGAAATTAGGTGGCTCTGTTTGAGTGCAGAGAATCGAATTAAGTCTTCGTCGGGGCAATTAGGAAGCCTCGAATTACAGTAAGTGATCCAATTGTGATGGCCGGGGTAATTAGCCCAATTGTGGGGGACACCCGGTACATGGCACCCATTTGCGAACGCCACCGGCGCGTGCTCGATGTAAATACTATACATATAAATGTATGGGCGATATACTATACTATAGAATGCAATATGTGTTTCCTCATGGCCGTGTTTCTTTATTTGCAGGGAGGGCAACCACCCCGATGACTACTCCCGGGGCCTCACCTACCGCAAGCTTTTGGAGGAGGTCTGCCGCTTTGCCAACGTGCTGAAGGACCATGGCATCCGCAAGGGTGATCGCGTTTCCATCTACATGCCCATGATCCTGGAGCTGCCCATCGCAATGCTGGCCTGCGCCCGAATTGGGGCCGTGCACTCGATCGTCTTTGCCGGGTTCTCGCCGGACTCGCTGGCCGAACGGATGTTTGACTGCAAGGCCAAGCTGCTAATCACGGCGGACGGAGCCTGGCGTGGTGAGAAACCCCTGTACCTGAAGGCCCTGTGCGACACCGCCCTGGAGAAGGTGGAGGAGATGGGCCACTCCGTCGAGAAGTGCATTGTGGTGTCGCATTTGAAGCGCGTCACGCCCTGCCAGCCGGACCATGTGGAGGAGGAGATACCGTGGACCGACGATCGCGACTACTGGTGGCACGAGGAGATGGAGGACAAGGAGCCAGCCTGCTATCCCGAATGGATGGACGCCGAGGACCCGCTGTTTATGCTCTACACTAGCGGCTCCACCGGCAAGCCCAAGGGCGTGCTCCACACCACCGCCGGATACCTGCTGTATGCGGCCACAACCTTTAAGATCGTGTTTGACTACAAGCCGGGTGACATCTACTGGTGCACCGCCGATGTGGGCTGGATCACTGGACACACGTACGTTGTGTACGGACCGCTGGCCAATGGCGCCACTTCAGTGATTGTAAGTGGCCTGATTAGATCTATATTAGAGTCTGGAATTTCCCACTTACCATATTTATTACCTGTCTTTTGCAGTTCGAGGGCACCCCGTTCTTTCCTGGAAATGATCGTTACTGGAGCGTCATCGATAAGTACAAGGTTACACAGTTCTACACGGCACCCACGGCCATCCGGGCCCTCATGAAGTTCGGCGAGGGACCCGTGCTTAAGCACAATCTGAGCGGACTCAAGTAGGTTATATAATATTAGTGTTGTTTTTAAAGCTAGTAGTAGAAAATGAAATTGAATGCGCCAGAGGTGTGAACTTACATCTATCTTTCGATAGACATAGCTTAATTTATTTTTGTACATTCAATTGGTTTAAATATTTTTTAAAATACTCTAAATATAACTTATTTTGTTCCTCATTTCTCATTGTATTTTAATATTACTTTGCAGAGTTTTGGGCAGCGTGGGCGAGCCCATCAATCCTGAAGCCTGGCTCTGGTACTACCGATACATCGGCAAGGAGCAGTGCTCGATTGTGGATACCTTCTGGCAGACAGAGACCGGCGGTCATGTCATCACACCGCTTCCTGGAGCCACGCCCATGAAGCCAGGCTCGGCTGTGAGTAATTTGTTTGCTGCTAAGACAGAGCTTTATCTAATTTTGTTGCCTTACATTTTTACCTGCAGTCATTCCCATTCTTTGGCGTCAAGCCCACTTTGCTGGATGAGTGTGGCATCGAGATCAAGGGCGAGGGCGAGGGCTACTTGGTGTTCTCGCAACCTTGGCCTGGAATGATGCGCACCCTGTATAACAACCATGAGCGCTTCGAGGACACCTATTTCTCCAAGTTCCCTGGCTACTACTGCACTGGCGATGGTAAGTTTTATTTTACATTTTTTAAACTTTTATTTACATTTTCCTCTTATATTTAATTTATTATATTTTTATTTCAAACAGGTGCCCGTCGCGATGCCGACGGCTATCTGTGGATCACCGGCCGCGTGGACGACATGTTGAACGTGTCCGGTCACCTGATGTCCACTGCCGAGGTAGAATCCGTTCTCACGGAGCATCCTCGAGTGGCTGAGTCGGCCGTGGTCTCCCGTCCGCATCCTGTGAAGGGCGAATGCCTCTACTGCTTTATTACGCCAAATGAGAACGAGGAGTTCGACCAGAAGATGATTTCGGAACTGAAGAAAATGGTGCGCGAGCGCATAGGACCCTTTGCCATGCCGGACGTCATTCAGAACGCACCCGGGTTGCCCAAGACGCGATCCGGCAAGATTATGCGTCGTGTGCTGCGCAAGATAGCTGTGAATGATCGCAATGTGGGCGACACCTCGACACTGGCCGATGAGCAAATTGTGGAGCAGCTATTCGCCAACAGACCCGTGGAGGCCAAGTAGATGGAGGAAGGCTTTGCGGCTAAGATCGATACCTTTTCCCAAGGCTTTCTCCGGCTTGCCACAACGACCACTCTCCGCTCGGCCATCGCATTTCAACGTATCCCTCGGTGTTACGTAATCCTGTAAATCTCCCCCTACACTTGTAATACACCTACTGCTTAATGTTGGTCCCGTTCCGGGCTGCGGCGCGTTTAGCATTAGCCCCTTCTAAACTCTAAACTAGTTCGTAAGCCAAAGCGTGTGCGTAAGTAATCGGTCGGATCCACATCTGTCTATCTATTTGTGTTTCTTGCCGCCTGTTCCCCGTAGTAGTTGACACGATCGCTCAGCACGCACACACCACACACTTATCACAGCTCTTTTGTTTCTTTGTTGTAGTCGTAGCCTAAGTTCTCGCTAATTCGTATTGTGATACAAATTTAATTATATATCTTACTTAATACTTATGTATGTATTTTTAGTAGAATTGATATGAGACAAAATATATACACGATTCCAGTTGTAGCCAGAAGAACACCACAGCTCTCATATCCTTTTTGGTTGTACACCCGTATTCCTTATCGTTTGTAGACTCTCTCTTAATTTCGTGAAACATTTTCAGATCTGAGAAGGCGCCCACGCACGTAAGTCCGGAACCGATCGGGGACTCGGTTTCCTCCCCTTGTCCCACTAGCCCGTAAGTTTGAAAACGATACATATCAGTGTCAGCATTCCTGCATACGATCTATACATGTTAAGGCGAGAACATCGCTCTGATATACTATATACACCGCATATATACAATTACTATATATTTATGTTATACGGTCAAAAGACTTACTGCAACGAAACATATCATGAAGTTACTGCGCAAGCCTATGAAAATTATATAGAGGATATTATTACTGTTAGAGCTCGTTGTTGTTTTGGGAAAAGATCTAGGTGTTGATGGAGACCATGGAGATTGGCTGATAAGGGGGCAGCCGTTCCCCGTCTGATTGTAAAAAGATTGTTAGGAAGAAGGCTATTTACATATCTATATATTTATGTATTGTGAATGTGTATAAAATAAAGTTTATTGTTTCAATTCCTTGTTTGAACCTGCAAGTCCAGCGGATACTACTACATTTCAGTGGGTACGTACCATTCTGCCGGCTTGCTGACATCAACCTTTATTGGCTCTTTTTGAAAAGGATATCATCGGGAATAGAGTTGAATATGCAGGGTCAGTTTCATGTGTTTACAAACCTTTTAACGTTAAAATTAAATCATCTCACAATGGGAAAAATATATCCGATCGTCCTGGCTTGGCTGTAAACTTCCAAGCTAGGCAGTAACATCTCAGCCATTGACACACTCACTCAGTAGAATTTCGGCTGGGACTGCGACTTCCTGGTGGCAGAGTGCGGGCAAAACTAGGTCTAAAACGAGGTAACGGAAAACAACACAACGTCAAGATGTCTGAGAAAGAGGACTCTAAGAAGGACGTTGCGGAGAAGAACGCCGCCACGCGCTTTGGGCTGGAAGATCACGAGGCAACTCAGCAGGATGCACGTGTAACCACATTGCGGACGGAACACGTACGACGTTCCTCGATGATGCCGACGGACAAGCGACACAACAAGTCGACCTCGCGGCTAATGAGCGTCAATGACCAATGGGCCATCCCCAGAAGCCCTGACGAGGACGACTCCGATAATGCGGCCAACGAACCGAGTCGGGCGGACCAGAAGGTCAAAGTCCAAGATAGGGAGGATCCCAGCGACAATGAGCAATCGTCTGCTGTTCGCCAAATGGGGCCGACATCGGATTCACAAGTTTCGCAACCCGCCTACGACGCCGACAGCTCCGGAACGGATGGGGAAAGGAAGAGTCCACTTTACACAGTGGCTCCGCCAGTAGCACTTCCCATGCTGGCGAGTCCGCAACCAGTGGTGCAGGACCCGGTACCGGAAGCGGAATCTGAATACAAAACGGACCCGCCAAAGCCAAGGCCAGAGGATGTGCCTTTGCCACCGCCCATCATGATGCCGATCACGCCTCGTGAATCTAGGGCTCTAGAACCGGCCGGCAGCGCCGACGACGTGCAGAGCAGCCTAAGCAAGTTAACCAACACAGACGTGACTTTTAATCCGTCCAAGAAGTTCGCGACCAAGGGCACCAACACGTCCGGCACCATGATCTCAGAAAGCGATGAGGAGTCGGATGATGAAGCCTTTCTCCCGGAGTCATTCCCCGCCAGCGATCTGAAGAGTCTATTTCTGCTCGCTTGCCGCGAGGCAAGGTCAGCGGGAGAAATAGCGCGGGCAGATAACGAGAAGGGCGAGGAAGACGCCAAGGATCAGAAGGAGTCTGACCCGGAAAACCGCACCGATAGTTTGGTCGAAAGCACGTTCATCAATGCCATCAGCTCCAGGTTTCCCGATCACATGTATGTAGTTAATGTAACACCCATTAAGTATTCCGTGTACTAATGGCCGTTCCTTCTGTGCAGATTCATCACTGGGGAGCGAATAGCCAAATCAGAGTCTGGAATGGTTGACTTGACAGAAAAGCCCACCTGGATAATCGATCCCATCGATGGTGCCATGAACTATGCCCACCACTTTCCGTACTACTGCATGTCCGTGGCTTATTTGGTGGACAAGCAGACAGAGTTCGGGATCATCTACAATCCGCCCATGAAGAACATGTACACGGCCCAGCGGGGTAAGGGAGCGAAGATGAACGGAAAGGAAATCAGGACAACCAAACAGGTGGATTTGTCCTCGGCACTGGTACTGCAGGAGATTGGTTCGGGGGGCAACGATCAGCAAGGCCGCATGGCCATGGAAAACGCCAAACGGTTGGCGAAGGTTGTCCATGCGTGAGTACTTTGGGTTTAATTTTGCCGCAGGAATTATCCAGTTAATGATTTTCTGTCAGGATGCGCTCAATTGGCTCTCCTGTCATGGGCCTGGCCATGGTAGCGTCTGGTGCGGCAGACGCCTATTTCAACTTTGGTCTCCACGTTTGGCACATGGCCGCAGGCGTGATCCTGGTCACCGAGGCCGGCGGCCATGTGATGGACCCAGCTGGCGGCGAGCTGGATATCATGTCCCGCCGGTGCTTGGTGGCGTCCACAGGGCGTTTAGCCCAGGACCTCGGCAGCCGCTTGGAACAGAGCTATCCGTCACCGCGTGATGACGAACCGCGCAAACCGGAAATGCAGGATTTCACCAGCCAGACGGACTTCCCCGAAACCGATAGCTCGGAAACTGAAACCAACGCACCTGCCCCCTAAACTGCCCATCAGGAAGTCCAGTTGAAATTCGACGAGTAAAGTTACATTTGATAAATTGACAATTTAGAGGTGTTTTTAGTCGGGCTGCAGACGGGAACTATGCCTTTTGGCAATTCAAATTTGGCTTTGGTTGAAGGGTTAAAGGGCTCAAACAATTATTGCTAATTATTATTGTTATTTCTAATGTATACGCTATACGGCTTGTGTTTGAGCAAAACGTATCAATTTTGAATGGAGGAAGTCGAAAGATTTTCGTACTTTCGAAAATTCACCCGAATTCAAATATCTAACGCCTGTGTTCTAGTATTTTTGAGGTATAGGCATCTCATAGGAAAGCTCCGTACGTAGAGCTTTATTCCGCCTTGTGCTTTTGATAACCGCCGGATCCAGTGGAAAATAGCTAACTTAGCACCGCTGATTCAAACCGATTTTTAATTAAATTAAAGTTCATTGCTAAGCCGAAATCCACAAAGACAGCACAACATGGGCGACAGTGTGGACCTGGAGAAGTGCTTCGAGGTGGTCAGCAATCTGGTGTCCGAGGCGGGACGGGTGAGCAAGCACAGCTGTGGAAAAACACTTGAGATTCCTATGGTATCTAATGGAATTTTCCTTCGTTTGTTTACACCAGCTGATTGCCCGGAACAATGAGACGCGCCAGGAGTTTGTGTGCAAAAGCAACGATATCGATCTGGTGACGCAGACGGACAAGGATGTGGAGCAGCTGCTGATGGACGGCATCCGCCGGCAGTTTCCCGATCACAAGTAAGCCATTCTCTCTCCTGGCCTTCTCCAAGGAGCTCTTAATCCTAAAGTGCCGTTATTGCCAGGTTCATTGGCGAGGAGGAGAGCAGTGGCGATGCTGGTGTCAACAAGCTGACCGATGCCCCCACCTGGATCATCGATCCCGTTGACGGCACCATGAACTTTGTCCACGCCTTTCCGCACTCGTGCATTTCAGTGGGGCTGAAGGTGAACAAGGTCACCGAGCTGGGTCTGATCTACAATCCCCTGCTGGAGCAGCGATTTACGGCGCGACGCGGGCACGGCGCCTTCTACAACGGCCGCCGGATACATGTGAGTGGCCAGCAGGAGCTGGGAAAGGCACTCGTCACCAGCGAGTTCGGCACCACGCGCGACGAGGCCAAGATGAAGGTCGTCAATGAGAACTTTGAGAAGATGGCAAAGAAGGTGCATGGGTAAGGATTATTTCAATGGGTCAATAGAAAAAGCCTTAGTTTCTCATACATTTTCCCCTTTAGTTTTCGCGTCCTGGGCTCGGCTGCCCTCAACATGGCCATGGTGGCTTTGGGAGCCGCTGACGCCAACTACGAGTTCGGTATCCACGCCTGGGACGTGTGTGCTGGCGACTTGATTGTCCGCGAAGCTGGTGGAGTGGTGATAGATCCCGCTGGCGGGGACTTTGACATCATGTCGCGTAGGGTCCTGGCAGCAGCCACGCCCCAACTGGCGCAGGAAATCACCAAAGTGTTGACGCAATTCTATCCTCTGCCCCGAGATGACTAAGCTGGCTTAAAAACTTGAATGTTATTTATTGAACGTGCACCCACTAAGTAATGACTCTCCATTCCGTACTGAACAACCGAAGGCATTTGTACTAAGCACTTGTACCTAACGAAATGAATACCCGCTAGTCGTCGATATTCCAAATAAAGATTGTTGTGCAAACAATACAGAAATGTAAGCGAAATAAGAACTAAACCCTTGATAAACCCAAAAATCTAACATTTTGTAAAAGTCTCCCATTAAAACCTGTTGTCAAATCGGAATAATCTGTGACTGGGCTTTATCTCCGGGGAAAATAAGTAGTTTTCTGACCCAACGTTCTTTTTCAAATCATTGAAAGACATTTGTTTGTTTGCTTTTCTGTAATTTTATTACAATCTGCGTATGTATTTTCCGCTTTCTAAGTAGTTTTCGCAGGGCTCTTATCGTCTTTTGTTTATATATTCTGTTTTTGCGGCTTAGTGTTATGTATATTGTTTGTTTTTTGCCTTTCGTTCTATTTCTTAGTAAGTTAGTAAAGCGAGCTGGCCTTGCATATCTGATAATTGTGAATGCCCCGTACTGGGAATTGGAATGAATGGGCTTGGATTCACCGCAGACAATGGGGTTTAGGAGGGGATCAGGGATCTTCGGACCTCTTGGGTTGTACAGGGCATTGCAAGGTCGAGGAAGCCGACACTTTGGGGGAGTGTTTTTATGGGGTTGGATCTGGTAACAACGGCTAAGCAATGTCTTGCATATTGATATATGATTAGTGTGTGTGTCTGGCCGATTTTGCACTGCATTAGAGCTGAAATAACAAGCCATGATCGTAGGAAGTCGGCCTTCTCAGGGGGCTGAGCTGCTGCTGTGGCTGTAGTTTAGCTGAGTATTTTGGACTATCGTAATACCATGTTAAAATTTGACACATCATTTGAAAAATGTAATCAAAGCTACAGTAGGTAAAAAATTGTATCTATATATTTATTATATATATATATATGTGTATGTATGTATTTAATAGTTAGGTATAAGTTAATATTGTAATTAAAAATCTGTTGTTTCTGGTTGTTGTCGTTTTAATGCTACATTCACAGGGTTCCATTATGCGCACTGGTTTACAAAATTAACACAGAGATTTGTGGGGGTTTGTGCTTGGATCGAAATAATAGTTCGTGGACCGGGTGAGGGAACATAGCAAGCGTTTTTCTCTAAGATATTGCGAATCGTAGTCTATAAATTGATGTATATAGATCTATATATTGATTTCGATATTCTAATTCAATAAGCGAAAGGTACACATGGAGCATAAAACGGCAGCCGCGATCGCCTCTGGTCTGGACCGCAGCTGCCTCTCTCTACATTTAATATTTTCCTTTGTCACACTAATAAAATTTACAAAAATGTTCTATATAAATTCAACAATCAATGAAGAGCTTTAGAGAAGAATCCATTTTGATTTTACATACATGTATTTGATATATAGATAGATTTAAATATATGTGTAAATGTATATTTAGGTATATTTTGTTCGTCGGTCTGGCATCGTCTAGTCCGTCGTCTTCCATGTAAACTTAACACACAAATTTAGCACCAATCCATTCAAAAATTGATCAAACAATCTGATTGTTCCGAGTTGTACAAATGAAGCCTTAAAGCACTTAACTTAGATGGTGGCGGTCTCTGGCCCAAGGAGCTTAAACATAGGTGTCGGGGTAGGATCTTAAGCGAGAAACTGAACACTTTCTGAATGGGGAGGATCCGGGTGCCGAATCCTCCGGGGTGATGGATGGGGGAAGCTTTAAAAAATAATCAAGTCGCAGCGAGTTAATGTTAAAAATTAATTTAAATTTATTTACACGCAGATACAATAAACGCATCGATCTTTAATTCGAAATGATTTAAACTAAGGCGTAGAATTATCATGTCGCATATATATAAGTGTATATTTTATCGTATCGTATGGGATGGGATCTCCGACTTTTGCAAGCAAACGAAAGGGGTCTTTTTGCTCTTCTCGACTACACTAAATCCGTATCTCTAGATGTAACGTACACATATATCCGATATCGTTTATAGTAGTTAATAATATTTAAAAAACCAGTATTTATCGAACTTTAACGCTCGCTCTTCAGTCGAGTTCTGAATAGATGCCTTGGATAGCTGGCCAACGATGAGTGGGGATGGGGCTTCCATTCTCCTCCCTTTTCCCTTCTTTTCCTAATTTTGTCTGGCTGTGCTTGGAAGGATGCTTGTATGGGGCGAAGGTGATGCGGTGATGTTCGGTGTGGAGCTTGATGAGTCAACAATGAAATAAATAATTTATGTTTGCGCATGGATATGTTCAGCGGGGGAGTTCGAAGCTCGAACGCTCCAGCACTGCTGCGAGTAGTGATGGGCGAGTAGTAGTGGGCTTAGTGAACTATCTCCAGTAATGCTGAGTAGACGTGTATCTGATCTCGTGTCCCTCCTCTCTTTCTCTCTCTCTTGTCTTTGCTACATGCTACGTTGCTTAAGCCTACAAGTGGTTGAATATTTTTTGTTGCGGTTGCGTTGCACGGCCCTGGGGATCTCCACTCCCCCTTCCTACAGCTCGTCGTCGGCCTTCGGGATGTCGAAGATCTCGGCGAAGAGGGGCGGCAGGCGCAGCTTGGTCCAGCAAGTCCGCAGCCAGTCCAGATGTGAGAAGTGCTTGGCTCCGAGCGAGCGCAGCTCCGGTATCTTCGCCTCCAGTGCCGGCATCAGCTGCAGCGCTTGCGGTGAGCCGGTCCTTGAGCGCAGGATCTGGACTCGCAGCGCCTCGGCCACCAGCTCCCTGGCCCGTCCGATCACCTTCGGCTCGCTAAGTCCCGCCCGGTCGGAGGCCAGCAGCACCATGGCCGAAAACAGGCCGATTTCGGTGTCGCTCAGACCGTACACGTTCAAGGTATTGGCAAAGTTCAGCAAGGCGTTCACAAAGTCCGACTGCAAGGTGACAAAAGTGGTGATGAAATTTGAAATTAGTATTTAATTTCCCAGGAAAAGTGCTATCCACTCACATCGTAGAGTATCTCCAGTTGCTGGCGCGTCAGGTAGGCTCCGTCGTCCAGCGTGAGTGTCGCCTCGTTGATCAGACGGGCCACGTGCGTCAGCCAGACCTCGAAGAAGCCCAGCTTGATGAGTATGAGCTGGTCGTCTTGGGTGAAATCACAGAAGCCAGGTACGCGTTTCGCAAACTCCACAATCCGCTGCACGCCGGGCGTCACCCTGGCCGAGAACTGCTGCCACAGCCAGATCTTCTGGAACTCTAGGCTCTCCGCCACCGAGTTGGCGATCTGTGGGAGAAAAGTTTAGTTAATTAACTGGTAGTATCTTGACTTGAACATTAATATAAGCCCGATTATTGGCTCCATACTTACGCCATTCTGTGGCACCGTCACCGGGCGCCGCATCAGATCCCGGGTTAGCTCCTCCGTGTAGGAGCAGTTCAAGCGATGGGCCTGCGACACGCACATGATCACATCGTAGACGGTTAACTCGTTGGCGGTGCCCGCCAGTCCGTCGTGGCACATGCCCACCTGATGGTGGTGGCCCCCGACCTCAGTGCCGTGCTGCACCATGCTGCTGCCCACCAGTTGCTGGTGACCACCGACGACGACGACGCCTACGCTTACGCCGCTGCCGCCGCTGGCATTCAGGCCGCCTATGCCACTGGAGGCGACGCCGCTGCTGCTGTTATTGTTGTTGTTATTGGCACTATTGCAACCGCCAAGCTCCGAAGGTGAGGAGGCGATCGAACACATTTGTGGCGTTTGTGGAGTACTCGGTGTCTTCACTCGAACACCGCTCACATGCGGTTGCTGTTGGTTCTGCTGCTGCTGTTGCTGCTGCTGATGTTGCTGTTGATGTTGCAGGAGATGCTGCTGCTGCTGTTGTAGCTGATTTGGGTGCAGAGTAGTCCCAGGAGTGTCATCCACATTGAGCGAGGATGGGGCGCCGGCGGCGGCGGAGGCGGCGGCTGCTCCGTTCAGCTCACGGGAACGCTTGGGAACGCGACCATAACGTACAGCTGCAATGGGTTAAACGGAAAAGAAAGGGTTTAGTAAGTTAATTTTAATAACTAAAATAAAACAATTAATAGACAAAAAAAGCAGAACAAACTTTTAATTTTATTGTATAAGTCCTTGAGAAAAAGGTCTGTATGTATTTTAACATAATTTTTAATATTTAATTATATTATGAGCTGATAAATCTATAAAAACTAGTTTATTAAGTATACATGTTTAAAATATATTTAAACAAATGGAAAAAATAGCATTTTATATGCTAAATTTACCCTATTTTTCCCTAAAACAATATAAAACTCGCATTTTGTCCTACCTCAACCTACATTGTGTGGTTTCTCTTGCTTCAATTCAATTGAAAAGCACCCAAAATAATAGAATTATCAAATAAATGATAAACCCAAATAGGAAATTTATGCATTTATTTCCGCTTCTATTTCGTTTGCCACCCGAAAAGTATGCCACAAAAATGAATTTAAACTTTACATTTCTCGTGATTTATTCGACATGGGAAAATAATAATCTTAAACCCATAAAAATAGTGCGTATTTTGCGTTTTATTTTGCAGTTTGTTTATTATTAGTCACTCGACTATTTAAATCCATGAGATTCGTTCCCTACAAAACAGCCAATTAACTTATAAGAGCGCGTTGCGTAGCGCATAGCGAATGATCTATACTCGCGTTTAGTCGGGAAAGTGGAAAATCTGGCACACGCATAAATCTTACAAATGCGTCACACACTTGCGGACACACTCGGGTATCGCTGGCCGGCTTTTCTTTGTAGCAAATTGCCAACATTTCTGTGCTATCAACTAGAAAATTGTGTGTGTCCTGTCCTACAAGTTGTTGCTGGTGTTCGGCCTGTCGAAATGCGATATGCAGGCTGTCGCAGTGAAATAATTCAATTTTCCTGCCTGTCTTTTGAAGTGCTCATTAGCCTGAGGTTTTTCGGCATTTTCGCAATTTGCGTATTTTCGCCCTCGCAATTGTTGCTGCTTTTCGGCTTTTCAGCTTTTCAGTCTGGGCGAATTGCACATTGTGAAATTTTTGCTTTGTGCAACCGAGCACTATACATATTTTATTAATTAAAATCGCATTTGGCTGCCCAAGAGAAGCAGACAAACTGCTCCAGTTGCCGGCTTTCAGCGCTCACTTTATCAGTGGGACATTGACCCACTGCGCTCAATATGGAGGCAAAAGCGGCGGCAAGTGATTTCGTTTTTCCTCCTCTTGCCATACATGTCTTGCACACTCGGGGCAAAGACAGTAGCACCTAAAAACGTATACGAAATCTATGCTTTTAATTATTATATATATTTAAGAAATCTTCTGTGTTTGTTTAATAATAAAAACTTTAATTTTTTAAATTAAATGGTTTTCCATAGGTGTTACATGAACCCCAAAAATATTGATAAAAAAGTTAATAAATCCTTAACTAACTCCTATAAAAACTAAGCTGTATTCCACCTATTTTTAAAGCAAAACATATGCCCTGATTGTTGCTAATAGCACGACCTATGCTGTCTTGTGTTGATGTACGGCTATTTCTTCTTCGGCGGCTACTTCTGCCGCCGGCGATTTCCAAACAAAACCGACACAATAACAACACTAATGACGACAGCCGCCTGGTCTTACTATGCGTCAGCGTTTCAGGCTGACAACATCGTAAAATCGTTAAGTAAAATATAAACCAAAAGTGAAAGAAACTTCGCATGCATTGCGCATACGCAGCGTTGGCCGCCGGCAGTCGGAAAAACTTTTGTGCACGCAAAGCATCAATATCAACAGCCAGCAGCAGCTGGCCAAGTGAAAGATGGCCAACATACTGACCCATTTATGGCACACCATTATACCATGGGATCACCACAGCTGCCTGAGGGTCGAAAAGGTCATTTGCACTACACAGCGGGAAATGTAGAGGAAGATTATAATCATTTTGGCATTGAAAATAATATAATAATGCTAATCAAATTAAATAAGATAAGTATTACTGTAGGTTTGAAATCTTACTAATTAAAATCTAATTAAATCCAGAGATGAGTTATCTTCATTATTCTTGTTTAATTTTTAGAGTTCTTTTAAATATGAGCTTTAATAATTATGTTCGATTCTAGGAATATATTTTTTAGACATTAGACTAGTTAAAGCTGTAAATCATTATGAGTTACTCCACGATATATTAAGAAAAACCTTCCCTACTAATACGCAAGCTGGCTTCTCATGTGGAATGTCGAATGGCTGACCCACTTAGGTGTACTGCCAGTATTTTGCCAGCTATAAAAGTCACCGGAGAGGTGCGGGAGCTTCCCCTGACCTTAGATGGGCGGCAGCATAATCGCATTATGGTCGCCTCCAGACGAGGTTCCAGCCTTGTCACGCTCGCAAGCCGGGGTTCTCATTGTGCCCGCTCTCCGAGTCACGCTTTTCACCGCCCACCGAAAGAGCCGTGGCTCGTAAAGTGTCGTCTCGCTGGCGTTAATTGTCACAGCTCGTAAATTAATTATGGCATAATTCGCACACACATGTGGGCAATATGGGGGGTATATAGTAGGGTGAAGTCTATGTGGGGTACGTAGGGGGGGTGCATAATGCTCGGACATTGGTTTTTGAGGCTGCCACCTTCGATGCCGCTAATTGCTTGTGGCGGGCACTTTTCGTTCTTGCTCTGTTTGTTCTAAGGTGTTTTCAATTAGCGACCGATGGAGGGTTCCACTTCGCTATTTCATTATTGATTTTGCAGATTTCACCGCTGAGAATCCGGCCATCTCAGGCGGGAGGAAAGTGGAGCGGAGCAGAGCAGTGCAGAGTGGAGTGAAGTGCCCATCATGGCAGAATCGGGAGCAGCTCGAAATGGCCCCAGCATAATCCCCCGTCATTACTTATTCAATCGACCTGGACCCCGGGCCTGTCACCTGTCACCACCCACGGAGGCAGCTCGTTCCCCCATTCAGAGCAGGTCAACACCATCCATTACACGCCATGCCTTGCCATGCGATGCCATGCAGGCCATCGGGGCCAGGCCTTTCCGGGGAGCCCACATAAATAAGCGGAGCGTTGCTGGCCTAAGCTGCAACTTTTTTCCCAGCTAAAAGCATCTTAAGTGATTTAGTGCAGCCAAATGACGAGCGAGGAGGGGCGAAAAACTCGTTTGGGCCAGATTCACAGAGCAGAGCAGCACTCGGAAAAATACTCCATCTTAACTAGGATTTTTCAATGGGGAATTAGTTTCGCAATATATATTATGCACTTTTCCTAACTAAGTTTATTAGTTTTCGTTTTATTTGTAATTTAAGTACTTTTAAAGTTCTACATTATCAGGGACTTTCGTGCTGTTTTCCTTAGTGCACAAAGTAGGGGGTTCTGGCCGTGCCAAGCTCCCACTTCTGGCCGGGGCAAAAAAGGATTTGGGTCACCGAAATCTGAGGCAGCATCGCAGGGCAGCGTCAGCCGTAAAGTGGCCAAATGTGGCCCGCATTTAGACGGCTTTTTTCCCCCCACAATTCGGTCGTGGTCTTTCGTCGCTTTTTTGGATGGGATCGGAGCGGATTCAGACCAACCGTGCTGCCATTAGCATGCGGAGAGGGCCAAAATCCAACTGCCAGCGGCCAACTGGCAAAGCCAAAGCTCCAGCAACAGCAGCAACATGCCAGCGAGCGAGCCGAAGAACCACCTTACGGATGTATACATAATATATAGTTGATATTTTTTCGGCTTTATCGTGCGCATGAATGGCCCCCGTGCCCCCCATATATCTCCGGCCATGGCATATCCCCCTGCTCTCTGACCTCGTTTGAGGTCGTTCGTTCACCTGTCGCTGCTGCTGCTGCCGCTTCTGCTGGCTGCACTTTGTGCACACACCATACACACTCTCTACTCTTTACTCTACATTTGCATGGCTGCCCGGGTATGCGAGTGTGCCAGTGTGTGCCGGTGTGTGCCTTTGTGTGCTTGCGTTTACCCAGTTACGAAATTGTCCAAAATGCTGCGGCTTACTGCCACTGCCGGGTGAAAGTTTCTTGTTTGTTTGCTGTTCGACAGAGCCAAATGCCGCAGACCTCATTTCGGATACTCTCATCCCGAAATAAAACAAAATTCGGATGAATAATAAGCTAAAGCTGAGGCGATTTTTCATTACTTTTGTCGTCGAGAAGGTCTTTGTAACAAGTACAACAAAATTCAAATATAAGTTTTGAAGTAAAGCTATTAATAATAAATTATTTGAAAATTAAAAAAACAATAATTACAAGCCAGTTGTAGGGTATTCTTTTTTTCAACAGTTTTTTATATATATAATTAACTTCTTTATAATAACTAATCAGATATAAAATTTAATATAATATAAAAATAATATAATAGTAATTACAAATTATTTTCCCTTTTAGAATAAATATGTTTTTCCTGGTAATTATACGACTTTTTGATGTTTTGATAATTAAATGTTCTTGTATGTTTTTTAAATATATTTTAAAGTAATTTTAAAACATCACTTGTGTTAGTTCTCAAACGTAAAAGTTAAGATTTTTCCCTGAAACTGTCGAATAAAAGGTATACGACAGCAAGTCCTCATTTAAATTTAAATACCCAAGGTAAATATTTTATTTTAGGAGTTGTACAGCACAGAAAAGATACATAAATATTTAACATTTTCCCTGTGAAAGCCAACAAACTCCTCAAAGCCAATCTTTAACCCGAATTTCCCTGAACGACACAGGAGAAGTGCATGCAATTTTCGTGGCGTGTAAGAGACTAAACATTACTGTGACGCTTCTTTTGTTTGGTTTTCTTTTTTTTTCTTCCTTTTTATATACACATGCACCTGGGTGTGCCAGTCAGCCTGGGTGTAAGTGTGTGTGCTTCGCTCTATCTGGAACAGCTAAAATTGTTAGTTGCGTGCTAAATTTGTTGCTTTCTGCCAGCAGCAGCAGCAGCAGCGTCGCATGCAGCAACCGCCCACTCGCTCTCGGCAACAACAATAGCAACAACCACAACAAAAAGCAGCCAAC